CAAAATCATGTTCTCCTATTGATATCAAAATGGGTTTCGTATTTATAGTTAATATATTATTTTTAAATAAATAATATTTTTGTTTACCCAACTAGATGAGTTGTCTAAATCATTATATAAACTTTGTTATTTCCTTTTGAGTTATTCTTTCCTATAAATAAAATGTAACTAAGCTAGGATTTATCAACATTCGTAGCTTGCCGCAGTTGCCTTATAGATCCAAGGTTTGTATTTACACTTTTATTTCTTTATGAAATGACGAATGAAAAATAACTCACAGACAGAAGAGCTGGCATTACAAATAAAAGCCATGCACCATTATTTTGAGGACCACAGTTAAGAGAAAAAATGTTCAAAATTAAATATTTAATGACAAGACTTACTTATTTTTTTTTTAAGTTTCTCAAAAATATTGCCTATGAGGTTTTATCCTAAGTCAACGATTATTTAAAAATTTGTGTAAGAACTCGAAATGTATACTGCGCAAATAACTAATGTGTATATACTAAGATGAAAATCGAATATTTTCATAGCTATTTGACAGATAGATTGTTTGCTTTATTCACTCCTTTTTTTTGCAACCAAGTAGTTTCTCTTAGTTCTTGATAAACCTTTATTGCTCTGCAAATAGCTTAGGGTATTAAATCGACTAATGATAAGTTTTATGCGTCCTACCACCAATAAAATTAACAACATTAATATGTCGATAATAATTAAAGCTACAAAATTGTTGGGCATTGGCGCCATCTCGTTTGTATCGTTACTTTGTATGGCACGCACTTCATGCTTGCGATTACTTGGCTCTTTTCATAAGGCACCATTAAAGTGCCAGGCCAAAAATAGGAAGAACAGCAATTTTTACAAATCTTTGACTTGGATCCTCTTCAATTAAGTGCTAGAGTATCTGGTTGGGCTTTTCATTAGTTTATCGACAGCATAAATTTTTCAAATGCTGCCAGTTGTCTGGCTCGCATTTACAAAGTTGTTAGACTAGTTATTCGATGACTGTAATTAAATGGTCTTAAGGATGGGAACTGGCGCCGCAATGTCCAACTTTCGAAAACCCTTAACGTGAGAAAATTCCACTGCAAATGATATACACACAATGTGTTATCAAGCGTCAGCATACCTGAACAAAAAGTATTTGCGTATGCTTGAGATAGCGCCAAACAAAAAGCGTAAATGTCAAAATGCCAAAATTAATTGCAATGGCAGTGCCATGGATAAAGCCTAAAAAACTGTCATGCAATTCTGGCCTATGGGTCAGGAAACGACAACCTCGGCGGGGAGCTGGTCTGTACCAGAAGAGACCCAGGCGCTGACCAGCCCAGCACTGCCCATTTTTATTTATTTTTCCTCTTTTTTTCCTTTTGGGCGCCATGAAGGCGACTTGCTTGCCACCACAGGAAGCATGTTCGTAAGAAGAAGCAATGGCGTCGTCTATAAATATTTGTAAGAGGGGACTCAAAACTTGTGGTAATAACTAAATAAGAAATTAATAAATCGTGTGCGTAAGTAATTCTTACATTTATTATTATTTATTTTTCATTAGTTCATAAAATCAAAGTATGTATTACAATAAATTAATTTTAATTAAGAAATGTGTACTCTAAACAAACACAATCATAATTGTGATTTAATTTAAGATATTAAATAATTAAAAATAAAAAAATTAGCAAATTAAACATTATTTTCGTAAATGGATTCGTCTTTTATAAGGAACTGTTTTAGAAAAGGCAAAGGGATTACAAATAAATGATGTCTCTGATCCTTATTATTTAAATTTAAGGGTTTCTTACCTATATATTTGTACATCGAAATGTTTTTAAATTTTCTTTTAAATATACATAATAGTTTACTATCACAAATTAAAGTAAGATTCGCTTCTGGCCAAGCTTAAACAAAGAAGCGCCGCCTCTGGCTTGCAATTGAGCTCTGCTTTTGCTTGCTGCACTAGCCACCATTACAAATTCTACCACTTTTGGGTCGGCCGCTTCTTCCACCACCTCTGCCACGCCACATGCCACACACCACAGTCGCAATTCCAGTTCCAGTTGCAAAGCCAGAGCCAGGAGCAAAGCACAAGTTTGGTAACACGCGCTCGCGGCATTTATCGCGCCTGGCAATCAAGCAGGACACCGCGTCCCTGTCTGGCCCTGGACCTACTACTGCTCGGACCTCAGACTGCTTGCCACACAAAACTTGTTTTGTACGCTTCGTCCCGTTGCGTGCGCTGGGCAATCTTTTGGTCCCCATTTTGAGGTGGAGTCATGCAACACGACGCGTTCATTGGCCAGGAAAGGCTAGCTCACAGTATTGGCGAATGTGTGTGTGTGTGCAACACACACGTGTGAGTGGTTTGTTATTTGTGTCCGTCTGCGTTTCATTAAAGTTTCGCATAAATTTTGTTGCATGCTTGAGGCATTTTATGGCCGACCGCGTATCGCACACGCATTTCGGGTCCCATTTCATTTGTAAAGTTGTTAGGTTTTCCTATATATATAGTTTTCACATAAAAATTATATAGTATCTACACTCAGGCTTGCCTACGAGACCGAGCTGCTTTTCAAACAGGTAGCCGCTTTTGGGTGCCGTGTGGCGTTTGTCTCTTTTATGAAGTAGTTTTTTAGTCTTCTTGTTTCTTTTGTTTTGCTTTTTTTGCTGCCGCATTTGTCGCGGCTCGTATTTTGGCTGCGCCTATAAATAAATGGGTCTTATCGCTCCTTGGTTTCTTTGCATTTAATAAATTTAATTTGTGGTAATTGAACTTGCTGTGGACACTCTCAACAGTGTTCAGTGATTTTTCATATCGCTGGGCCACACATTTATCAATCTGTTGTGTATGAAATTCTACATTTAATTGCACATTTTTCAGACGCATGGAGCTATTAATACAGCAGAAAGTGTAATTATTTTTTGTCTGGGTGTGTAAAATACTTGATTTTTATTATGTCGTCATTCTTTAAATACATGCGGTAATATATAATTAGAAGTTATTTTACAACCAATAAAATGTCGCTTGTATATGTTTATAAGGGAGTTAACATGTTAATAAGTAATTTAACTAATTTACGCTTGTAAAGAATTAACAACCAATCAATATTATGATAAAACAAAGAAAATTGTGAATAAAAGCAGGTTTGCAAGAGATAAAAAATCCAAAGCTTAAATAACTAAACAAATCAATGAAGCTGTTTGAAATGATCATCTCCATAATTTAACTATTGACATAAACATGTGTATTTTTGAAACAAAAAATGAAGAAGTAGTTTTATCTTTTCGCATTGTGAACATTATTACTTAGATTTTTGCTACCATAATAAAATTGTATTCCAAGCGGAACGCCTCCACGAGTTGTACAAATATAAATGACTGCCTACCGAAAGAAAGCAACAAAACGATACAAATTGGATGTATAAATTCACTATCTCAATAATACCTGCTGGAAATATATATAATAGATAAGGTTTTGCAGAGAATGCGTTACATTTCAAAAAAATACTTTAAATAAAACTAACGTTTGTTAACGGTTTCGATGCTCATATTAATACGTCATATTATTACTTTTCTGAGTACGTAATTTCAGTTATTAGGTCTTCTATTTTGTGTAATAGTCTTTCACTTAAAAGCTATCATACCAATAATTATAAACGTGTTCTTATATTTTCCGAATTTCGCGCAACAAAACTTTGCGAGCTATGCAGAACAGACTTGATATATACTTTTTCAATTAAAAATATATTTATAAAAGCTTGAACCACAGTTATACGATAGGAATGTGTGAAAATTATCTATTATACTTATACGAATATTTCAAATGGTGCATTAAGTGGCAATTGAGATAAATGCCAATTGGCGCTTGGCAAATAAAATGGCAATTAGAATGCACATTAAATGCCAGCACATTTAACTCGATTTATACAAGAATTATGTTTAATATACAGATTTCTTAATATTAATGATTATGCGCGTGAGTACGCGAGTGTGTTGGGTGATAAATGATTATAATTATGGCCAGCGCGCATAACTCAAAATGTTGCGCATACGACACGAGAGCCGAAGCGAGAACACGAAAGTGGGCAGTCCCAAGAGAGCGATACGCAGGCCCACTTACACATACACATGCTCAGGCACACACTCACACACACACATACACACTCACACACATATCTAAACAGCAAATCAAGCTAACTTTAATATGGCTACAATTTGATTACGAACGCCAGCGAGTGCGAGCGAGCAAGCGAGCGGCTGAACGAGCAAGACAGAGAGAGAGAGCGAGAGAGAAAGAGAGAGAGCGCCACAAAGGCAACACCCACTTCCACTGCGCGATAGCGTAAGCGTGTGTGTGTGAGATTGTGAGACGTTGTAGGAAAAACTCGTTTGTTTGCCCACTGCGGCAGCCACTGGCAGCCAGAAGCGACAGTCGCGCTCATAGTGTACATCCAACCGGAAGCTCAACACAAGACCCGCAACTCGTTCGCTCGCTCGCTTGCTCGCTCGCTCCATCTTGTCGGCCCCCCTGTGTGCTTCCCCATTCCAATCAGAAAACGACGACAGCAACAACAAGAACAACAACAATATCAGCGGCTGCAGTTCCAAAAACTTTAGAGTCCTGAGTCTTGTATTCAGTTGACTTTTGAACGTTTGTACGCGAAATTGCAAACACGCCGCGTTGTTCTTTGTGAAATTGTGAAAATGCTGAAAAGCCGTCGCCAATTGTGCATTGTAATTATCATCGAATGCAAATTATGAAACAAAAAATTAACAACAACAATTAACTTGATATTTGTTGCTGTTGTTATTGCCACCGTTCACCGCATACTTTAAATATTCAGCGCAAGTTGCGTGTCGCTTTATCTGTGCTTCTATTGTCAATTATGTGTTTAAGGTTGTTGTTGTGCGTGTTATGCAAATTTATTTTACTATAATTTTCGCCAACGTTATGCAAATGTCTCTTTAAACTGGGCTTCGAATATCTAAACAGACTTGTATCTGTATCCGTATCTGCATCGGTATCTATATCTCGATCTGTGTATCTGTAAGTGACGTGTCATTTATGTCTTAGTGCATGCAATAAAAAACGGCATCTGCTAAAATTTATGTGCAATCGAATTTCAATTTAAATGGAATATAGTTTAGCAAACGAACAAAACGTTTGCCGTCAAACAATGAATGCATTTTAAAAGCAATTAAAATTCGTAACAACCACAAAAAGGCTATAAAGAATAATAAGCCCACTTCATATACACTGCTTCATTTGCATACATCATTATAAAAATCATCAATAACAATTGGAAAAATATTTGGCATCGTTATACCAAGTAAGTGTGGGCAATTTATTTATTTAACTTTAATGACAGTAAAGTTATTGATTATTTTTTATATTGGTTTTTCTTATATTAATTTGGCATAAGCATTTCCTACATACTAGTTATGCATATAAAAAAGATAAAATTATGTGCATAAAATGGCCCTAGGGCATTTAAGTGCACCGGAATTATATGTGACTAATTCATTTTGTTCCAATTGTAGTATTTGTCAATTAGTTGTGCTTATTATTAATCATGTGTGGTAGTTGTCAAATTGATATCAATTGGAAATAATTTATTATTATATTGCATAATCTGATGTAGGTTCTTACATTTAATTAAAATACAGTATAGATGGAATAGTTTGTAATCTAAGTAAGTCAACTTAAGTAAACCTGATTTACATTGATTATATGAATAATATAACAACTTGTTATTGATTATTTTTTCGAAGAATTACTTTTACAAATTACAGAGCCTTGTTATTTTTAGGCTGATTCATATGCGTACACAACGAAGCAATAACAAATATGGTAGAATGATTATATGGAAAGTTTGTAATTGAAAACAAAAATTATACAATACATGTGTAAAGGTTTATCATTTAAATGATAAACTTTATATCAAAACTTAGCTTAAATTCAATTAGATTGCTGCTAATATTATTATCACATTGCACCCCTTGAATTTAATTGAATTCGAAGCGCATTTGATTATTAACATTTCATAAAATACACAAAATTCAGACCTTGAACCAGCTAAAAACGGAAACTTCTTAAAAATTCATTTGTTTTTATAAAGAAATGAATTTAAATGATTTGATTATATAATTCATGCAATCAGTCAATTTATAAGAATATCTTCATTTATTTACCCATTTTTTAATTCCGCTTTACTATTAAGTGAAACTAGAAGAAATATCTAATAAGCAGCCCGTTTTAGAAAACCGATTACATTTTATTTAATTAAAATAATGAAGTAATACAAACGATTTTACGAAGTATCTTAATGTATCCATATATCATGGTTTTAAAATGCTACTGTAGAAACGTAATGTTAATTATGGGTGCTATAATTGTAATTGATTTCAACTTTCGAATAGGAGCAACATAAATTCCAGTGCTTATGTATATTGATCCACTCAATTAGAGTTAAACAAGGTAATCACTTAATAAGGCGATGCAATTCTGATTTGCAAGTTGATAATAAAATATTATAAAACGTTTTGTCTACTGTTTCGAAATTAACAATCCGTAGTACAGTATTTGTACTTGTATAGTAAGTGGATGTTTAAGTTCAACGCTTTAAAATTACTGTTTAGTTAACTGAGGAAATGAATACAAATCAAAGCTATCATAAATTGCATTTATTTGGTGTGTCTATAAGTTATCTAATCTTAAAATTTTCGTGCAGTTCTGTTGGTTCTAAACTCACTTATTTTGGGAACTGCATCCTGCATGTTAACATTATTACTAATATATTATTTTAATTATGTGACCGCAAATGCATACTTAATACGATTAACATTTCTCGATTAAATTCGATTACCTCAACTTAGGGTATAATTTGGATTTTAAGAAATTAACCATAAATAAAATGATATTTTTATCGGGCACTAAGCAATAAATTGTGAGTCTCAAAAATTCTGTAAATTCATTTCAATTATGACTTTTGATGCTGATAGTACAGCAAATTAATTTCGTTTTTCATACCTTTCAATTGATCGAAATCTCAAATTTATGCACCTGGAATTGTATGCTATTGTTTCGTGTACAAAATATTGATAAAAACAATTCCATAAATTCCAATTTGAATATTTACAAGCCATGTCATAAATATGTCTGCAACTTTCCAGCAATATTTCGAATGCGGGTATAAATGTAGTATGGGGGTTTCGATATGCGTTTTGCATTATCTGCTGGATACCTTCATTTTACCAGCGCTGCAGAGATAACAAAATGTTTAAATTACGATTCTTCATAAACAATTACTTGGGGACTAAGGTCAAGCACAAAGCAGCTTCAAACCGGAAACTTATCGTGCACTTTTCAGCACTTACATAGTAGTTGGGAAATGCATGTATATATATATATATGTATATGCATTTATTCGCACATTTTCAGTGCATAAAACTCGAAGTCAGCCAGTCGTAGAGTAAACAAAAGACTTAAGCGCAAAACTTGCGCTTACGCCTGTTAGCGAGTAGAAAGCAAAGAAAGGCGCAAAGCATGATGATTATTCATTTTTAAACATCGAAATGGCATTAATTATATATGCACATAAATTAGACAAGTGTGTAAATTGCTGATAAGCTAGAACTCTTGTTAAATGCGCTTCATAAATAATTGAGAAACTATGCAGGTTAATTAGTTTTCATTAAAATGCAAAGGGCACAATTACTTAGACGTTAATCAGTTGCATCACTTTGCTAGCTGCCTCCTATTCGAATTTCGCGCTATGCAATTGCATTCTTTCTGACCTTCAGCCAAATCTATCTCAATTACACGCAATCCCTCAGCTCTTGCTACACTTTCACTCTCTTGTCTGCGGGCGAAATCTCAGCATATGCTCGACAAGTACCATTTCATAGGGCAATTAACTGCTGGCGCCACCAGGCAAAGCAACTGAGAGTAGACAATAGTGCTGGCTAAATGAGTCAGACAGGAGCAGTGCCATAAGGCAACAATGACACAACACGACAGCAGTTTCCACTTCAAGTGCATTGCAAGAAGGGCAATAAAGTCATTAGCTTGCTGCATTACTATGTGTCCGTCCGTGTTTTGACCATAAAAGCGGACCAAAAGGCAAAACTGAAACTGTGCCAGCATAGACCAAAAGAGAGTTCAAAACGCTGCGTGTGACCAGTGGCACAGGTTGCATGATGTATCCGTATCCAAGAATATGTGTGTGCGTTTCTGCGTGAGTGTGTGCGTGCTTAAGCGCCGTCTAATTTATGACACTTTTATGAGACCAAAGGGCAATAAAACTAAAATCGGTTTTCAACAAAAAGGCAAAACAAGTTGAACAGCCAAGCCAATAGGTGCCTTTTGGGCAATTGCATCATAAATCTTTACCAAATCGTTTAGCAAAGGTAACTGGAAATGTCATTGGGTTGCGGACAGAGTTGCCAGCCAAATGTACGCAATGAAAGATGTATATTTGTACAACGATAACAAAGTTATAAATTGCTGCCAATTTAAAATCCATACCAAATAAATTTTAACTGGATGCGGATTTAAATAATCTTAGATATCATACAATTATTTTCGAGTGTCAACAAAAAACGCATGCATAATATAATAAAAAAAATAAAAATATAATTTGATGCATGTGCTTTATATATTAAACTCTTCGTATTTGTAATAAATATAAATGAACTTTTGAATATATTTACTTCAATATGGAAATGTACGCAACGTGCTATAACGTAATAGTAATTTTAGAAAGTAGTTCCTGAATTTATACCCTCTAAATGCAAACAACGCCACTTGCCGCCTGAGGGTCAGCTGACAACTCTGCCCTGACTGAACCCTCAGCAAAGTGCAAGAAACGTAATTATGCAATTTTTGACACTCACTGGAAACTGCTGCAAGCCAACTCGCATGCAGGTAGCAAAATATGAAGCACGCAATGTGAAAATAACAAGCAGAACAGAACGTAACAGGCAATGATATATGTATATGCGAATTGCGCTCTAAGCAGGTCAACGGGGCAAGAACATGGCACAGCCAACGACTGGCAACCCAATAGGAAGTCTATCAAAACGTGACCAGTGACCACCGAGGCCAAGACCCATTGACCCGAGTAGGAGTCTGAGTTAGAGCCAGGAGCAGGGGCAGAGTCATGGGCAGGACAGGAGTCATGTCGTGCGTTACGCGGCGGTGTTTAATTGCACAAGAGGTACTGGGTTGACAGATAGCAAACTCAAATTGGACCTGTGACTCAAACAACAAGGCCAACGCGATTGGTTGGCGTCATAAGTCTGGGTTGCTTGCTGTGTGGCAAATTTTACACAACTCCAACAAAATTCCATGGAAAAGATTACTTAATACGTATTAGGGAAATTAAGATATTATGAATCATACATTATAGCTTAAATTAACTGCAGACTTAGCTCCATACAAAATTATTAAAAGCACAAACTATCATCTGGGTGGGTGATCGAAATGACCAACATTTTTCTTGTGAATCTGTTACAATTATTTGTATTTTTATTTAAGCTAATTATAGGGCATATAGGGAAGCATTTAGTGAAATTATATATAGGCCCACACAGTATGCTTAGTTTAATTGTTATTAAATCAACGACAATCTTGCTCATACTGCTGCTAATATAACCTAATACGATAAGCTAGCATTATTCATAGCAATTCCATTACAATTCACTTATCAGGCAAACAATTCCAAGTGGAACTCGATGGCATAAAATACAATCAAAGTATTTATCGTTTGTACAAAGGAAGCAACTGGCGTATAAGTTAAGCCCGATAAGCAAGTGACTAAATCTTGCACAAAAGTTTCATACAGCTCGTTGAGAAGCTCAGAATGGTTATATTTTATATTTACAATTTATCTTTGTAATTCCCATACATAATCCGGTCGCACTATCAGTATACCGGCGCCAAGCGTCATTAAAACGTAAATCGTACAGTTAAAGAACGAAGCAACAACTTTTAAAAGTTTTCTAGATCTTTTCTGTTAGAGTAGAATATTACGCCAGTAATTAATTAATTAAAGACAAGGGAAAATTAGGCGAGATCTTTTCACAGTCCGCGCCAAGTAATCAAATCAAACGAATGTAGATTTTTCCACTTTGACCAGCTATTAATTGTCTCAGCGACTCCGGCAATGTCTCCGGCCATATGCTCTCACAAATGTAAATGTCACGAATGAAACGACGCCGAGAGACGGAGATAGAGAGACGGCATAAGCCGCACCGACGCCAAGACACTTAAAAGCTTTGGGCATGGACAATCTCAGACAGACAAACCGACGGACAGACACAATACATATGGGCAAAGGCACATTTGAATTCCTGGTGCAGTCGAGGCTTGGAGTTGGAATTTGTCTGCCCGCGTGCTGAAAACTTGTCACTGCTTGCAGTGTGGTCGAGAACAGAAAAAAGGGCCAGATGCGAAGAAAGAGAGAGTGAGAGAGATAGAAAGAGTGTGTGGAGATCTTTGCCGGCAAAGATCAAGAGAAAGCGCTGCTTAATATAGACGCCAGCATGAGGGCCAAATCAAGTTTTATACACAGATACTGTCATCATCTGGCATCTAGGCCCAACTCTTAGGGCTGGCAAAAAAATTAAAATAAATAATTAAAAGGATATGCCAAGTTCGTTGCTTAAGTCTTTTGTTTTGCATGCCTTTCACACGCTTTGAGCCTCTTTTGTACCAGCATAAAATTGGACATTGCCACGACTCCAATTAATTATAAAACAAAACGCATACTAATTAAAGTATTATCAGCAATTCCTAAGCAAGAACAACAACAATAACAATAACGCACCATTTCCGCCATCATTTCAGCAATTGATAAGCCAAGTGCGCGCCTCCATATAATGCTCGGTGTTCAGTGCTCGGTGTTTGGCATTCGAGTATGAGCATATGAAATGTTATGGGCTGACACTGTTCTTCTCACAAAATCACTGATTGGAACAATCAGTTAAATGCTCTAGCATGCTTATATCGCTTGTTAGTTGTTGTTGTGGCTTTTGCTGTTTGGGGGAAGCTCTTCGCTCTTATCACTTGAAATATTCAAATTGAGTTTTGTGTTTCGTGTTGTTGCTGAATGTGTAAGTAGCCGCATTTCAATTATGTATTAGTTGTTGCCAAGTGCTTTGGAGAGAGACTTGACTCGTTGCCGTTGTTTGCTTATGAGTGTGTTGGGTGTGTGTGTGATAGTTTCGGTGCAGTCATGTGTCAAAGTGATGAGTAATTGCTGCTCAGCTGCACTGAGGCAAAAGCCTTAATTGCAATGCGATAAGTCATGCAGATATAATACTTGTGTAAGTAAGAGTACTTATTTACACTCAAGTCAAATCAAAATTATTACAGTCACATTCTGAGCTTATCTGGCACTCTCTGCAAGCGGAATCCTGAGAAGTATTTCTCCAGTGATCAGTATTATAACATTTCAATGAGGAAGTTGCTGGAAGTTGCATACGATTAGTCACTAGCAGATTAAAAGCACACTACTTGAAAATACGTCATGATACTCAAGTATATATATATATATATATATATATATATATATGTAAAAATTGAGATATGCATGATGAAAATTCTTCTCATCTATTTGCTAATCTCGTAATCTATACCCAGAGAAATGGGTACAATTTCAGCGTCGTTGATTAATTGTATCGATATCTTATTTGGAATATAATAGCGGCAAGTCGCGATGTTGCGCAGAGAAATAATATGTGTGTTATTAAAAAAAGTAAAAGTAAACAAAAGTAATCTTAAAAATACTCTGCAGGGTTTGCAGAATTTGTCGACCAGACATCCGGTCCAAACTTAATAGTTAGGAGTTTTAATAAGCTTTTGAATAAAAATGATGAGCATCGGAGTACTCATCCCGTTGACCGTTCTTTAAATTAATAGCGCAATCCAAATTTCAACAGTTATATATCGGCCTGCAAGAATATGTATATTCATCAATATACTCTTTTTAATATGGTTTTTTTCAAATGTGGTTTTTATCCATTCTAAAATATTATTTTTAAATCATATACTTACAACTTAAGCACAAAAATATTAAAGAATATATTGGTTTTAGCTTAGATATCAGACATCCAATTGTATATTGAACAGCTAAGCAAAACATTTTAGACACTCCCCATTTAACACTTCATTCATTTACATATATATGTAATACTCTCCAATAGACGCACAAACTTCATGTAAGTCCCACAAATCGCTTACACTCGAAATTCAACTCTTCGAATGTTTTTGCTTAATAAAAATGCCATAATTACAAATCCAAACTGCTTAAAACACTCAAGAGAGCTACGTCTGCATCTCAAAGATTCTCATAATTACACATGAGACGAAACATAAACATACAAATTTGAATAAAAACGATATAACCACAGACATGGGTCTGAGAGCGGAGTGGAGCTAAAGGTGGATGAGTGCGGCTGATGTTGCTGCTGGTGTACTTTGCCATTAAGAATCGAACCACAAATCCACTTAAAATCACTACAAAAACCCATAAAGATTTCTTTCATCTTTGCCGAAGGAGCGCAAGAGATGGCAACAGCATGTGCGAGAGAGCGAGAGGCAACCACGTTGATCGAGCGACAATGAGAGCGAGACAATCATGAGATGATCAATAGACACTGTAATCAAATGCAGTGCACTAGAGCGCTTAGGGGTTTAGGCTTGAAGAGAAAGAGAGCGCATTGTGGAATACTTAGGATAGCGTTGGCGGTGACGCCACTTTGAAATTTCGGTTGACATTTTCTACAATTTGTTGGGTAGGGCAGCAGCAGCAACAGCAACAGCTGAAAGGGTATATACAGGATTAGTGGAGCCAAAGCAATTATCATTTGTCTGGCTGCTATCGGTATAGTAGTAATATGCATATCAATGATTTTTTCTATTTACTTTTCTCTACTTTCATTGAGTTTTTCTGACGCAACTGAAGCGTTGCGTTGATTTTGTATTCGGGGAAAGCGCGTGCCGAGCCTATACACACTCATGCCCATTCATTTATATGTGGTCAATTCGTTCAGCGTATTTGCGCGATAAATGTCATAAAACTTAATCACCGCGGCAGTTCCATCTCCAGCTCCATCTCCAGCTACATCTCCAGCCTCAGCTCCAGCTCCAGCCGTATATGGGGCGGCTGGGTCGCGTCAACAAGATCGTGTGGATGATCACATTAACGGTCAGGCGCATGATATATAAAGCTGTTCACAAATTAAGGTCCATTAGCGCAGCAGGATGTGTCAGCGTCGATTGAAATATGCGCTTGTCTGGCTTGCGGTTTTTGTTTTGACATCTTTCGTACCTTGGCTTTGGACAGAGAGATCACACTATCTCTCTCTTTCGCTCCCTCTTTCTCTTTCTCTCTCTCGCTTTTTTTGCATTTTAATGGAAAGAATTTGCTCAGCACACAGCCAGGCAAAAAGGCTGCAAACAGACAAGGAACCTTTATTGCCGGGTGAGTTATGTGATCTGCGATTGCCAGAAACTAAGGCAAATCGTTTGATTAATGATACACACACCCAGGTGATTAGAAAATGTTGTCACCGCTATGTGGACGTATTGCGGTTATCTGTTAGACATATGAGTGTTAATAAATAAGTGGCTCATATAAAATGATATAAATTTATAGTGTGACCTTATTGAAAGTCTTTAGTTTTCAAGAAATTTAAAAGATATTGGAAGTAAATCAATCATTGACACGAACGAGTTTTGGCTAAACGAAATCATTTAAATAAATCATCAAATAAATGATATGCACTTTGAATTTTGCTTTAAAATTTTTGTGTAATTGGTATATTAGTTAGGTTAATCGGTCCCTATGCTTACTATTAAAATAAATGGACAACGTATACAAAAGGACAAGGCTTATGTTAAATTAATTTAGTAAGGAGTATTATTGATCATCACAAAGAGTAAAAACGGAGTTCCACATTTCCATCCCAAAATCAGTAAGCCACTGAGTTTATGACGTATTATACAGTCACATTTTTTCCTTTTTTGTTACCTTATTGGACATTGAGCTGGACATTTAATTTTTTAATGTACATTATTTTGGTTAAATAAACAAGAAATACTTTCTCTAAATTTGCTCCTACCCCAAATATCCTTTGTAATTAGGGTCTTCACAATTAATAGACCCTCATTAGGCGCAACGCAAACAGACGTCAATTAATTAAATCTTACCATTCGATCCTTCGATCTGTGTCCTATAAGGCAGGTCTGTATTATTTGAGCACAAACACACGCCCCGCAACACACAGCTACAGTTTAATGATCTGGTGACACAATGGGCTGGACCCGGCAGTGCCCACAAAGTGAGCGTAGTTGACCCAACTCGAGACTCGGCGAGCGTATTACTTTCACACTGGCCCAGGCACTCAAGTGCCTACCGTTTTCGGAGCAAGTAGCTCGCTGTTGAACCTGTTTCAGTTTCAGTTTGAAGTGCAGTGCATTATTTTTTAAGACTTACATGAAATTGACTAATTTCGTGTGGTTCGTGTTGACGTTGCGACGCTGCAGCGCAGTCAGCGTCGCAGTAGCTGCATTTGAAATGCACCTACAAACTTGTACCTGACAGTCAGTCATCTCTAGCCACGTCTCGCTCTTGCGCCTGGTGCATCGGCCCCATCTCGCTCGCGCGTCGGAGGTTTGTGTGAAGGCGACGCCTGCAAGTGACACTCGAAGGGAACGTAGCAGAGGAGGGACGGAGTGCGTTGCCAGCTTGCCCATTGATGAAATTGACTTTTTATGTTGTTGCTATTGACTTCTTTTCGATTTTGCGTGGCGCTGCTCGCCGACGCAACGTCGCTGCTGCAGTCGCCGTTGACGTCGGCGTTGACTGTGCTGAACTGAAACTGGATTTTTGGGATTAAGTTTTTGTTTACTTTGAGGAGTTTTTTAGTTTGTTTGCACGCCTCAAGGAAGTCGGTTCGTTGCGCTCCCGATCTGCCACAACAATAATTACGTGATCAAAAAGAAAACAACAAGAAATGTAAAAATATATGAAGTCTGTAAAGTGTTCGTATGAAAATTGATTGCTTTGTTAGCAAAAACATTAATAAAAAGACTTGCAACAAAAGCGCTCAACCCAATCGATCAATATAAATAATAACAACAAATGTAACCAAATAAAACAGTTCCAAGTGTGCTGCATTTAATGTTGCATGCGATTTTGTGATGTTTTGTGGCAATTTGAACTTGAATTTCTTGTGCCAATAAATCAATTGTAAAACGAGCTCCAAACAGAAAACCGCGCCAAAAACTCAAATCAATAAATTATGGGCATTTTGCTAAGTGATGGCGATGTAAGTTCAGCTTTATTATACATTATTTGCATAATCCAAAACACGTTTCATTTCCCATCGATAAATCATACTTTATTTAAATTTCTGATACTACGAAGATATTGCTTTATTTATTTAAATTATTAGATTTTATTTGGACTAATTGAGATACTTCAGAGTTGAATTAAATTTTAAATGATTTTATGCATTACGATTAATTCTGTATAATTCAACATGTAACATAAGTCTTTATCGGTATATAATATATAAGGGCTTTCCGATTTATTTGCTTATGATTAATTGAATTGCTAAACTTTGCTGTTGAAATGAGAATCATATATCACTTGACAATATAAAAATAGTAAATAATTGAATAACAAAAAAATCCATAAAATGTTCTTACTTTATTGTCAAAGCTAAAATCAAATCAATCAATCACAAGCTTAAGATCATTGAATGCATTTTAATAATTTGAGAGACTTCATAAAAGTCATATCTAATGCATTCATGCAAATAAAAGAAACATCAAGCAAGCAGTGATACGAAAACAAAACTCTGTTCTAATCGGATGACATCCGCTATAGCTAATGCTATACAGACAAGTACAATTGCCGTCGCAACAATCCATGAATGAGTCAGTGTGTGTAACGGGTGCGGGTAAAGGAGATGAAATGCTGAAAACAGGATCCACTTGGCATAGAACTGGCGCTGGCTCCGATCAAGTGAGCGCACCCGGTTTCGCCGGCTGTAGTCGAGAGACTTATAAAAAGAAGAAACCACTTAAAGCGCCGCTTCAATCCTAAGTGTTCTCGCTGCCCTCTCTGTTTGTTGGCTTGTTTGTTGCTGTTTTGTTGTTGTTGCTTTTACTCCTCAAGTGGATTTCTCTGTTTGTTTTTATTCCTTCATTTGCAGTGACAAATTATTAACGTTCTACTCATCGTCCTCATCAGCATCTCGAAGTTGCCTCGACGATCTGTGGCTCATTTTTATTAAATTGATTTTTTATTGCTGTTTATTTTAATTCTTCGCCTTCTTCTTTGTCTTCTTTCAGTTTTTGGTCAGCCTTAGTTTTATGTGTTTTTTGTGCTCGCAGTTTAATAAGCGCCAAAGCGCCTCTGCAGTCACTTCGAAGTGCTTGCGATCCCAAAGTGATCCCGTTCCGATTTCGATCCTGCCTGCGGCCAAGCGCATCCCTCTTCCCTACCTCTGGCCCACACTTAAGGCTGCAGCATGTTGACAATTTTTCGTGTGGTCGCAGCTCCTTTGATCCAGCACCGCTCCATGCTCCGGCCATGGCCGGCGCTCTCTTTGATCGACTGATCTTCTAAAGGGAGCGACAACATTATGCACGCGTGGTCAACTCTTTGATGGCTTAAATTCTGGTTGTTATTCTCCTTTTCTCGTTGTCTCTCACTCTCTTTACTCCAATGCGTTTGTGGAACGCTGCACATAGCGCTGACATTTCAAGAATTGTGTTAAAATGTATTCAATTAATCTTGTTTCTAATTGAAGAATGTGTTGCAAACGGCTTCTACTAATTTTCTTCTTTTTGCATTTAATTATTTTATGATTTGGATATCATTTTTAAAAACAGTTTTGCATTTATTACTCTGACTTTCAAGATATATATTTTCGCCATCTCATCTTAAGTTATTTGTTTATCTATTAATTATACTAAATCAATTTTATTTAAATTAAAAGGTATATATACATATATATATATATATATATGTATATACATACATACATATATTTCTTAATTTCTGTTGAGCAATCGCGAACTTTTCTTGTTAACCAGTTCCAAAGACTGGCGCAAGTCAAAAACCTTAATTGCCGTCGGCTAAAAAGCGCTTTTTGAAATGCTGGCGTTGAAAAAAAAATACCCCAATATAATATTCTTACATATATTATGTAAATTCGTTAGTTCATGTTTGATAACCATTATAAACTTGGCTATTTTATAAAAACTATTTAATATTTAACGCCAAAAAAGTATGGAGTCTAAATTCACCACTCCTCAGATCGGGAGCCATCTGTGCGTCTTAATTGTGGAACATGTACTTATGAGAGTGAAATGCGCTGATATTGAAAAGGCAAACAGAAATTAAAAAGTTCATACATCATCGCATTAAATTTCTGGGATAAGATAAAGACGTCAAATTTGGTTTGTTGTTGTAGGATGGAAATTCAGTGAGATATATTTGAATATACGTATTTACGGATTTTACGAAATAAATAAAAATATGCAATTGGCGCCTTAATTGATTTTGATGTGAAACACAAATTTCGATGTTTTACTTTTTGGTTATTGAACCTTTATAACTCGTAAAACGTCTTGAAAATCAGCCAAAAGCACTTGAAGACTTTTCATGTGGTGCAAAAATGTTGAATGAAAAATGATTTTGTGCAAGATGAAAACAAAAAAAAATAAAAATATTTAAAGCTATAAAATGAGACATATGTAGAAATAAAAAAGAAGCTTGCTTCGAAGTGAAGAAATTATATTGTGAAGAAGTGAAGAAATTAAATTTTAAATAAAAATAGATTTAAATTCTAAGGTCTACAAATGAGCAGAATATATAAGATTTAGATAGTTTTTCACAATTTTTATTATAAAAACGTATGCAAATAAAAATTGTATTCGTAGATCAACTTTATTTAAACTTTCATGATAGTTTTTATTTTACTTCCGAAGAAGGCGCATTTGTAGGTGAATTATTCATTTTACTATTGAATGTATTTTCACTTAATGGAAATCAATATCATTTAAAAAATGTGATGGCCGGTAGATAAAATCAAAAGTTATTCATTAGTATTATTGCAGATATGAAGAAGGAAATTAGTTGATAGAGCTAATTTAATGCCTTCGAAGCCCACACAATGCACACACAGACACCGACACACACACACATGTACGTAAATTATAATATATGTACACCTAATAAACATAATCCAGAATCCTACGCAAGGCATCCATAAGAAACTTAACTTGTAAGTGCAAAGAAACGAGGCACAAAAGATGCAGCGCTCCATTCGCTTAAGATGGAACGAAAGGGCGCTCTTGAGAAAACGGGTTCTGCTCACGAACACAGACAAAGAGAAAGAGAGAAAGAAAGAAAGAGTCAGAGAGAGAGATAGAGAGAGAGAGAGGGAGAGAGAGAGGGAGAGAGAGAGAGACAGAGGGAGTTTCTGTAGTGTGCTGAGGGAGCTAAAGAATTGCAGCGAGCCAAAGAGTCGGAAACCAAAATGGCTACCCACAACGGGGTGTCGCCCAATGGCAGCTGCACCTGGGAGACCCAAGAGAAAGAGTAGCTCAAAGAGCGAGGGAGTTGCTGGTCAGATAGAGAGTTGTTATAAATCGAGTTGCAGATAAGAGGAAATGGAAACGATAGAGAAAGAGAGAGAGAGAGAGAGAGAGCGACAGCGAGTACGATAATTTTGAACTAATTTATGTGATATTCTTTCTTGTCATCTTTGCAGTCCACATCGGATCAGCAGTCGACGCGTGATTATCCACAGTTCAGCGGCGACTATCACAACGTACAGTTGCAGGTCGCCGCCGTCGCAGCCAGCTCCAAGATGTATCACACCAGCAGCGCCGCTGCAGCGGCCGCCTACACGGATCTGGCCGCCGCCGGGGGCGCTGCCAGCGTCTCTGGCTATCATCATCAGCAGGCCGTCAATGCGCCCGTCTATGTGCCCTCCAATCGTCAATACAATCACGTTGCGGCGCATTTCGGCAGTGCAGCAGCAGCCCAGAATGCCTGGACAACGGATGGCTTTGGTTCGCCGCATGCCCAGTTGCCGGCACAATTTTACACACAGAATGCAGCAGTGATGATGGCACCTTGGCGATCCTACGATCCGACTGGCTTCCAGCGCTCCTCCCCTTATGAGAGTGCCATGGACTTTCAGTTTGGCGAGGGACGCGAGTGCGTCAACTGTGGTGCGATTTCTACCCCGCTTTGGAGGCGGGATGGTACCGGACACTATCTGTGCAACGCTTGCGGACTGTATCATAAGATGAACGGCATGAACCGGCCGCTGATAAAGCCCAGCAAGCGACTGGTGAGTGCAGTGAGTAGACGCAAACCATATATACACTTAATATCCATGTTAATCAAAACTTGCTTGCCAATAGACTGCCACACGGCGATTGGGGCTGTGTTGCACCAACTGTGGCACACGCACTACAACCCTCTGGCGTCGTAACAATGACGGCGAACCCGTCTGTAATGCCTGTGGCCTCTACTTCAAGCTGCATGGCGTCAATCGGCCACTGGCGATGCGCAAGGATGGCATACAGACACGCAAGCGGAAGCCCAAGAAAACAGGCAGCGGCTCCACAACGACTAGTGGCTCGGGATCCGGCTCTAACACGGAGGCCATCAAGGACTGCAAGGAAGAGCATGGTAAGTAAATGAAACTTAAATTAATGCAATCCTCTTAAAGTATAAAGAAGTTCAATCAATTCCTTACTTGAAATTATTATCATAATTGCAATTTCTTTTATGCACATCGTGAGAATATTTCTTTGTCAACTTATTTAAGTCCTTGTAAAATTTTGAAAAGCTACACATTTACATCAAAAAGTTTATCAGTATTTTCCGGTAAACTTTGAGTTTTTGAATTGCGTTTGATGGGAATATTTTGGATCTCAAATGACAGATTATACTTTTACTCAGCTACTGTTATATGCGCATTTTGACGAGCATATGTTGTATACCGTTATTTGACACTAGGAAGGAATGTAGGAAGAAGTAGGAATGATCTACTCGATGTGTATTGACAAAAATGATTAACTTTTACTACTCTATCTATCGTCTTTACCTTTCTTTATAACTTGATGTGCTCGCATTTATTTTTTAGAATCCTTTGGTGTATCCCCTTAACATATATTGTTTTTCATTCATTAACTTTGCAGATCTCAAGCCCACGCTTAGCCTGGAACGACACAGTCTCAACAAGCTGCATACGGATCTGAAGAGCACTTTGGCGGGTAGCGTCGCCAGCAGTCTGATGGGGCAGCATCATGGCCAGCAGCAACAGCAACAGCAGCAGCCGCAGCAACACCCAGTACCGTCGCATCAGCAATGCTTTCCACACTACGCACAGCAGCAACAACAGCAGCAGCAGCAGCAACAACAGCAACAGCAGCAGGCACAGCATCAGCAGCATAGCCACCAATCGCAGCTGAGTGTGCGGCAGTTGCATGGCGCCAGTTCGCAGCTGTATACGGCCGGCAGTAGCTCGGCAGCCTCCGCGTATACGACGCACAGCAGCAATGCGGCGGACACGCCCACATTAAGCAACGGCACACCCTCGCCACACTATCAGCACCATCATTTGCATGCGGCGGCGGCAGCCAGCAGTTCGCATGGACATCATGCGGCTGCAGCTCATCATCATATACATGCGGCAGCCGCAGCCGCAGCGTATGGAGTCAAGACGGAGGCGAGTGCCACCAACTATGACTATGTAAACAACTGTTATTTTGGGGCATCGTTTGGTGCACTGGGCGGAGCGGCCTCCTCGGCGATGGCGGGTGGGGCGACCAGTGATCTGGCTGGCTATCATCATCAGCACAATGTCATCCAGGCCGCCAAGCTGATGGCGACATCCTGAGCAGCAGCTGCAACAGCAGCAGCAGCAGCGGCGGGCACTGTGATCTCTTCCCCAGATAATTTGGTTGGAGCTTCGTTGGAATGGTATTGAAAAGACTTTTGAATTAGTTTTACATAAGTTGCAATTAGTTTTTATCACCTGTAAATAAGTGCACAGAAGTTTTGTACAAATATTTGTTTATCGCTTCGTTCTATTTACTCGACCTTGTGTAAGTACCCAGTTAGCTTAAGTTTTAGTTTTAACCAGCAATTGTAAAGCGTTTGTATTAACCTATTTCTCTAACTAGCATAAATTATTGTTAATTCATAAAACGCACACAATCATAGATCATTTAGACATAAGACTAGTAGAACATTTAAGGCCATGCATATTATCATATAAATAAATGTCAATTTCAACATAAATCCAAACATGAAGCTGCTATTTCGTAGACAAACTTACGATTGTCATTGCTTCAAAATTCGTTTTTGAATTAACCTGCTCCTAAAAGTAGGCGAAAGTGTTGCGCTTAATATGGTATGTTTCTCTCAAAAGTATGCAACAAATACATTGATGGAAGGTTTATTTGAAACCAACAGAACTGTGGCGGTGCTCTAAAATTTAAAATTGTTCACGCCATTTTCAGCTGTGCCCTATCAAATTAAATAAATTAAGAGTTGTTTGGCCTTACATTATGAAGAGCAAAAAGCAAATTAAGCTGGTACAATAAAATATATCTACTATAAGTGTTGAATATAAATTCAAAGTTTTTATTAAACACATTAAAAAGGTACTGACTTAAAAAAGAATCCATCTCAACATAAATTACCTATTTATTTAAGTGTCGAAAATTCTGAAAAACTGCCCTGTATCAATTATCAATAACCCTTTCACAATACTTACTCAAATTTTACTCGGTCAATGTCGACAATAGGAAAACACCCACGATACACAGCAAACATACGAAGCATATAAATATCTAATTAAAAGTCTCAACTGAAGCTATTGAACTCATGATGGCCTACTGAATTTAACATGTGTTTTTTTTACAATTTATTCAATGCAGTTTGTTGGTGTTTAGATATCTTCATATGTGTTCGAGTACGCAACGCATTGCAAAAAAGTGGGCAAGTGTGAAAGTTACGTCACTTGGCAGCCAAATAAATTGCACATAAAGTGCATTAAAATAAAAATATTTGTGAAAAATAAAAAATACAAATATAAATACAACAAATAATCGCTATAATAAAAAACGAAACTATATCAAAATAAAAATTACGCAACACGCGGGAGCCTTTTTGCTGCATTTATTTATGACTGGTCTGCATGTATTAAATTTCAGCTTGATTTCATTTTTTGATTTGGCAGTCGGTGAGGATGCAATGGAAGCTGTAACTAAAAATCAAAATAAAAATTGTTACAACATTCGGCTAATTTGGTAATTTCCGCACACGACGCAGCATAAAAAAGTCGAAAAAGAGATGCTGATATAATGGTGAATGTTGGGAGAAAAATTAATGTAAAGCTACCTCTCTATTGGCGCAATACTAACCTTGCCAGGGGGTCTGGGTCTGGACATGCAACAATGAAATAAGTGGTAAAGAAAAGCAAAGATACAACACAGGTGGGCCATGCATATTAATTTTTTTTTAACGTCAACATTTTATTTTAAGCATCGACAAAGATGAAGCAAAATTATTGGGCCCAACTTTAATTCAAGTGACTGCATAACAAAAGACTTGCAACTAGATGCGGAGGCACCCGCCGAGGCAATGAAGCACACAACATAACATAACAAGCCAAGAAAATTCCCAATAACAACAAAAAAATCAAACCGAAGCAGACCAACACCCATGACAATGAAACAGCAACCACGGTGACGTAGTCTGGGTCCCCATTCACCCTCCTCTGGAGTGATGTCTGCGTAATACCAGAAGTAGTGAACAGGTGAACAGCTTTAGTGAAGGGGAATGGTCTGAGAAGCGGGCGGGCGTGTGGCAGTCGGGTGTGTGGCGCAATGGACACTGAAAACAAGTTGGTGGCGTCTACGCAATGAACGAAAGTACAATTCAAAACAAAATAAAAATCCAAATTTTAAAAACACATATGGATTATTGATTAAAGCTGAAGTCGAATTTTGCATACAGTATAAATTAATTGAGGTATAAATTTACGATTTAAATGAAATCAATTTAAGAATACAAAATTAAAATATATCGCCGGAAATTAATGCATAATTTTTGCGCAACAGCTTAAGATGTATGTAGCTATCAAACCACCCGAACATTTGTAGGGTATTAGAAATGTTTTTGCGACACTTCACAAATGCGTTCACATCGCCACCGGTTAGTTCGAAAGCGGGTGTAAACGGGTACGGGTTTGAACTCCACTCTGTGTTGCTGCAGCCGCATGTTGCGGAATCTGTAGTACGGGCACAAAAGTAAACAAAAATGTTCGAAAAGTGGATGCCGCAGGCCACACAGCAACAACATACACACACACACACACACCGCACCACACATAAAACTAATGTCATGGTTTCGTACAACATTTCACTTCGCTGCCGCAGCAATTCAGTTTGAAACGTCGAAGCCAACGGTCGCTGCTAGCGGACAAGTTTTTAAGTCTAAATTTTAAATAATAAAGGAAGCTGTCCCAATAAGGATAATTGTGTGGTTAAACATGTTTAGCACAGCAAACTGGAAGTTTCAATACAGTTTTTGTTTTATCGGTTTTATTTATCTAATACCAAGCACAGCAGCCTATACGCGGGAAATTGTTAACAATAAACCACCGCTGCAGGAAAGACGTAAGTGAAACATAACAAATAATGAAAATTGCTTCAGATAGTTCATAGTATGAATAGTGATTAATAATAGTGCAATCAAAATAAAATGAAGATGAATATATGAATTAAGTTTAAAAAACTAATTATTTATTATATTTTTGTTATCACTTGACCTCAAAATCAAAAATCTTTATAATTTCTAGTTTTGAGTGAATTGAAAATTTGTAAATACAAGTTGGTCTTCGGATTCAAATTGATTTGCTTTCAAAACGAAAATTGTAATTTATTGCAATAAAACGTACTACTCACAACCAAATATTGAAGTTTTTTTTATTGTAAATAAAAATCTTTTATAATAAATACTCGTACAGCTTATTTGAAACAGTTAAAGTTGGTTATTAAAAAAAAAAAAGAGAAATAGGCACGGCAAAGATTACATACCCTTGTAGAGAGAAGTCAAATTGACGATATCCAATTGTCAATGCAAATTTGTAAAGCCGACCGATTCCTCCTATCATATCGACATGATATATTAGTCTGATATATTAGTTTAAAAATGTTGTAATTGATTGAATATTGAAATAATTGATTTTCCTGTTGTGCAGCATCTTGGCTACAAACCTGTAAGCGTTCCAGTCCCAATGAAAACAAATGTTTCCGTCAATTATTTGAGGGCTGCTTTCCCGCGCTTGCCGCTGGCATTCCAGAGATTGGTGTGAGGAGCTTCGATCCGCTGAATATTGATCAGGTATCTGTTTCAAAAGGCAGTGGAAATTTGATTCTGTCCGGCGGCTTTCAAAACCTTATCATACGCGGACCTTCAAATGCGACAGTGCGCCGAGCTAGGTAAGTAAATGGAATGGAAATGTAGCCAGTTCGTCATTTGTAATTATGATTTAAATATTTATGCAGTTTGGATCTGTCGCGACGTCAACTGAACTTTGAGCTGGAGTTGCCGCGTCTGCGCATCAGAGCCAAGTACAATCTAAAGGGTAATATTCTTCTGTTACCATTGGTTGGCAACGGCGACGTAGCCATGGCTCTGAAGAATGTCCATACAGCCGTTTACACAAAGATCTCGCTGCGCAATGAGACCCAGACTGGGGATGAGATTATACACATTGATGAGATGAAAGTGAGCTTCCAGGTGGGCGCGATGCGAATTCATTTGAAGAATCTCTTCAATGGCAATGAAATTCTGGCCACGTCCATTAACGCGTTCCTAAATCAGAATGGCAACGAGGTCATAGCAGAGCTGCGGCCCGACTTGGAGATGGGGCTAGCTGACATTTTCCATGGCCTATGGAATAATGTGTTCTCCAAGATGCCCACAAAACTATGGTTAATCTGAGTGTAAGTGCAGCCAAAGAGTTTCTTTGCGGATTATATTATAAATGTAATTTATTTTGAGTTTTATTTTGTTGTTGCAAGTAGTTTAATTGATTTTTTGTACTACCTACCTATGATTAAATCTATACTTTATTTAATATTAATTTGAACTGCTCAATTCTTCTTTTTGGGCAGAAGTTCATCGTAGGGGAAAGTAGCAAACAATTTATCGATGGAGGAGCGCAAAATATCTACAAGTGCCTTGGTTATCAATGGGCGCACCTCGTCGGACAGCGATTTCCAGTTCTCGTTAAGAAAATCGTTCATTCTCTGCCCCAAAACCTTGTCGCCATTGAAAAGATTATCCAGCTCCATATGCACATTGGACAGTTTATATATGACCTTTATATCCGTGATCTTTAAATAGGTAGCGCCATTTTTAATATACTCCTGGCCATTCAGCTCCGTATCCATTGTAAGATTGGCTAGCAAAATACAAATATATAAGTAGTAACTCGCTTAAGAATTGGTCAAAGCTTACTTAGATCCATATGACAATGTCCATCACCGAGCAGAGGCATCATCATGATCTTGCCCTTAATGCTATATTCCGAATCCAACATAAGTTTCGGGAATGTCAGCGAAAAGGAGATCTTATGTTTACTTGGCTCGATGGTCAGATTTATTAACCTATGCTTTGACATGCCCGAAATTTTAACATTCCTATACACAGAATGTAGATAGATAGCACCCGAATCTTGATCCATTCTGATTTCGGGCACCAACAGTGGTTCCATTGGCGGTATGTACAGCTCTGGTATGCCGTCCATCAGGTGCGGCTCCAGTGACTCAAAGGATTCACGTGCACATTTATTCAAGTCCGGCGCGTCGCGTTGACAAATCTTGAGAAAACCAGCTGCAGGTGGCTTGAATTATTGGCTTAAACACCATAACTCCCAACAGATACTCACGCAGTGATTTTGTCTTTTCTTTGGGGTTGGCCAGCGTTTCGGTTGCCTGAAGTATTAACCCCACCAGCAATAAGGTAATTAATGATTTTTGCTCCATATTTAGTTAGTTTTACGTCTAACTGACGCCAAGCGATTTCTGTTCGTTTCACCAGCATTTGCATTGCTTTTATAGCTCAGCGTCGACCGCCCGTCGAGAAGCTGACGCATCGAGTTCTGCCAGACGTGCAATTTTCCGTGACATTGCAATCCTCAGCAAATTTCCAAAGTCGCATCAGCACATGTGTTTTTTCAGCCAAGTGGTTCTTACGTATATATGTTTTATGCAAACATTTTACTTGACTATATATTATGATATTTAGCCAATTCAAATACTTATATGTAAGAATATATACAAATTTGTATATAATACAAATGAGTCAATTTGTTATTGTGCTTAATAGCCCAAATTGTAACTAAACTTTTAGTTTCGATTGGGCGTAAGAATTGTATTTCTATCACATAAGCAGATTGAACACCTTCTCTGTTTACAATATCAGCTATTTTCTAGAGAACTTCTGAAATATCACATACACACATCAAGAGACATTAACTTACTAGTAAATATAATTTTACTTTCTGTTAAGTGCAAAGTATAATTAGTCCGAAAGTTTGTTGTTTGACAACCAGTTGTATTTAAAAAAATAAAAAGCCAAACAATAACGTATATCGAATAATATATATATATATATATTAAAAATTACATGTGTAAATATTTAAAAGGAATTAAAACAAGATGCAATCATAACATAAAATCGGCTTCATTAAAGACAAAATAATATATAACCAAAAGCGATTAGTTAATACAACAAAAAAAAAAGCACGATGAACATAACATAAATTCGCAAAGCGGACGGCTGACATCTCCATTATTAAAATGTTGATATGGAAGCGATTTGATATAGTATTTTAATGTTCATGCTTTCTTGCAAATAATAACACACATAATTGGAGAGTTTAATCCGGATAACATTGTATACAAAATAAGTGTTCATATGTGAACTCATTGGTATATCGACTCGCCTACTAATGCTAATCAAGAAAGTATGTACTTAATGGGTTTTTCACTGCAATACAAACATCACGACTAACCTATAATATCTGTTGCGAGAATATTAAATCAGTTTAATGCTATAAAAACTTAAAATTTTCAGCTGCTAATCTGGGAGACACATTTTCTTAATGTTGAACAGTCTGATCGATCTCCATCCCACTTTCCAGGCTGTAAAAATATTTAATTAGTTTAAATAACATTCATCATATGAGAGATCGGGAAACGCACAGTTGCCTGGTGTACAACGCCTGGGCAATCACATTTTCGGTGGACAGACTATCAAAAGCATCCAAACTGTGTGGAATTACGCCATTAGCGACACCAAAGCTCAGTTGGCTCATTGCATTGTTTAGGTCAAAAATGGGCACCTGCTGTATCGGATTAGCACTTGCCAGCATTTGCAGTTGTAGGTGCAGCAGCTGTGCTTGCACAGCCCTGAGATTCTCATGAGCGTTATTCACAACAATTGGTATTTTGGAGAAGCGCAAATGCGTCTGGTTTGTGCTCTCGCGCAAATTCTTCATTTCCTTATTTTCGAGGAACGCATAACGAGACTTTGCAAAATTAATCGAAATGTCTGACAGCTCTGACCACGTTGGACAACTGTACAGATATTTCTTCTGATAATCCTTGCTGTTCAAATAATAAAAATTGATTATTGATTGTCGATTGTAGAGTGATTACTAATTGTATACTTACATATTGAATATATCACTTTCAATAGTATTGTCGTACATCTCTTGACTCTTCTTTATACAATCCGTCCGTACGTTGTTTAAAATAGATTCATAGTGATGTACTATTTTCTCAATAGAAGTAACTATCTCCTTATGCTTGATGGCCAGTTTCATCCAATTGGATTTCCACTCATCATCATAGTTCTATAAGAATATAAAGCATAAATTGTAAATTAATAAAGACCTTAATTTATGCTGCGCTGCGATTACCAAATGTAATTTCTGCTGCTCTTCTGCAGCGCTGAGCAGTACTTGGAAATGCTCGATGGCGCCACAGCATTTATACTTTTCCTTATCCAAAGTCTTAATTAATATCTGATATTCGAGAACCTCGTGCTCTAGCGATAAGGCGTAATCCTTAAATCCACACACCAACATTCTCACGTGGGCCTGCTCTGTGTGAAGAACATGGTGCATGTCCAACATCAGGCGATCCACTAACCAGTTTTCCAATTTTTTATATTCTGCGGAAAGGTAGTGCTTAAGCGCTGGCGGCATGTATGGCACTGGTTTTACATATGGGCACTTTTCAGTGACATTAAAGACGTAAAGCATAACTGGAGGATTACGCGATCCCTCGCTGTTGTCGCACCAATCGTCCACAAAGAGATCCACTGGTTTCGTCTGTCTGGTCAGACGTTTGTGTGGATGACCCAAGGGCAGCACAAGATAAATAGACGATGATGGCAATCCGATGGACTCTTCAATGAACATGAACAACTGTTGCATTGTCATGCTGGATGTCACTTCGTACTCGAGGCGCTTATAGGCACACGCTGCGAAGATGGTTAGCACTTTCATCTCCAACAGACGATCAATTTCCGTAAATATAACGGGAGCTGCAGACGCATCTTGTACTTCATCAGTTGCTGCTGGTGAGCCACGCCGAGAATAGTCGAAATTGAGAGCCAAAGGCAACCACTTTGTAAACTGCGCCAGCCAAGGTACGCTCAAATGATGCCCGATGGGTATCTCAGTGTGAAAATGGAAGCGCAACGGAGTGACATAATCCTCAGTTATGGCAATACAATTCCAAGGCTTTTTCTGTAAATTCTGATGGATATTGACCACACTCTGGTGCGGTATATATGGCTGCACACCCGTCACCAACTCGTAAGCAATGATGCCCATCGACCAGTAGTCCACCTTGTTATTGTATTTGCCGGTTTCCACCACCTCGGGTGCATAATAATGGCGTGTGCCCACCACGCTCTGCAGAATCGTTTTGTCTGGCGATTCGCGCGATAGGCCGAAGTCCGTTAGCTTGTACAGCCGGCGGCCATCAGCCAGGCGATGTATTACAATGTTGTCGGGCTTAAGGTCGCGATGACATAGCTTGCAGTGCGTGTGAAGGAAGTCAACAGCTTGACGTAGAGAGCCTAAAATTTGACGAACCTCAAACTCCAGCAAACCTGCAGCAAATCAAATATTAGTTAGACCTCCATTTATGGAATAGTGCGTAGGAGGCAAAAACTCACCATTGGCATTTTGCGATTTCTGCAAAAGTTTGCGTACATCGCCTCCATTGCAATATTCCAGTATAATCACGGGTAGCTGGCAAAAGTGATTCTTGTTCAAATAATCAATAAATGCCTGAGAATCGGCGCTCAGCTTAACGCCGGCGACAATGCTCTTCGGATTCTGTAGTTGCTGTGTCCATTCGTATTCCTCCTTCCAGCGCTGCCGCAGCTTACGCTGCTGATCAACGCTCATGTTTTCGGCATTTTTTATGCGCTTAGTGGCTGGCCAAATAAATAAACAATCATTTGAGTAACGTCAAACAAAACAATTTTGAAGCTGACTCAGCGCATCGACAACAGTTTGAGATGCGTAGGGTTTGAGCTCTTAATTCTCGACGCTTTCTTATCAGCTCGAACACAGACATACAGAGGCAACCGAGTATTTGCACGTTGAATATTTCGACTGCGCAATACTCTGTGAACACCTAAAAATTCCATGACTTCAAAAACAGTAACTTTTAAATCATTCCAAGGATAACTTTGGTTCAAAGCAATGACCCCACAACTGTTAGATACGTAAATATGCGTTTGCGAAGAAACTTAAATCCATCAAAAACATTTGAGTTAACGAAACAAATATAGTCTTTTTCTGTTTGGCAACAGAGTATTCAATAATATTATAGCGATAACGGATAAACAACCCGATTCTTGAAGAAGACAATTTCTGAGAATTGCATTCAAGCATGTATGTATGTGGTGCTGGTGTACGGACTAATAACTCTATAAATATGTATGTGCACATATACATGGAAAAGTATATATTATATATATATATATAATTCCAAATAAAAGCACGTATGCTGAGATTGCTTACCTACTTCCTGGTCTGTTTTGCGATTTTTCCAGTGATGAACTTCGCCGAAGCCGCCTTGACCTAGGATTCCCAACAGTTCCCAGTCACCAACACTCACACTCTTCCAGTTAGGAGGCATGCTTGCAATATTAGCCTACACCTAAATCAGAATATTGAAAATTACTCCGCCGAATGTATTAATAGCGACAGCCGAACAGCAACAAGCTTACATTGATAGGTTTATCGTTATGAACAATGAATTGGCCAAAGATGTATCGGCAATCGATCGATTGCAACTAAAGGCGGGCGATCTTTAAAAATGTGAACTGTGGCTTGAAAATATTAGTCACAGGCCGAATCATTGAATATTAATTCTAAGTTGTACTTCAAGCTCAATCATAATTATTACTATTACAAAAATATTTTATTCTCATATTCTTTACTGAATAGTACCATTCAAATTGTTGGCGATACTGTAACTGTGACTTTGGATCTAAATTGGCTGACACTGCGACTAAGTCACGCGCTCATCTCTAAATTGCTGGCAAACAGGTTGTAAACAAAAGTGGCAATAGCTGGAAATTTGGAAATTTATAAATAAAAGCCATCATTTTCTGCGCATGTCTGTGTGAAAATGCGTTTTCACATGAACGGCAGCAGCGATGATAATGAAATTGTGGCTGCCACAGCTAGCGCCGATCACATACGCAAGTTTGTATTCAGCTGCAACGTTGGAGGCGGCGCTGAAGCAGCCATAGAACGCTTGGAAATTAAGATACCCGAAGTAAAATTAAAAACTCAAATGCAATGTCTGCCACATGTAATACATATTTGTGAATATAGATACTGCAGGGCGCCTACTCGTTCTACACGTGGCCAAGTGCACCAATTCTTGCGCATTTTTTGTGGGAACGCCGTCAAACTTTGGTCTGCAAACGGATTCTGGAGCTGGGCGCTGGAACGGCGCTGCCCGGCATACTGGCCGCCAAGTGCGGCGCTCAGGTGGTGCTCACCGACAATTGCATACTGCCCAAATCTTTGGCACACATACGCAAATCCTGCCTGGCCAATCAACTGCAACCGGGCATTGACATCGACGTCGTCGGCCTCAGCTGGGGTCTTCTACTGAACAGCGTGTTTCGATTGCCTTCATTGGACTTGATCATAGCAGCCGATTGCTTCTACGATCCCTGCGTCTTCGAGGATATCATTGTGACTGTGGCGTTTCTATTGGAGCGCAATCGTGGCGCCAAATTCATATTCACATATCAGGAGCGCAGTGCGGATTGGTCAATTGAGGCGCTGCTCAAAAAGTGGAAGCTGCATGCGTCCAGCATAAATATGGATGAGATTGGCAAGGAGTCCGGAGTGGATTTGCTTGAGTTTATGGGCGGGCATACGATACACTTGCTGGAGATTACGCTCATCGAGCACCAGCGAGTCGAAGATTTAGTAGAGTAATAATAAAAATATGGAAAATAATCAAGCAACGAATTATTATGTAATCATGTGTGTAATATATGTGCATATACGTATAGGGTTGGTTAATTTTACTTCAGTGTGTTACAGATTTTCATAATGAAAATATTAGATATTTTTTGGAAGGGAATTAGAAAATGTTTTTTTCATACTCGCGCGCCTTTTGTTTCGTTACATTGAGTTAACAGCGTCTTTCGTCGCTTAACATAGCGCTGGCAAATGGCAAATGCGCCATTGCCATTCACACGTCAATGTCGACAAGTATTTCACAGACAGCGAGCGTCGCTGTCGCCTTTTAAAAGTCGTGCACAGTTTTATTATTTATTTGAAAACAAAAAAATTAACTATAATACTTTGTTAGTTAGTAGCACAAAACGTTAACAAGTTCGTGCAGTTTGTATTATTAGTTGTTGCTGCAACAGCTTGGGATTACCATTTCGATTTGGCTACAAAGCCGTGCTAGTGTATTAGTGTGAGTTTGTGAGTAGTGTGCGTGTGTATTGCTATTGTGCCTGTGAAAAATCGAAGTTATTGCATTACGTTGCGCCAGCTGCCCAGCTGCTTGCCTGCCCTATGTTAATGGTGAGTGCTGCCTGCAAAGGAATGTTTCCGTATATTATTAACAACGCATTTTGTTACTGGTGCTGCTGTGGGCGTCGTTTGTGGTCTTGCCTTAAACTATATAGTTGCTTCAATTATTAACTGCAAACTTAATTAGTAACGAGAAGGAACGGAACGGTTAGCGACGACATTTTGTTGACGCACGACGCTTTTTGAGAAACATTTGCTGTTATGATTGATCCGTTAATTCGAAACGCGAGCGAGTGAGAGCGTACGTCTCACTCATACACTCAACAAGAATAGAGAGCGAGTGAGTGAGTGAGTGAGAAGCAAAACGCCGACAAAGACATTAGCGGCAACTAAATACCCTGCGCTAACCACCTACCTGGCATGTATGTCTGTTATTTATTAGGAGGGGCAGGGGTAGGAGTAACTTATTTACATGTCTTATTTATTATGGCTTGTCGCACAACAGAGAAAAATGCGCGGGATATGATTTCATCAGGGGTGCGTGTACTCCAAAGCAGGATTGGGCTTTTTCGGCGTATTCGTCATAAGTAAGATTTGCAAGCCGGATTGTTAAAAATAAATATATATATGTTCTTGCTATAAGAATAGCATTTAGCTGAAAGAAAAATGAAGGCAAATTCTAAATATGGCATTGCGACCCATTTAATTTTGTCGCCTCTCAAGCAGCGACTCTTTTCAAGCATGACGGCTGCGACTGCAAAAATTCCTTGGCCCAACATTTCATCCACAATTAAGCTCAATTTTGAAACATTAAATTTGATTGCCTAAGACCAGTGATACCCAGATTACTTCAATAAATGCAGAAGGTTTAAATTCCCGCAAACGGAGGAAATGGCTAAATTGGCAGCGCTCTCTAAATCGGAAGTTCTGGTTCATTGAGTTAGCTTTGATTTTCCTTTAGGCTATTCACTACAAACACGTACTCAACAGTTTTAAATTTCAATCGATTATTTCACTTTCAGCTAGTCGCACGTTCGACGAGCTAAATCATTGATTAAGTCGATAACAGCAACTGACAGACAACACTTAGAGGGGCAGCATGGCCGAGGATACCGAATACAAAAAACTGCCGATCGAGGAGCGATGCGTTCACAAGCTGTGGAAAGCACGCGTCGATGGCTACGAGGAGGCAGCGAAAGTCTTTCGCGAACTGGATGATGAACGCTCACCAGAATGGTCCAAGTATGCGGGACTAATCAAGAAAATGGTCATCGACTCGAATGCGCTTGCGCAGGAGAAGGGTCTGGAGGCGGCGCTCATATTTGTGGAGAACAGCGGCCTGGCTGGACGGACAGTGGGTGATGTTATGTCAGGCATCGTTCAGAAATGCATCGCCGCACCTAAGACTAAGACGAGGGAGCTTTCCGTGCAGGTCACGCTCATGTATGTTGAGATTGAGAAGCAAGAGGCCGTCGTGGAGGAGCTCGTAAAAGGCATGGAGCACAAGAATCCCAAAATTATGTCCGCCTGCGTAGCGGCAACCACCCAAGCAATGCGTGAATTTGGATCCAAGGTTATCGGCGTTAAGGTTTTAATAAAGAAATTGGCTATACTCTTATCTGACCGTGACAAAGGGGTGCGTGATGAAACCAAACAGTTGGCCGTTGAAATCTATCGCTGGATTGGCGCCGCCATGAAGTCGCATATTTCGTCATTACCGCAGGTAACCATCAAGGAACTGGAGGAAGAGTTTGACAAACTAAAAGGCGAACGCGCCGAGCCAACCAGGTAAGTTCAGCTCTCAACTATTCAGTTCCTCTTGATAATTTCACTTTGCCTGCAGATACCTAAAGTCTCAACAGGAAAAGCAGGCTAAAATTGCAGATCAGGCCGCCACAGAAGATGCATACAATGGTGAATACGATGCCTAAGGCAGTTTATTATTATTATCTTGACTATATATATACCTATAAGCAGATAATGAAACCCCCTTTAACCCCATCAAGAAAAATCGTAAGCAAGCATTAAAAGAAAATGTCTTTTGTCACTCGCCGATTCATTCATCACTAGGTATAATTTACTGATTGAAAATTTCACAATATTCGACACTTTTGGGGAAAAGCGATCCTCGATCAATTTTTTTGTAGATCATAATCTTACAAAGGCTTTAATTTAATGAATATTGATTCAAACAGTTCGCAATTATAAAAAATAAGATCGTCTATGAAAAGTCTTTGTCACAATATGACCTAATTCGTCTTTATTTTCATAGCTGTCTTTAATATTATTTCATACGAATTAATTTGAAAGTTCAATAAAAATATTAAATGCTTCAAAGATTACCTTAAGGTTGTCGGCGGGGCGAAAAGAACCCACTAGAGCCATGTTTTTGCTGTTGCGACTTCGCACGATCTACACACCTTTTGCTTTCCATCCCGTTGCTTGGATGAAGGTTATCAGTTGCCTTGCTTGTTTATTGGAAAGCTCCGATATATTTGTAAAAAAAAAGGAGAATATTGCCAAACTTAGAATATAAATGATTAACTTTATTGTATAGTTTTTATTAATGTTCATGCTGTTTTATATAGACGACGATGCAGAGGCTGGCGCTGAGGAAGTTGATCCTATGGATCTAATCGATCCCGTTGATATACTCTCCAAGATGCCTAAAGATTTTTATGATAAACTCGATGAGAAGAAATGGACGCTGCGCAAAGAGTCGCTGGAGGCACTGGAGAAGTTACTCACAGATCATCCCAAGCTTGAGGCCGGTGAATATGGCACTCTGGTCAATGCGCTCAAGAAGGTCGTCACCAAGGACTCGAATGTAGTGCTCGTAGCCATGGCTGGCAAATGCCTGGCGATGCTGGCTAAGGGTCTCTCCAAGCGCTTCTCAAGCTATGCCTCGGTAAGTGAAACGAAATTTAAGTGTCTATGTTAGAAAGATAATCGAATATATTTATATTTAAAGGCCTGCGTGCCGGCGTTACTGGAGAAGTTCAAGGAGAAGAAGCCCAATGTGGTGAATGCTTTGCGGGAGGCCATGGATGCGATTTATGCGTCCACATCGCTAGAGGCACAACAAGAACATATTGTCGAAGCGTTGGCCAACAAAAATCCCAGTGTGAAATCAGAGACGGCCTTGTTCCTGGCCCGTGCCCTCAGTCGCACACAGCCGACAGCATTAAACAAGAAACTCATCAAGCTGCTGACCACCACGCTGCTGAAGACACTCAACGAATCCGATCCCACGGTGCGCGACAGCAGCGCCGAGGCGTTGGGCACACTTATGAAACTCGTAAGCGAGAAGGCGCTGGGACCGCTGCTCACAGATGTGGATCCGCTAAAGATGGGAAAAATCAAGGAGTGTCACGACAAGGCCGAAATCAAGATCAAAGTAGCCGCAATCAAAAAGGAGGCGCGTCCGGCTACAGCGCCGTCGACAAAAGCAGCAGCTGCAGCCAAGTCTAGTGGTGGTAGCGTCGAACCCAAAGCAATCACGCGTCCGGCCACGACAGGTGCCCGCAAGGTGATTAAAAAACCAGCGGCAGCAGCAAGTGCAGCACCCGCTGCATTATCCAAGGCAGTCAGTGGCAAAGCGTTGGCTTCCGAGCGCGAACTGACACCCGAGGAGGTGCAGGATAAAGCGGATGAGCTGCTGCCCGCCGATATATTGAACGGTTTGGCGGACAGCAATTGGAAGAATCGTTTGGCCGCTGTGGAGCAGCTGCTAACGCAAATTCCCAGCTACGATGGTAAGCAGCCGGGCATATCTCAAGTTCTGGTGCGCACTGTTAGCGGACGCAAGCCTGGCCTCAAGGAGACGAACTTTCAAGTACTCAAGCTCAAGCTGGACGTGATTCGAAGCGTGGCCGAAAGTTTTCCGCTTACAGCCGTCACCGTGGATCATGTGGTCAATGAGATAACTGAGAAGCTGGCTGATGCCAAGAATGCTGGAACGGCCGCCGATGTGCTTACCGCTTTGGCAGAGGCCACCAAATTGGAGCTTGTCGTTGGCAAAGTGCTGGGCTTTGCCCTTGAGCAAAAATCGCCCAAGGTGCAGTCCGAGGCATTTAACTGGATAAACAAGGCCATCATTGAGTTTGGCTTCAAGCTGCAGCCCAAAATGCTAATCGATGATGTGCGCAAGGGTGTCCAGAGCACAAATCCGACAGTACGCGGCGCTGCTATCCAACTTGTGGGAACCATGACCATGTACATGGGCAATGCTCTAATGATATTCTTCGATGGCGAGAAACCAGCACTCAAATCACAAATTCAAACCGAATTCAACAAGAATCTGGGTGAGAAACCGCCCAGGCCAATCCGTGGCGTGCAGTGCAGTAGCGCCGGCGCCGAGGATGATGACAGTGAAGATGGTGCTGCTCGGGGATCGCCTGAGCCCATCAACTTGACCGATCTCTTGCCACGTGCTGATATCTCGGGACAAATTACAGAATCGCTGCTGAAGGAAATGTCTGACAAGGACTGGAAGACACGCAATGAGGGACTCACCAGGCTGCAGGCCATCATCACCGAGGCCAAGCTGATCAAACCTAGCATTGGTGACCTGGCGCCAGCATTGGCACATCGTCTTCTTGACTCCAATGCGAAAATTGCGCAGACGGCCCTCTCCATTTGCGAGCAGCTGTCGACTGCAATGGGCGCTGGCTGTCGCAGTCATGTGCGTGTCCTCTTCCCGGGCTTTCTCCATGCGCTGGGCGACAACAAGAGTTTTGTGCGTGCCGCTGCACTCAACTGCATCAATAGCTTTGGCGAACAGGGTGGCTATAAGGAGTTCTTTGAGAGCGAAATGATTGCCGATGCTCTCAAAGCGGGCTCGCCGGCTCTCAAGGTTGAGTTGTGGGCGTGGCTGGCTGAAAAGTTGCCGCCTTTGCCACCAAAGACGATACCCAAGGAGGAGCTGACCACAATTGTGCCGCATCTGTATGCGCATATCTGTGATCGAAATGCGGATGTGCGCAAGAACGCCAACGAGGCTGTGCTGGGCTTCATGATTCATTTGGGTTTCGAGTCAATGGCTCGAGCACTCGATAAACAGAAGCCCGCCTCCAAGAAGGATATCATGGCCGCACTGGAGAAGGCACGGCCCAATTTACCGGTCAAGCCACTGCCCAAAGGTAAACAGCAAGCACCCATACCCGAAGAGGCCAAGAAAGTGGTGCGCAGCGGTGGCGGTGCTGCGCCTCAAAAACAGGGTGTGGCCAAGGCAGCTGGTGCTGGCGGTGACAAGGCCAACGCGCCGCCAGCTTCGCGCAAGAAGGACGAGGATGTGGACATGTCTCCGCTGCTGGCGGTCAACAACATTAAAAATCAGCGACTCATCGATGAGCAAAAGATGCGTGTACTCAAGTGGACATTTACCACGCCGCGTGAGGAGTTTACGGATCTACTGCGCGATCAGATGACCACAGCTAATGTGAACAAGGCAATGATGGCAAATATGTTTCACGATGACTTCCGGTATGTTTATATCCAATGAACCATTAATAAACAGCTTAAAAATGGTTCTGCTAACTCAATTTGGTATTTATCCAAATTTTCTGTTTCAGATATCATTTGAAAGTCATAGAACAGTTGAGCGAAGATTTGCCGAATAACAGCAAGGCGCTGATTTGTAATCTGGATTTAATACTTAAGTGGCTTACGCTGCGCTTCTACGATACGAACCCTTCTGTGCTTATTAAGGGTCTCGAGTATCTAGCATTAGTGTTCCAGATGCTGGTCGAAATGGAGTATATGATGGCAGAGAACGAGGGCAGCAGCTTTGTGCCCCATCTGCTACTAAAGGCGAGTCGCAAAATCAGAAATACAATTTTGTGTTGCAACAAATTTCGTAATACTCGTTTATTTACACACAGATTGGTGATCCCAAGGATGCTGTCCGAAATGGCGTGCGCCGCGTGCTGCGACAAATTAATCTCTTGTATCCCTTTACAAAAGTCTTCTCGTATGTTATGGATGGCCTGAAATCCAAGAATGCGCGCCAGCGCACCGAGTGCCTGGACGAGTTGACGTTTCTCATCGAGTACTACGGACTGGGCATTTGCCAACCATCCCAGCAGGTGGCACTCAAGGAAATAGCTCGACAAATCTCGGATCGCGACAACTCTGTGCGTAATGCGGCTCTTAACTGCATTGTGATGGCATACTTCCTGGCTGGCGAAAAGATCTATAAGCTAATTGGCCAGCTTAACGAGAAGGATCTCTCCATGCTGGACGAGCGCATTAAGCGCGCCAAAAAGACAAGAAAACCATCTGCACCTCCAGAGATGCCAGCTGGAGTGAAACAGCCGACGCAGGTGGTGCAACAAAGCAGCATTGAGATTGAAGATGCTGTTGGCAATGGCTACGATGAGTTGCCGCCACCAGATGAGGAGGGGTAAGTGTGATACTATAGTTATCGAAGACTCGCGACTTCAATCAAACAGAAAATTAGAACAAAGCTAAAGTTTTTTTTTATATACGGTTTGGCAGGACTGAAAATTACTGTATTTTTTTTTAATCATTATTATGCTATACAAATTAGACTATTTGTTTCGAGAGAATCGAAATTGAAAAATGTTAAATTATACCTTATGCGTTTCGAGATTAAATTATAAAGTGATAATGTCTATTAATATGAACAATTGTAAATCGATTCAAACTGAAAGATTTAGAAATTTGTTATATTTATGATTTGATCTTGTATGTATTTTTTATTTTGTTTGTTTTGGCTTATTTTCTTTTCTATTAATTTTGCCACATAGCTGCCAGCAGCCAGAGTTAAATGCGCGTGGCGAATGCAACAGACTGGCGGAGCGGAATGCCACAAGCGTTGAAAGCAAATTATACTCCCTGACTCGACAGGCGTAAAGTGGCCTTCTTTTCTTTTATGAATATATATGTTTGCACTCATAATTTGGTTGCTTTGTTTTTGTTGTTGTTTTTGCTGTGTGTTTATTGCTTGCGCTCTTTTCATTGTTACAGTTTTGCTCAGTTACAATTGCCTTTGTTGTGTCATTATATAAAATAAGTATTTCAGTAGCTCTTACGATTAACCATTTTTCAATGTATAAGAAATGCCCCCATATACTGCAAGAGTTTGTGTATTTCCAAATCTAAGTTGAAATTCACGTTTATTTTTCACAGCACATTTGATCAGGTGCCGTCAGCGCAGGTGCTGCAACTGCAGCAACAACTACAGCTGCAACAGCAGCAGGCGCAGCAGCAGAGAACAAGCGGTCCCTTTGGCCTAGATCCGGAGGTGATGGCCGAGATCGAGAAGGACTGGGTGCGCGTCGATCAAATGATCTTCAAGGAAATGCCCACAGTGGATATCTCGCCCCTCTACGAGCCCATTAAGGTTCTACCAACACGCGATGGCTTTATGTATCCACAGGAGAAATTCGATCGACTTATAGCGCGCTCGCGTTTCATTCAACAAAATCGAAACACGTCGCCACAGGCAAATCCCAACATGGCCACCGGCACTTCACCCTATCGCAGTCCCATGCGAATGCAGATGGAACAGCAGGCAAATTTGGATAACAACGTTCCCAAGTAAGTTGAAGAAAGATGACTTGATCTGAATGTATGTTATAGTTGAATTCGGCTGTTAAAGCTGTTCAGGCACTTTACCAGCAAGTGCACACTTCATACACATTTTCAATGAGTGCATGATTTTGCCATCTCTTTACAGCTTGGCAGATGTGCTGCCTAAACATGATCCGCAGCTGGTGAAGATCATTAAGCAAGTCAGCAGCGTTGACACGCTAAAAGCCCGTGCAGCCATCAACGAGCTAACCGAGATTATTGAAGCACCCGAAAAACAGGCCGTGTTGCGCGATTACGAAGAAATATTTATACAAAATGTGCTGGCACAGCTAAAGGTGAGGTGCTAACATTGTTTTTAATCCAATTGTCGAGTAATAATAACGCTCTTTGCTTGTAGAATCTCTCGCAGCTGCCCTTGTCGCAGGCGCTGGTTGTCTACCAGCCATTGCTGTCCATTTTGTATACATTCTTCAATGCTAGCATTCTGGGCAAAACGCTGAGCGTAGCCTGCATAAAGAATCTCATGTCTACGTTGCTACATCTTCTGGCTGATCAACGGCTCACAACCGGCGAAGATGGCCAATACAACAAGGTAATTAATGGCATATGCCTCAAAGTTCTGGACAAGGTCAACTTTACAAACATATACTGGTAAGCATATCCCCTATACACATATATCTGGATATAATTCAACAACTAGTTATGAATCTCATGCAGCGCCCTAATACGTTTGTTAAGAGAGTCCTGTCCGGTGGCCAATCTGCCCAAATTTACAGATTTACTTATGAAATGCATTTGGCGGAACATTAAAATGCTACCAGAACGTTCCAATGAGCTGAACTATGATGCCGTAATCTTAGAAGTGCATGAATTTATGCTGGCACTGCCCAGCACCTGGTGGCAAAATCGACCATCGGATACGCCACTACGCACGATCAAAACAATAATACACAACATGGCCAAGGTGAAGGGTAATGCCATATTGCAGCATCTCAATCAGATACCCACACACTCGGAGCTGCACACCTATTTGATACGCATCTTGAAGGTAAACGGGCAGACATTCCATTTATCGTGTCATAGTTCTTTCTACATATGCAATTTATTTCATAGAATTTCCAGAAGGACGGCACAGTGTCCGGCACGGGTGTCTCACCTCAGCGTCAGCAATTTCCAGGCAAGGATATAGGCGCAAAGCGCATATCACATCAAACGCACGACACAGTGTCACAAATTTTCAAGTTAATCTCGGACAAGGATACTAAACAGCAAGGATTGCAGAAGCTGTATGACTTTAAGGTACGTTTTTTGTGTTGCCTTTGCCAGAATTAGACTACAAAATTTTTGTTTGATCACTGCAGCAGCAAAATCCTGACATAGATCTGAGCACTTTCCTGCAAGGCGCCAGCGTTACTTTCCACAAGTACATTGAAGAGGGTCTCGCCGAAATAGAACGCAACCAAAACGCAGGCTCGACGCAGGCGCCCGATAATCGCACAGGTTAGTGGTGTCCACAGCTACCAGACCAATTGCAACTTTTAACTACCCGCACCTGTCTACTAACATACTCTATAACCAATCTGCAGCTGCTACACGTTCTTATCTCACAGATGTCAACCATCAAAATGTTCACGATCCGGACTATTGGATGGACCGTTTGCAGAAGATGATGTCCACGCGGCACAACTCGGAGGATGGCTCCAACATGCTGGACAATAGGGTGGCCGACGAGAATCTGTGCTTGAACTCAATGAACTCACAGAAAGTGTCTCTCATCAGGCGTGAGGTAAGAGTGTGCTCCGAATTCTCTAGTGAACGGGAATTCATTTTATTTTAATGATTGATAATTTAATAATAATACGAATGTATTTCGTTACCCCATTTTTTCTGTTTTATCCTGCAGAAACCCGAATTGTCGCCCAATCGCCTGCAGCATATACAGGCGAAGCTGGCGCAGATTAAGAAGGAGAATCACGCCCAATAAGTATGGACGACAGCCGTATTACTATTTAGTTAGCACTTTACCCGTTCTGCTATATATATATATTACATATTATTGCTGATAGGCAAACGAGATATGCTATCCAGCTCTTAAAGCGGCCGCGTAAAACACATAAACAATTTATTATTTAACATATTTACGTATGCTTATAGACTCTCGGTATAATCATAATAATGTTTAAAGGCAGGTTAACAACAACTACAATAACATTAATAATAACATCAGCATACTACATACCAACTATTAAACACTACTAACGAATGTAAAAGCAAATTATCTACGTATTAGCACTGAGTTTGTTTTTCAATTGGTTGAGTTTAAGATCTACAGTTTTAGCCTGTTTCATTCGTCGTCGTTTGTTAAGTTAGTTCCTTGCTTCTATTTGCGATTATCTAAAGTGCTTTCTATTACAATTGAGTTGAAATTTAAAGTTGAAGCAATAACATGTTAAATATTTGTGTATTAATAAAAAATGAATTGTGTTTTCCCTCAAATTCTTGTATAAACCTTGTTATGTGGCTGTACCCAACCGATATTGTTTTTAAGCCAGGCCAAGCAAATGGTCAACATGCTCAGTGCGTGTTAAAGAACTATTATTAATACAAACATACTCTACACACTACAATCTCCACGAAACTTGATAACTAACAATTTACTATAAAGCATTCACGTTTTGATTTAACAACTCTTTAGTTTAAGCCTCATTCAGTTTAACAAACATACACATACACATGCACACACACATTCACATTCACATTCATAAACGCGTATTTTTTGTAACATCCCCATTATTTATGCAACAAATAAATGTTATATTTATAAATCATCTAATCTGCCACAGGCACAACGTCCTCCGTTATTTCAGTTAGTTCCTCTTCCTCCCCATCACCGTCGCCATTCTTTGGCTTAGCATAGCGCGACGAAATGGTAGCCACTCTTATGGCCGCCTTGAAGCCGACGCGCGCCTTCATCTTGGCCAACTTTGCCTTCCAATTCTCATCGCGCGACGGTAGCGCATTCAAGTACTCAATCATCTCCTCCTTTTTGGGATCCACAATGGCCAAGACCGACATGCAGCCATCCACAGTGCCCAGGACAATCGCACGTCCATCCTTGCTGCTCTTGATAGCCGTCAGCTCAGCCTGCAGTCTATAGTTGGCTATCATCTCAGTGTCAGCGGTGCGAAAGACGCGAATCGTCTTTCTGCCGCTGTGATAATATGCCACATACTCATCATTTTCCGTGAATATGCAAATGACGGAGAATACACCCTCTGCGATCTTTGGTATAAAAGTCTTCACCGTGGTTCCCTTGCGCAGCTCCAACAGCTCCAGTCCACCACGCGTCGGTGCATATAGCCCACATTTGCCATCCCTTGTGAGACTGCCACCCCATTTGGCTATGGAGCGCACATGCTTCTTGCTCTTGATGTCCATAATGCTGCCCTTCTCGCTGCTAATCACAGCCACTTGATTCGCCTTGTGTGGCATGGGCACCAATGCGAACACCTCCTGTGAAGTTAATCCTTGTCAGATCGGTTGTTAGTTAATGGCTCCATAACGTATATGACCTACCTTAATAGCACAACCCTTAAGCAGTATTTTCGATACGAATGCGCCATTCGTGGCGCTATAAAGGCCCAGGCAATCTTTGTTGGACTTGTCCACAGTAACCACTACAATATAAGCATTATCAGCTGTTATAACTGATTGCCGAAATGGCATGCCAGTTATCATGCGTATTGGAAAATCAAAGCGAAATAGTATTGTGCCTTCTGCAAAGTAAAAGATAATGAAATCAGTGAATAAATATGAACACTCACATTATAGTTATTTTCTTGGTCTTCAATTCAAAGGAACTTATTCCAATAAAAATTTTAGACTACATAGAAAGTTGGACTTTGCTTATCGGCTTCAATTCAAATTATCTCTACGAAATGTTGAATATATTATTGCTGCAGAGAAATATATAATTCTTTTGAAGATATATGATTTAAAAATGTACAATGTACAAATCTACACTCATATTAGAATTTATATTGTCTTTGTGGATCTTAAATTTATACTGCGCAGCTATGTGCGCCAATTTCTTACCTGGAACCGAACGAACTGTTGTAATGGCCGTTAAGCGATTCGTTTCATCGGCACCGGCTGCTGCTGCCGCAGCTGCAATGATATCTCGCTGATTGATATTGGGCACCGATACGGTCAACACTTTATAGCCGTAATCCATGAGTGTTATCTGCTGTATGCCAGGCTGATCGTCGCGGTAAACGACCTGCTCGGAAACGCGATTCCAGATCAAAAACTTGCCCGTCTCCGATGAGATAATGTAACGTCCATCCGGTGTGATTTCCGCGTGCGTAACAATGGCACCCAAGGGGCTGTCTGCCAGCTTGGCCAGCAGGCGGCCGGAGCGTGTCTCCCAGACGCCCACACAGCTGCGAGTAACTGTCACAGCCATGTCCACTTCGGAGAGACTGATGTCGTCGATTTGCAGCTCATGGCGATCAATCACGTGAACCTTTTCAAATATGTTGTTTATGTTCCATACCTTGACTGAACGATCTATGGAGGATGTAACCAAATTGTTCCAATTGCCAATGGTAAGCGGCTCCAGCTGTATGATACGCCCGAAGTGAGCATCCAACACTTTGGCCAGCTGTCCAGTGTTCAGATACCATACGTAGAGATTCTTGCGAACGCCAGCAACTGCATAATCCAGCTTAGAGCTGACCATAATTGAATTGGACTGCATGATGCGAGTGGTGATGTTGCGAACGCCATGCGGCAAAGCCAAGTACATTGCACCCTCGAATATGGGTGCGCGTTCACTACCCAATTCCTTGTTGCCAAAATCCCAGATGACAAAGCCCTTGCCAGCGGTGCCAAGCAACATGCGATCGTTTTGGTGCTGATCCAGGCGCAACTGCAGCAACATTTCCTTATCATCGTTCTCAAATCGTGGTAGCGTCTCCACGAAGCTCCAGTGTATCTCACCCGTTGCCTCGTTTTCCGTAAAATCATAGACAGATACTTCAAAGTTGTCCTTCTTGGCACAGCCATAAGCACGCGTGCGTCCTTTGTTCATGACCAAAGCGCTGAAGAACTGAACTGAATTTGAATAGTTTGTCGTGCGACAAGAGTCCAAACGCAAGCGTATTTCATTAATGGAGCCCGACCAAAAGATCACATTGTAATCGGTTGGAGTGAAGAATTCCATTGCTGCGGGAGAAAATGACATATGCAAATAATTTATAAAAAACTATACTAAATCTGCCATCACAATAAGATAACTGTACGCTTGGGTAGAGGTATTTATTATGTTTCACAAATTGTCTAAATTTTCAAATACTTACACAATATCTCCCAATCTGTGTTTTGTCCCGGCACTTCAAAGATGTCCACCAAGTTGCCACGCATGTCGAATTTCGCCCAGCGCAGCTTGCAAATTACAAAAAGACTATAAACCGATTAGTTGAGGAGTAAGTCTGAACCCACGATGAACATACTTTTGGTTTAGCAGATATAAGCCACTAATGGGTCCATCACAATCTTCGAATGGACTGTTGATAACCACAAACTCGCTGGAGAGCATGTTGAGCAGCACCGTCTGATTGTTGTTCGAATAGGCAGACGCCCACTTGTTGTCCGGACTGAGGACTAGTTGCTGCATGATGCCTTCGATGCCGGGATTCACATCTCGCGTTAGATCTGATGTGGACAAATCAAAGGTAATGAAATGCGTTGATATGGAGACCATGTAACGCATATCGCTTGTCAGACAGAAGGCAAATACTGCGAACTGATGACCCTCCAGAGAGTACTGCAATGTTGAGTGTTGTCTACATTCGGATCGAGTATAAAATGCCTACGAAACTCACCTTAAGTGGTCCGCCAGGTGTGTGCAGGCAATGATTGACCGGAATGAGAGCACAATCCTTGGGCCCACTGCGATCACAGGCACGTAGCAACATCTTAATATTGGGATTGCCACCAATCTCGGGTAGTAGTCGTCCAATCAGCTGCGGTGCCAGCATATTGGGATAAATGGCCAAAATGGCACCACCCAAGCGCAATGCATCCGCCACCAGCATCAGTTCACGTCTCGACTCCTTGTCCTCTGTGTTGGTCGAAGCATCCTCGAAATCAGCTAGCACTGACTGCAGTGGACAACTCGAGAGCTTCGCATGCAGCCAATCATAATTGAAGAGCACGTGCTCGAACAGATCCTTAAAGCGACGCGAGCGCACGAAATGAAAAGGTAACTCCCCAAACTGCAAGATGTTTGAAAATCTAAGCTAGGATCGGGATTAGATTCGATCTCGTTTTCGTACCTTTCGTAAATTGTAGCGCTTGGACAGGCCATCCTTGCTGGTGAAGACCAGCGGCTGTATCGGCACCTTACGATCTGCAGATCCCTCCTTGTCAGCCAGTCCAAAACGATGCCTCTGAATTTCCGTGAATTTAAATGGCTTGGGTATGCCGCCTCCCCAAATGCCCAAATAATAATCTGCAATCATGGAATGAAAATATATTGCCATGTTCATGTTCTTAAAGTAGCGCTCCTTGGCTGTGTCCTTGAACTGTCTGTGATACCTGTGGAGCACATGATAATAATATCTTTTAGTATATGCTGTGCAATGTTTCTGGGAAGTTATCCAATTTTATACATAAGCTGGCCAATTTTAATAATATTATTGAGTAAGATTCCATTTTTGAGAAATTATTACAAATTTAACCCCTTTAAACAGCTTGAAATTAATTTCGTTTGAAGACGATTTGATGAAAAATGTAATGATGTGATGTTAGTTAGATTAGCTCTTTGGGAACTGATCTAATCAACCGATTCCTATCTGTTATACTGTATTAAACAGCTTTATGTATACAGTTCATATCTATTTTCATTCTAGATGCCCCCAATTTATCTTAAATATTTAGAAACCTAAGAGAATTCGCACTAATTGTACCAGTTCATAACATTGACGCCATCCGCTTCCCGTTCACTCAGATAGTTGGGCAGATCATTTCTGATGCGCGTCCAGAGCAGTGGGGGAATACGACGCGTTGGCGGCATATGGTACTGATAGACATCATCCAAGACCTTGTCGTCCAATGAGATGAGATCCTCAAGTTCGCTTTCGGATAGACCAGATTTGGAGGCGGTAATGTAGGCCAACGCGTGAAACACCAAGATGCGACCATGCTGCTTCTCCACACGCTCGAAGAGCAACATTATTGAGTCCATCACGGTGTTGGCCAGATGGGTCTCCTGCGGACGCGTATAACTGCGCCATCGACAAATCTCTGCAAAGACCAGCTTCACAAATATGGGCAGTGAGCATTTGCTAAACGCATTGGCCACCAAACGCCACTGGTAGTTGTTAAGATCGCGACACGCTGTCTTCATCCACATTTTGATCACATTCATCGCCAGATCCTCCCCCAGAGCAGTCACCTCTATGAAGTTCTCCTCCACATCAATCATTTTGCATAGCACATGATATTCATGGGAAACTGTCGGATTCGCCGGTTCATTCGCACACGAAATGATAATCTGTGAACAATCCCAATCGCATTTATACAATAAAAGAGGAGGGGCAGATAGGGTAAAAGTATATGATACATCAGATTGCCTCATGCAGAACGGCATTTCTAGAGTCGTTTTGTGTGAGGGTGCCAAAAGTTTTTAGATTTTGGTGTTAATTGCGAGTAATATTGTTTAGCACGCACATGTCAAGCAATTCGAAAAACTTACACCGATTGGGAAGGCAGCAAAATATTTTAGTAACACATATAATAATACATTGTATGTACATATACCTGGTATTGGCAGCATGCAATTTTGGAAACTTAAAATAGAAATAAATCTAAAAACTTTTTAAATGTATTTTCATGCAGTGCTTTACAAAAAATACCTAACTTGGTATGTAAACGAGTCGAATTTCACTGTTTTTGAACCTATTCTATTGTATATATTGTACTTTAAGAATTTTAATTGATTGACAATCAACGATTAATTCAGATTTTATAGATTGTCTGTGCAAAAATATTCGAGCATTTGCTAGTACGAGTTTGTAAAGTGAGTTTGGACATGCAGAAGTTCTTATAGTACACCTTTAGAGACCTTAAACTATATTTAAGTTTCTTTTTTCTGCCTGTAAGTATTTTATTACAAATATTTTGTATAAAATGTTGTATAACGCAAAATGAAAATCGAGTCGATTTCGGATATTAAAATCGAACAATTTAATTCTTTGCAAAACTAATCAATCAATGGCAAATATATATTTTATTTAAGATTTCTAAACGTGTACTTAGTGAAATTAGTATTAATAAGAGATTGAATATACAAAAGGGCATGCATTAACAAAATATAGATTTATATCACATATTTAAGGACATGCAGTACATGCAGTTGTTGAGCTCATTGAGCCGATAGTAAGTATGTAAGTAAGACCAGCGATCTGTTTGTCGCACTCACCTTACAGTGGGCTGGCAAACGTGTTGGTATCCAGGATACCTTATTTGAATCTTGAGTGCCCGTCAATTGATCAACGGAATCTAAGTATAGGGTTAACGGCTGATTGGGACTAGCATAAGTTAGTAATTGCTTAAAATATGCTGTTAATGGCACAATATCATCTGGTATATTCTCAAAGGGTAGCATATAGTTGTACGATATCTGCATAGTTTAACATATTTTTGATTGAGTAGAAACACAATATGGATAAGTTATGTAGCTGTAAATAATGGATGGATATCACCTGCTGGCATATAGATATGAGCGTTGCCGTCAAGGCGCTCGAATCCGGCGTGGTGCCAAGGAACCGTATGATATTGATGGGTCGCTTGTCGGCAAACCATTCGGTGGCAACCAGCGCAGCGCTCTTGGCCAGTAATGAAGTTTTGCCACAGCCTCCGTCACCAAAAAGGACAAGTGGCTTATCTGAATCCCCCAGCATATATCGCTTGATACGCTCGCAACTTTCTTCACGGCCGTAAAAGATCTTCACCGAATTGTTACAAGCGTGCAAATGCTGTAGGATCTCAGTTACTATCTGCCCCTGTGCACTGGAGTCTTCTTTACGCATGGCCCTATCCACGAGCTTAACAACATTCTTATAGAAGTGCGAAATGAAATGATTCAAATACTCCTCATGCGTCTCAATGTCCAGACCCTCGCGTCCAATCCACTCCACTGTGTATCTAAATAAAAGAATAGCTTACAAATTTACTGATCAACAATGATAATTAATGAGTTTCCACTTACTTTTGTGCATTGCTAGACTCTATCTTGGCTGGCAACCGAGTATCCCTTAGATCACCCAGTAGTTTAGCGGACTCCGTGTCTAAGCTGCGATTGATAATGTCCACAAAGAGCGAAGCTTTTTTAAGATTTTGCAAATTGATGTTGTTTATGTAGCGCACATAGGATAGGCAATGATTCTTTGTATTCTTCACATTCAGTATGCCATTGATAACCTCACGTTCCGTGACTAAATAATAAACGTACACTTTAAGATTCCTTCACATGCTGCGTTTTAAATCGTTACATACCCGACATGAAATAGTTGTGTACATCGTCCTTTGACATTTTATTGCTGGCGCCCAACGAGGCAGTCGCTTTGCGCAGCAGTTTCTGCATCTTGTTGAGCGTATCCCACCAGACAGCCTGATCCTCTGCTTGCAGCTTGGGCACGCGCTGTGAATCTCGCACAGATAAGTCAGATAAACCATTTTGCTAACCAAGAACTTACCTTGTTGTTGAAGTTAATTAAAATTGACGATATGGGCTGCAGCACTGAGATGGGCGGTACAGCATTGCTATCTTTTTTGTACCATAGATCTAGCAGAGCACGATCCACGCCCATCGATGTTAGTTCCTCGCAAATTAAAGCCAACTCCGACGATACTATGTATGTGGGTATGGGACGGTAGCCGTATTTTTGGCCCAGAAACACAATGAAATTGGGTCCCATCGATAGGCGCTGGCAATTTTTGATCTCTCGCATGCAGAGCTCGGTGGTCATGTGATCGTCTGTGGCCTCATCTCGAACACCCCAACGCATGTCGACCACCTGAAATTCGAGACCATGTTTCTCGCGACAGTAGTCCTTGATTCGGGGATAACACTTGGCCATCAGTGTGTTTCTCTCCATCGTCGTATCTATTTAGCAATTTAGCAACACATAAAACGCGATTACATAAGAGCTCAACACACACACACAAATATGATGCACAACGATTTGTAATTGTAAAACACACCCGTAAACGTGGAGCTGGTAAAAATACGCACAATTTTCGAGCTAACCGGCGGCAGGGACTCCAGGGAACCCAAGAATATGGAATCTATAGTGCGGTCATCCATGATTAAGTTCCAGTTTCAATCTGCTAGCACTTATGTGTGGTGCAGTCCTTTTTTTGAGGACGATCCGTAGAGGTTGAAATCCAATATATGTCTGCGCCAAACTGAGACCCAGAAAGTCAGCTAAAGTTCACATTATATTAGTTGCCGCTGTTTGGTCGATATTGCGGATTACGGATATGTGGCGCATTTGACAGTCGCCTAGTTGACGGGTTGTTTTGAGTTCAGCTCAACTGACACGCCAGCTAGCTTCGTTACCTACCTCCCACTTTTGGGTAGCCACGGGCAACACTTGTTGCTGTCCTGCCGGCTGGCGGCATTGTTTTGATTGGAAAGTCGTTGCAGTTTGTTATTTAGTTGTAGTAAGTAGATCTCCATTCTGATTGATGTTGACCGTATTTCTCTTTCTACAACAAGTGTTCTCAAGTGCTCTGAAAGTCTCATCAGCCGTGACGTCGACAGTTGCGTGCTTGCCTTACATTCCCAGGCGTTGGCTTCTTGCAACTTTCAAAGTCGTTGGCGGCTGACAACAAACGGTGCCACTTAATGGGCAGGCCTTCAGTTGCGGGTGCGACTTCTGTAGCCTAGTCCTCATGCTATGCCGTGTACTCCAATGTATATCTTTAAGTCTTCAACAGTTGACCTCGACCCAGAGGTGTGCGTGCTTGTACGAATAAATCAATGTATGTTGCAAGTGGCTCAATTACGCCCAATTTTCAAACTCATTGTATGCCCTTTGTACTAGTGCTGACATTTGATAAAAGCTGAATGATTTTTGAGGTCAACAAATTTCGTGTAGTACCAGGTACGAGTAATCGATCAGATATAAATACTTCAACTTGAGCAATTCTTAACTAAAAGTGCAACTAAAAAAGGGTAGAAATGTTTCTATTTAAAGTTCCAAATGGCACTTTATTCAGTATTAAATCCATTTAAGACATGTGGGAAATTGCTTGGTTGATAAAAATATGGCCATGGTTCAATAGAATTTTTTATAATCATCTCATTATTATTAGAAAGCAAGTTGGAGTTCAGTTGGAAAAGTTGACAACTTCCTACATTAGAAAATAATATCTCATCAGTTTATAATTATATCTGCCAATTAAGTAATAAATTGATACACAATGCTTGGGTTTTATAACAATATATTTATTTGTTGTTTTCTGTTTATTTTTACTTTTAATTTAATGAAGGTTTTTTGATAGTTAGCAAATGTTTTATATTCTTTGACTTTTGATGAATTATGTGAAAAATGTTGCTAACGTTTATTTGTAAATGGGATGTACTTATCATGAGAGCTGTATGTAAAATATTTATCATAGGCCTGTTGATAATTGTATGTGTGTATAAATATTGAATTTAGTTTAGTAAAACGTTTATTATGTTGCATATAATGCATACTTGTCTAAGATTTTGAAATGCGTTTAACTAATTTCATTTAAGTTGGCTATAGGAAAATGGATTATATTCTATAAGTGTTTTATATATCAAACGTTAGTGTATCGTTTTTTTTTTTTTGTTTTTGTTTGTTGAGAAGGATAAAACATGTTAATCACTTTTTGTTGTATATAGGGACTGTCGCGCAAATTAAATTAACTACGATTCCAATTGAATGGAAACTGCATTGCATATGCGATTCTGTTTATTATATTTAATTATTATTTTATGTAGCTATATTTCGATAATAAATAGTTAAACATATTGAACTAAACAGTAATCAAATAAAAATAATAAAAAAACAAAACTAATTAATATTACAGAAGAAAATAAAACAAGTACAAGCTGCAGCGTCTAAACGAAACAGAAATATTTTCTTTTTTTACGGGTGTTTTTAGCCAGCGATTTGCTGTCCATTTTGCAGGACCTTTGTTGATGTTGCTGCTTTTGTTGTTGTTGTTGTTGGTGTCGTTGTTGCTGCTGCTACTGTTGTTGTCAATGTTGTTGATGTTGATGTTTTCTTAGATGCTGCTGCTGTGGATGCTGCAGGTTTTGTGTCCGGCTTGGAGTCCGGTATGGCTTTAGCCGCCATTGCCAGCTTATGTATGTGTGGCGACGATGGCGACGTCACTGTTATTCTATAATAAGAAAAAGCTAATGGTTTACACGCACACACACACACATACGCACGCACACCAACAGGGGAGGCGCATTTTGGATGGGCGTTTTGGAAGGCGGGATGTGTTTTGGCATATGTTGAATGCATAAACATATTTACAAAGCATTTTGGTTTTTATGAGTTTGTTTTTGTTTGGTTATCGTATTTTGTTGTTGTTTGTTTTTGTTGTTGTTGATGATGGCGGGAGGCGGCGTTTTTTGTTTTTGGGTCAGTTTTGGATGTGGATGGCATGGTTTGTAGTTGTAGCATGTATGAAGTAATTATGTTAATTAGATATTAGCCGGCAAATAGCAAAACAGACCTTAAAAGCTAAGTAGCTAACTAACTAGCTAGCTGCTGATAGTTATAGTTATACATATGCATAAGTATTTTATCGAGCTAATGCGACTACGGTGCTTAGTGCTTGTGCTGCCTGCTGTTTGAGTTGACTTCGTTATCAGCGTACCTAGGGCTGTTGTCGTCCTTTTCGCAGATCAGCGTGCGTGTGGTGAGCGGAGGGAGAGTTGGCAGGTTTAACGACTGCTGCGAACTGCGCTTGGCATGCACGGGTCGCAGACGCTCCTCCAAATCGCTAATAGAGCCCACCGAGCTAATGCTATCCTCACTGCAGCAATAAAAATTAGTTTAGTATATTTAGAATATTCACTGCGTATGCATTAACTCATATTCACCTCTCGCTTAGCTCCTCCTCACCCTCCTCCTCCATGGCCTGCTGCAAATCGGCAATGCGCTGCAGCGCCAAACGCAAGTCATTCTTTAGCGCCGTGCCCTCGGATTCCATAACCTCCATTTTCTTCTCCAAGTCCTTGCGTCGCGTCAACGACTCTTGTTCACGGCTGGACAGCGAGTTAAATTCTTCGCGCATGTCGCGTAAACTCTTTTGCGATTTCTTGAGCACATCCTGCGATTGCATTTCGCGCATCTTCGACTGTGTCACTTCGTTTTGCAGCTTCTCTAGAGACTCCTTGTGTCGGCTCACTTGCACCTCGAGACGTGCACGTGTCGCTTGCTCCAGTTCTAGACGTGACTCCAGCTCCTTGGTGCGCATCTCCAAACTGCAAGAGAATTTAAGATTTCAGTTGTTATACTAAACTTTGAGATAATAACCGATTATAATTGTTAACTTCATATTAATTACTCAAGAATAAGAATTTTGATGTCTATGTTGGAAATATATGCTTGTGGAATTTCTAATTGCCTTGAAATCACTGTATGGAAACGATATCAGACACGTCGATTTCGGCGTTGCTCTGATAACCAATGAGTCATGCAGTCAGTTAGTCAGCACAAGCAATTTTATATATGCATACAGATAAGTTAATCCTTGCCGTACTCACCGCTTGGACATGACAGCCATGGAGGGATCACCCATATTTTCCACATTGTCCAGTCTGTGCTGCAGCTCGGCCACCTGCTCTTTGAGATTGTTGCGCTCCACTTCGAGTTCGGTGAATTTGAACTCGGATTCGGATACGTTGATTTGCTCGGCGTTCAGCTGCTTGACGGTGGCGCTGTACTTCTTCATCAGCTCGCTCAGCTCCTCTTCGTTCTCCTCAATCTGAGCCTGCAGTTCAGCGCGATCGCGATGCGCCGCATTTGCGCGCTCCTCGGCATCGTTGCGAGCCCTGTGCGACTCCTCGAACATGGCCTGCACCTCGGTCAGTTCCGCCTCTGCGGTCTGACGCGCCTTCATAGCCAGCGTACGTGCAGACTCAGCATCCTCCAACTGATTACGCAACTGTCTGATTAGTGTCTTGCCAGGCGTATCCGCCTTGAGTCGTTCCAGCTGCGTTTGTGCATCCTTCAGCAGCGCCTTATATTTGCGTAAGTCACGACGCAACTTTTGGTTCAGCGCTTCTTCAGCATCGCGATCCACACGATCGCGATCCTCCATGGAGCTGAGTCTGCGCTCCAATTCATGCTTTTCGCGGAGCAGCAGTGTGCGCTCCTCGTGCTCCGTTTCCAGCTGACACTCGAGCGCCTTCATTTTCTTGTAGCTATTGCCGCGCACCTCCTCGAGCTCTTCGTCGCGCTGTTGCGACTCTCGACGCGCATCCTTGCGCATTGTCTCCAATGTCATCTCCAGACGCAGCTTGGCCTGCTCCAACAGCTGTATTTGCCCGGCCATTTCATCCAGCTCCTCCTCCTGCTCCTTGGCACGTCGTTCCGTTTCGTTCTTGGAGCGACGCAGCTGTGCAAATTCCTCCTCGGTACCGCCGCCAAAAGTCATCTCCTCCAGTTCGCGCTGCAATGAGGCAAGCTTATCCTCCTTTAACTCCAGATCGAGACGTGTGTCCTGCAAGACAAGATTTACAGCATATTCGAATAGAATAAACACATCACGATTTAAATAAATTTATATATATATATAATGTGTCAGCGGGAAACAGCATTCACGTACTTGAATCAGGCGCGTTGCACATGTGGCGCTGAAACTCATGGCTGTACTTGAGCACTGAATGAGTAATTTCACATACGCATATGGAAATGGATATGGAAATGATTCTAGAAACGGGGCACAGAGCCACTCGGCCCGTTATCACGCGCGGCCTCAACTCGAATCTTCTGCTTATTATTACGATTATTATTATTGTTGTTTTTAATTTCTTTTTCGTGGAACTCGAATCGTCGTTTCTTGTGGATGCCCGCCAGTCCGTCAGTCCCGCCTATATATGTACTCCAGTTATCGCGCGTCAACGTCCATGGAGGCACTGTTTCGGTCACAGTCATCAGCCAGCGATCGTTGAAGAAAGCCACAAAGCGTAGAGGCAGAAACGTGTGACCAAACACAGACACAGACCACAGAACGCAATGCGCAAACAGCCGATAAAAACATGAGAGCCCGAAAAAACATGAAAACAAGAAGCAACAGCTAACATCATTGCCACACCGAAACTGGCACACCCTTGCAGAACACGTATTCAAATCTCAATTTAATGGTTTATTTAAAAAAAAAAAACACTAACTGTATATTCTTTTAGGTGGCAGATGTACATGTTGTAATTCGATTTAGATGATTTTTTAATTGAAACTGAAGTGAAATTTCTTTATAAAACAAAAAGATAGATCCTATTCTATATGAAAAAAAGGAGTAGTTTACAGAGAAACAAGAAAGCGTATTTGCCGTATATTGTGCCGTATTTTATCAATATTATTTATATGAAAAAGATAAAATATGTCTCCTCAAATGCGTTACATATTTCATGATAAATTTAGCATAGCCTTCGTGAGGTTAAATAAAAAGAAGCAACGACTCTCAACAACACTACACGCTCTCAATTCAACTGAGCGCAACTGAGCGAAAACCTTCTTGAAGAATAAACGAAAAAGAGCATGCGGCTTGGAGGAGCATGTCGCATGCAGCATATGGTGTGGGCAGGTACTTGAATATTGCCATTGTATACACGTATAGTGAACAGTCAGCCAGTCAGCCACTCAGGCAGTCGTCTGTCAGTCAGTCGGACAGTCAGGCAGTCAGCGGCGTGGGTAAACAAGCTGAACGAGTTTTCTAAGCGGCAAGTCTACCGATACTGTAGTCTTGTGTATATCTGTATCTGCCGCAATATGTTGAATGTGCCACTGCAACTGAAACTGGCACTGCCACTTGTTGTTGCCAGAGCTGATTATAAAATCGATTTGTGTGCTTGCGTTTTACTACTTGCTGTCCTGCTCTCGTATGTTTCCCATTCTTCTTAGCCACACATAGCCGTTTTCTTTAGCTACGAAACAGAGCTATGTAAGTGGTCTGAAACATTGCGGAGTGTTTAGCAACATGTGCTGGCAACATTTATGTTGCGAACCAAGTTAGAGATGGGAGAGTGATTAATTGTATGAGAATTGAAATGAGCAAACACTAATTGGAACTTAAAATTGAATTTCAAGTATTTGTAATACAATTAAATTGACATGTAGTTCGAAAATGTATTAAGACAAGTGTTGATGGGATGATTAAGCTAGATTCGTTGTGTTTTTCAGCTGAAGAACACATTTTATTTCACATTCGTGGACAATTCTACACAACGAAATCACGACTTTTAAAATGATGTGCGATGAAACCAAAAACTCACATTATAAAGCTTACTTCCAAATTTTCATGTTGCATTCGAAATTCTCAATAATAACTATTAAATAGGAAGTTTATCATTTTTTATATTATTAGTTTTCATCTTAATTTTTGGTAATTGAAAGCGTCACGAAACCGAAGCGTCATAATTCTAAAGATTATATTTTATTCTTATACCTTATATTACCTATAAAATATTATTTTGTACGTACCGCCAACGTTTGTTCCACCGTAAATTTCTCAGCTTGGAGGACGTCCTTTTCGCGTCCGTAGCGCTCCTTGGCCTGTCGCTCCTGGCGCGACGCATCCTGCAGGGACTGGCACTCGGCATCGAATTTGCGCTGCTTCTTCTCTAGCAAATTGTTGCGTGCATTTTGCTCCTCGAGCAGCATGCGCAAGTCATTCATCTCGTTGGTCATCTTTTGTGCCTTGCGTTTCCATTGGCCCACAACCTGACGTTGTTCCTCAACTTCTTCGTAGGCATCGGATAGCTAACAATGTAATGCAATGCAAATTTGAGATCTCATCTGTTCAGAGTTTGACTGAAGACAGCAACATACCTTCTTCTCCAATTGCTTCTTTAGCCCGACCAGCTGTTCCAGATCGTGCTCATGCTGTGTCTGCAGTCGTCGCTTGGTGAACTCCAGTTCTCTGGCTACGCGCTCGTACTTTAACTTGTAAACACCACCGGCACCCTCTTCGTGTTCGGCATCCTCGTCCTCGGATATGCCGTTTAAATCGGATTTGGCGCATATCAGCTCCATTTCCAGCTTCTCACTCATCTCCTGCAGGTTCTTCACCTTGGTCTGATGCTCCCCAAGTTCCTTTTCCAACTTCAGACGTTCCCCAGTCTCCGCCTCCAGTCGCTCGGTGGCAATATGCGCAGTGGAACGCTCCTCTGCCAGATCCACAGTTAGCTCGGATAACTGTAAAGAGATATAGAGATGAGATGTGGGAAAGAGATGATATTGCTTGGCATTGCAATGCGAAAAATCTCATGGCCTTGCCAAAAATTAAATGATGCGAAAATTCGTCAGATATTGGTGTGAAATCTATTTGTTTCATGTGTTGTATATTGTTCTCATTTCTTTGGCATATCTATAAACAGTTGAAATATATATTTATTTATCCTATCGGCATGCTAAGTTTCGCAATTGGTGCGTTGTACAAATGACCTTAACCCAAAAGTCTGAGAATGCAAATTATTTCAAATATTGACTGCAAACCATTAAATTCAAAATGTAATTTCAGGGAAATTATTTTTCACAATTTGTTAAACTCCGTTTGTTTGTCAAAATTTCAAAATATGTTTTCTTTGTACAGCGATGCTTATATTTCGGGTATAATAAATATGAATACAGTTCAAGTTAATATTTTCTACGATTTTTGGCTTCAAATATTTGAAAAATATGTGCTTTGAAATTAAATTTATATGATGCATATAGAATTTTTATATACAATTTAATTTAACAATACAAAAGAAATAGGAATATACAATATATATATATATATATATATGCAATACATATGTTTAGACAATATGCAGAGATACATATACATATATATGAATACACAAAATATGTGATTATGATGATGTGATTTATTTCAAATACGTTTTTCTTCTTTTTTAAGTGTGCATCCATATGTATATGTAGAATATATAATATATTAAAAAGTATTTAAAAATGTATTTTTACTGAAAAATTGTAATTAAATGTAGCTAAATGAATTAAAGCTTTTTAGTGCACACAAAGCAATAAATAAATCATTTTATTCAGCCCAAGGCAAAAGTATATGGAATTAAAAAAATATACCTGTATTTTATAGCTATTAACTTTGCATCCTAAAGTAAATAGCAGATGCTAAGATATATATTTCAGCTTTCAAAGTACCAATTATATATCTGTTAATCATCTTCCCTTACCCAAATAAACAAAGTAAAAAAGAGGAGAAAAAATAAAGTGGAAGCATGGAATATTGCCATGTCAAGTCCTACAATATGCAAAGAATTCGTGATGCGTGATTCACGCATTAATTTGTTGTGTTCCAAAAATAGACAGAACTGAGCAACTTAAGCGAACCGCTAACTTTAGCAACAACTCAACGTCGACGTCGGAGGATGCCGCTGTCAATGTCAGCAGCGCCGCAGCGTTGCATGGAATTGGAATTTTTCAACCATATGTTTACCTAAGAATCATTTATATTTATGGGCTGTATGGCAGACAAGACCGAGCATCATAGAGGGAGGGATACGAAATGAAGTCAAATGTTGCCCACGCAGAGAATCAAATAAGATATCAAAGGCAGAGCAACATCAACAAGCTCAAGGTTAGCAAGCATCTATCGAAAACTACCTCATCCAACTCATTGTCATCCTCCTCACGAATGGTCCGATCGTCGTCATCGTCATCATCGCCTGCATTCACAGCAGACATTGTTGTGGTGGTCACCGATGATTCTCTGGCCATGGAGTTGCCACGCGACGTTGGCGTGTGCGGCAGCTGTTTGGTTAGCTGAAATGCCTTGGTCAGTATATTCTGGGCGGATCGAGTGCGTCCCACTGAGCCGCAACGTTCCATGCTGTTGCGTTCGCGTTGTCGCTCAATCAGCGATATGGTATCGTAATCATCATAATACACCGAGCTGCCGCTGGGCGTGCTGCAACGACTGCTTGGCCCGCCACCAGCTCCATTTGTGTTAATTGTGCTGCTGCTGGTGCTGTTGTGGCGTCGCGTGCGCCTGCCCATTGCCGTCCATTCCTCCTGAACGTGATCGGTGCGCTTGAGAAAGTTTTGTATCTTCTCGCTGAGATAGGCGGATGATGTTTGCGGATCTTCAAACGATGGTGTCGGACGCAGCGTCTGATGCACCGGTTGCCGTTGGCAACCCAGAACAAACGACAGATTTGCATCGAAAACCACCGGTGAGCTCTCCAGCTGCCGCATCTCATACGGATCCAAGCCACTGCCTCTCGTATAGCTCTGGGGAAAAACACGACGCGGCGGCGTCTCCAGACGCGATGTGCGCGTTACACTGGACGGTGTGGAGCAGCGCGACGATATCGAATATGCGGGACTGGGTGAACGGGTTAGGAGACGCAAACGATCCAGTGCTGCATCGGGTGGAGTTGCTGCTGTACCAGATGTTATTGTTGAGCCTGTTGGTAGAGGCAGTTTCAGCGAGATCTCGTAGTGACTATCAGTGTCCTCATGCTTGGCATTACCCAATCCGGACGTTGAAAGCAACTGCGAGGAGCTGTGCCGTGAGGATGTGTAACTAGTGTTTCGTGTTGTGTTTGTTATATTTTTATTGTTGCTGTGCCCATTGGTCAGCACATTGACCGGACTCTGCTCGCGATGCTTGGGTAGCAGACGCAGCTGTCTGCGTGCCCCTTGGGTGCTGCTGGGTGGTTTCGGTGGCTTTAGGTTGCCCAGCGAGGAGCCGCTGCCGCTGCCACTGCTGTTGTTATTATTTCTCGTTATACCATTCATGGCGGCCAAGACGCGTGCCATAAACGTGGCCTTATCCTGCTCAGAGTCGGGCTCAGAGTCTAATTCAACATTGCTAACATCCTTGGCAGCTGCAAAATCAGCACTGTCATCAATTGCTGTATCAGCAATAGGCGCCAGTGGCGGCATCAGGGTAGTTGTTTAAGCAGAAGGTGGAGAGGGGCGGTAGCTTGCAGGTAAAATGCGTATTAATCAGGGACTAATATAAAAAGGTCAAGTCGGTTAGTGGGCTTTTATTTTAAGAGTTTTCGTTTTGGTTTTGTGCAAATTTTGGTGTAGCCAAGTTTTGTTGTTTTTCGATTATTTGTAAAATTTCGTTTTGAGTTCGTTTTGTGGTTCGTTTTGGGGATATATGTAACTGTTTGTTTGTGTGTGTGTGTGTGTGTATGTGTGTGTGTGTGTGTAAGGTTTTACGTGCTGTCAAAAACTTGAGATCGCTTGCTTGCAACAAATTTAGATTTATCGCAAATATGCTATTTATTTTGGCTTAAGCATCAAATTGCCGCCGATATGCTGCTGCAAAGTTGTAGCGCTTGATTTTTGGTTCTTTGTTGCTTATTTTTATTTGATTATTTTGTTCTTCTTGCTTTTGGCACCGTTTAGAACTCGCACACTGGCACGCAAACGTATCGGATTCGGAATACGAATTCGGATACGGATCTCGCGACACGGCACGATTGTTTGGGGCGCCTCCGGCGTTCGCTTCACGACGTTTGCTCAGCAACTAATTGAATCGCCGCCGGATCGGCGGCCACTTGCGATGCGTGACCAGCAAAAGCTCGCCGGGCAGCTGCTTTTTGGCAAGCTGCTCACACACAAAAGAAACGAAATCGAACGAGAGCAAGGAGAGCGTGTGAACTAAGTGAAAGAGAGAGTAAGAGTAAGTGAGAGGGAGTGTGTGCCTGTGCCTGTGTGTGGTAAGAATTGCAACATGGGCAGCCTCGATATTGACATAATCTCGGCCATATACATATTGATACAAAATGTATGTATTAAGCGGAGACAACTGTTGATTTGCACAACATTTATATAAATGAATGGCCATCATGCGGATCGAAGTTGCAACACAATATGGCAGCGAGTACAGTATACCGCAATAAAGTATTATTAATGATCTTTCGCAGCATTTAAAAATACATACAACTCGCTATTCTGAAGTGCAGATAGATACCAAATATCTATACATATACACAAACATATATATATATATATATACATACATATATTTATATAAATACGAACAAGTATGTACATAAATATGTATAGCCAGTCAGTGTTCAATGGACTCACGCATTGCCCAGAAGCTATTTATATTTTACAATAAGGCAAACAAGAGGCGGAAATATCGCCAGATCACAGTCTTAACTCAATTGTATCTATCAGGAAAATGCACTCACTGTGAAAATTGTATTGGATAAATGCAATGTAGGCAAACCATTCAATGGCACTGAAGCGTAAGTAAGATTACCACAATTTTTCGATTATTAATAAAATGTGTTTCTGATCCGCAAATTGCAAAAACACGTTCGACTTTTATATTAGTTATGATAATTGTATTCCAAATTGCCAACATCCAACATCTTTGTAAAGTTACCACGCAATTTTCATATTTCCTAAATTTTGTTGGGAGAAAATCACTGCAAACATATCAAATCAATTCAACAGAGACTGAGTAATATTCAGCTTACCATTATTTATTAGTTAACCTAAAAAACTTTCCTTTCACATCTTAACAGTTTTTATCTACACTTGTGCCACTGTGCAGACTGGTCGTACATGCATATTTTCATTTATATGCATATACATATCATTCATTGTGGCATAACATAAAGCATCACTCTGCAAACTGTATACAGCATATGTCTGCCCAATTCTTGGGGCCCCAGATACTTGGCGTTTCAACAAATGTGGGCAGCCCCACATGTCATGTCAACTGTGGCTGTACAATTTTATTTAAAGACTAACAGCTAACATAAAGACTTTAGCTTTAGTCTGACATTTGTCTTACCTTGGCTTCCAGTTTCTGATTTTCATTCTTCACTTCGCTGCGATCGTATTCGATTTTCTCGAGCTTGGTGCGCAGCATGAGCAACTCCTCGTTGGCGATCTTCAGCTGCTCCTCGGTGCGGTGCACATTGAGCAGTGGCGTTACACGAACCAACAAACGCCACCAGGGCCAATCGCGCACAGCCAGAAAGGCCTTCACATTGCGCTGAATACAACGCACTGCCAGTTCCTGGGGGAAAAGAATTCCGGGTTGTCGTTAAGTTTCGGTGCGTAAGCCAACTTCCGAGTATTTTGACCTACCTGAACTCGCCGTTGTGACATCTTTTTTCGTGCCAAATAGCCACGACAAAAAGCCTGCAACTGTATAATGCGATCCGAGAGCAAGACATCGCGCTTTGCCTCCAGTTCATTGAGCACGCCGGAACGGAAGAGGATCTGAAGAATCAGATACAAATTTGGAGAATAATTAATAAAAATATAGACATCAAAATAAATGTGTACATTTACTCTCACATTAATTATATGTTTATAATGTACATTAAAAAATACATATTTTAAATTAGGCTGACGTAAGAGCATCGTTTTGAATTGCTGAAAATATATTTTCTAAGATTCGTTTACTACATATTTATCTCGCATATTTGGCATATGTCGGCAAAGTTCTTTTTCATTCTTGTTTCTAATTCTAATCTAAAATTGCAATGCGGATTGGCTTCGTTCTACAAATTAACCGTATCTTTAAATATAAATTTTCAACTAGAAACAAGATAACAAATATTGGTTCTTTAAGGAACAGCACTCAACTAATTGATATGCTCATCATAAATAACAAAAATATGTGTTTGTAGTATTCACATATTCTTAATATCCATATGGTATTTAAATTAAATTACAATGAATACCGAAAGCTGTTAAAGTTTTTAGGATTTATGTACCAACAGTGCCCCTATATAAAATGGCAGCATAACACTTTCATTTAATATGCCAATCAACTTAAGTGATTATGAATCTTGTCATTTGGATATTAAAGCAGATTAAAGCTTAATTATAATTAATATTTCAAAATGCAGATGTCTTTTAACATTGACATAAGCAGCTGGCAAGTTTGAAGAACGTGTTCGTCATACGAAAAGAAGAGTTCCGATTTGCATTAGATAAATTCAAAATTCTTTTTCGTCTTCTTTCTTTCTTTTCTGAACTTGGCAGCTGGTAATTTCTTGCTCTTTGTTATTTATTTATTTGTTTATTTAATTTTTATTTTGAGCACATTTAAGTATTCTGTAAAGTTAAAATTATAATATCAGAATAGATAATAATCTAATTAATGAATGGCAAATTATTTTCGACCACTGATTGTAAAGTTCAAAAACCTTTCACTCTTCAGCTGCATCGTATGTAAACTTTTGAGTGCAGCTGTGATTCCGAGTAATGAATAAAATCGAATACCAAATGTACTCAATTCAAGGAAGTGAAGGTCAAGGTGGCCGACTCAGTCACTCTGAGACCAATTTCAACTTCAAACAGAGCAGCGTGCACCAATTTGCACACCTGTGCAGAGAGCAAATAAAAAGCAACCAAACATCAAAATAAGCAGCACGGAATAGAAAATTGTAAATAAACAAAAATACATCAAATCCATAAGGCAAGCTGCCCCGGCTCTCCACAAACAAATGCCAACGAGTCACAGCGAAGTGGCTTAGACGCCATAAAGACTACAAATTAGTTAGCTGGAAGACATTGGATTTGGCTTGGACGCACCTTTTAGCAAGGTGTGTCAACTGTGTGTATTGTCGTTGTCGTCGATTTTGAATTTGCGACGTTTTTCGAGAAACAATTTCAAAAATTTTTAATTATGCAGCGCACGTAGATCAAAAATGAAAGTAAACCAAATGGTGAAATTGCGACTAACCGGGGGAAAAAAAAGGTGTGTGTGTGTGTGTGTATGAGTGTGTGTAAGTGTGGAGGCTTTACGATTGAGGAGAGGCGGAACTGGGCGGGGCCACCAGCAAACTACGTAAACTACAGCAACAAGTAGCCGAAACCAGGTGTTAAAATGTATATATAGAACAGAGAGCAAACAAAAGATAAGCAGCAAAGAGGTTTTCTTTTTGTTTTTTTGTTTTTTTTTATAACAATATTTATTCCAGTTAATAGTTAAAAAATAGTTGCAACTAATAGAGCATATAATAGAGTTAAGTTATGGAGGGGCCATTTCGCCATTGTTGTTGGGACTCGCTGGCTACTGCAGCCGCATAGTTACCTCTTTCATATAGGTGGGATAGATCTCCACCTGCGTTTGGATGCAGCGCACCGCCTGCACCTGAGCCACTTTTGTTGTTTTCGTCGTCGACGTCGTCGTAATCAAATTGCCGTCGCTTTGCAATTTCGATTTAGCCTCAAATTTTTGCAATAACTGAGCAATTTTATTGGGCTTGCAGCAGCTTTTGATCGGCTCCGTTTCGACTTCGCCCTCAGACTCGCACAGACTGCCGATTGAATTGCTTGTGGAGTTGGAGGACGTTGATAGCACCGTATTGCTAATATGACCCGAGTCATCCGAATCTGAGTTGGAATTACTTTCAACTTTTTTTATTGTCTGCTGCCCCGTTGGTGGCTGCGACTGTGAGTGCGATTGCTGCACCACTTTGACCAGCAGCTCGTGATTTTTGTCGGAGGTCTCGCCCAATTTGGGCGGTATTATTTTGCACGATTCTAGCTTGGGTTTGCCCACTTTCTCCTCATTGGCGTAGTGCAGTTTTTGCAGCTGTTGCTGCTTCCTCTTGTGCCGGAGCAGTTGTCCAGTGTGCTCCTTGCTAATGCCACCGCGACTGCAACGGGACTTGCCTGCATTTAAACTCTCCACTTGTCGCAACAGATCATGACCCTTGGCCAGGCACTTGACCAGCAGTTCATCGCTGTGCGCGTTGCTTGATCTGAGCGTCGAATTCGAACGTCTCGGCGGCTTGGTGGCCAACTGGCGACGCTCTAGCGTGGAATTGGCGCGCACGGGCGGTACAATAGAATTTTGAGGCGATTGAAATTTTACTTTGACTGCAGCATTCAAGCGACTGCCGCTGCGATTGCTTAATGCCAGCATAGATCTGGTGCGTTGCTGCTTCTGCGGCATTTGCTGCAGCTGCGGCTGTTTGCTGGTATTCATATTTTTGGCCAGGCAACGCAGACTGGAATGCTTGGAAATGGGTATGCGGCTGCCGCTCAGCTGGTTAAGCTCGCACAGTGAGTTGTAGCGTTGATTCGCATTGGAGTTGCTGCGACGCAAGAGCATTGAATTGGCCAACTCTGGCGTCTGATAGATCTGTCTACGACTTGAGGCTATGCTCAGTGTGCTGTGTGATTTGGAAAGCAACTGGCGATCACTGAATTCAGCTGGCGGCGGCGGCAGCAGCAGCGATTGCTCCATTTGTTCTTGCTCCTCGACGGGCGGATACTCTTGCAAGATCTGATCGAAGCTCTGCAACACTTCGTTCAGCTTGCTCTCATCGTGTGCGACTTTTTCCAGCTCCGCAAAGATCTCATCCTCCAGTGATTGTTGTGTTAGATTCAGGCTCATGTGACTCTCCTCATCACTATCCACATAGTTGCAAATGCTGCTATTTAAGGTCAACATCAACGGATTGCTGTTGGGTGGTTCCTCTGTCGACGTCGTGGTTGCCTTGGGCGTGTACTTGCCGCCCACACAGCCGCTGCTGTCCACCAAACTGAGAGCGCTCATTGAACGCGTATGCTTGCTGCCCTTGTAGTACAGCTTGCCGCTCAACTTGGGCGTCAGATTATCCTCGATCTTGTGGCGTATGTGCGAGAAGAACTTCTTACCAGCGCCCAAGGCGTGTGGCTGCTTATGGGACGCCGCAGACTTTGTTATTGTAACTGGGCGGTGTGCTGTGCGCTTGTGACAGCTTTGATTTGACCGTATGCTTATACATGACAACGATTAGTTAAGTTATTGATGATGGTGATTGGTGATGGTGATGGTGATGGTGATGATGATAATGATAATGATAATGGTGTTAATGCCGATGATGAAAATACGGGCAACAAGTAAAAGTGCATGTAATTGTTGTTTCTGTTGCGAAATTTCCTTTCTGATTTTTGGTCGACGTTGTCGCTTGGCGGAGTTGTTGACCACTTGACCACCAGCACGGCCAACACTTTCACAGCTGCTGCTGCTGGGGGGCTTTGGCGCGTAATTCGTGTGTGTTGTTTTCTCTTTGAGCTCAACGGCGCAACTGAATTTCTTACCATGTCAGACGCAGCCAAACAGCCAAGCAGACCAAACAAACGACCAACAGCAACAGAAACAGCAGCAGCAGCAGTGGCAGTGGCAGCAGCAAAAGAAATACACTCAGCCAAGTGCGCTGTGCATTCGAAAGTGGCTTATCAACAATACAGAGCCGTGGACATGGTCGCGGCTTACCGTAATTGGTGTCGGTCATGGTTAGCCAAAAGGGGGGGTGCGAGGTGTTGAACCTAGACATTATAGCTCGGTGCAACGTGTTGCAGCTGCAGGTTCGATGCTAATTAACAACAACAACAACAGCATCAAATCGGTTTACACAGTCTTCAAATGCTCGATATATGGTTGGCTCGCCTCATTAGCAACATTACCAACAATCAACAAAGTCATCATCATAATCATCAACTCTATATTCATTATCAGCAAAGTGAGCACACAAAGAAAAGTGAAAAAATTGTATGGCTCTCTGCTGTTTACTCTTCTTATTTATGCTTCCATTTAAACTATTCATTGTCAGCAATTGGACTTCAAAGTGTATTATGGAGTCATTCGAGCATGTTAATATGCAACGTTCATTCATGACAATGACAAATATTTATATATATATATATATACACACATATGTACATACGTAAGTGCATGTTGTATAGAAAATACTTTGGCTGTGGTCAGTTTGAAAGTTCAATACACTGTCTCCACGATTGCAAAGAAATACTGAGCCAACCAGAAGCTCGGGAATCGAACTTGAAAAATCCATTGAACAAATATTACATTTCCGTATGTTGCACACTTTTTGGAGTAATCTATTAAGCAAGCAGTCGAATTTATAAATAAATGCCATTGGCATTTTCATTTGAATAGATTTAGCTAATTATTAGAAAACTTAAGGTATACAGTATATACCTGAGTTTACAGTATATATATGAAAGAGTTTCGCACAAAATGCTTTTAGCTGTATATTTATGATATTTTCAAGAAGTTCTTTCAGTTTTTTCGCCTTAATTTGCCAAGTTTCTTTTTTCATGCACTGACTTCACCTGTCACTCACATAGGTTGTCTGTCCTCAACTATTCGATTAGCCACATTTAAATTTCATCAAGTTTGTATAATTAATATTTTGCCTTTCTCCCATTTATGAATTTACGTAATAATGTACAGTGATGCATCAAGATCTGTTATCTTCTCAATCATATTAAATATCAAGTTCATGATTTATAAAACTTGACACTCCTCTCTTATGGTCGCCCAACGTTCTGTGCTCGATCTGGAGTTACTTATCCATTAATCAAATTGAAATTACTTTGCGACGCAATCACTTATCATTATGAATACCTCAGCGCACAAGAGATGAGCTTAACGTCAATTAGCACAAGTCTCTCATATTTTCCAATTAGTAAGAGAAACACGTATTGGGCTAATTTATTGAATAAACGCATTGCAGTTACAACTGTTTAACAAAACAATAAAAACACTCATGTGGTGAGCTTCCTGTTTATTGTAATTTCATAATTACCGGAAAACTTGTTTACAAAGAGTTAGCCCTAAAGGGCCAATCTGAAGATTTAGATTAATTCGTAAATATATAATTGCCACGCCCTCTTCGTTGCACAAAGTTGGACGCCGCTTGCACGTCAAACCACTAATGAAGTTTTCGTGTTGTTTTATTTAAATTTTTGAGTTGATTTCAAAACATATTCCACTGAGATTTGCTCCGATGACAGAACCCGCTTCAATATATTATGCAAGTTATAAGCTGACCATTTTCCCCCTGGCAGCCGCCACAACGATTCATTTCTAATGAAAGCGAGCGCTGGGAAGTTTCACTTTAAATGTTTGCATGGAAAAAAAAATGTTAATGTACATTGGACAAATGTGGTTGTTGCTCATGTTGTTGTTGTTGTTGTTGCTGTTGCGATCGTCGTGTTGTCTGCTGCAGGTTGCAGCAGCGGGTCGCGCAACGTCATTTTTTGGTGAAAGTCAAAGCCGCGACGCTTGCGATTGGATTGGGTTTGGGTTGGGTTGGGCACAGTTTCGGACTGGGGATTTGAATTGAATTCGGAATTCGGTACGTACACTGCGTGCGCGACGTCCGATGAGCCATAGACTGCTGCCCAGGCCATAGATTATCAATATTAAACGCCAAATATCGTGTGCAGCATTCCGCTGACCGCAAAGCTGCACGAAGATGTTCAGAAAATAATCACTGGCCTGGCTATTGCTGTCGCTGCTATCGCCACCATCAACCCAGCTGTTAAATCTGGCACTCGCGTTGCCAGTCGATAGGCATACGGCGGGTTTGTTTGGCAACATTTCGCTATTCAACGCATCGATGAAATAATTTTGCTGCGTTGCTGCATCGTTTGCCATTTATAGAAAGCAACTGAACGACAACACTGAACATAATCAACAGAATGGGCTAAAGACTCACAGCTCGTCAAGCACATTACAAAACCGAGTCGACAATAACAGCTCGGAATTCTATACCACAATGGAAGCGGCAGCTTCACAGATGAACTTGACCGTGAAAGTTTTCGGCGTCATCTCAACCCAGCGAATGAGACTGAAGAAAAACAAAAAGTGGACTTGCAACAAGTGACGTCAAAAGTTAGTTATTACGATCATTTGCTGTTCAAGTAGGGATTCACAGTTTGTACGAAAGAACAGGAAATCAAAAACCAGCCAAGCAGCCATGCAGCCAACCAACCAAGCGAGCACATTGCCACAGTCATTGTTGTGGGCCCTAGTAAGTAATACGTGTAAGAAGCAATGAGAGAACACCCATGCTTAGCAGTATAGAAACGATCTTCAAATGGTGCAATACCTGAGCAGAAATGGAGGCGCGTCTGCTTCTATGAGCAACAATATTCTATAGTTAAAAGTATCATTCACTCTATCATTTAATGATCAGATCAGAAGGAATTAATATATATATGCATAGATAATATTCTTAAATTGTGATAAATGCTTGGAAGTTAAGTAATGTGTACTTTCTAACCATAACCGTATTATTGGTTTTTGACCCTAAAAGCTATAAATAGTAAAGATAAGTATGATAATTAAAAAAAGAAAGTAGTAAATATTTGTGTAAAGATGTGTTAATTGGTTAAGAATTGATATTCTTGAAATGTGCTAAATGCTTGCGAATAAGTGCAACAAACATGAATTTGAACACAATGTTAATTTTTATTTTTGGTTGAATTCTTACATTTTTGCATGAAGCAGTTAAGGTTTAGCTCAAAGCAAAGAATCAACGATAAGATAATTGATCTTTAAATTACTATTGCACTTCCAAGTTTATCTTAACATTTATTTGAACAAAAATAAGTCCCCTATAAAGCCATAAATTAGTCAAGTAAGACATAAACTTAATTAGAAATATTGAGAGAAAACAAAAACTGGAAGTGACGAACATCTCTTGGCATAGCAGAATATATATTATATAACGAACAAAGCTTACTTAATAAAAAATAAAATGAATAAATAACTCTTTCTAGTCTGTAATTTCTAAAACGACCAATAATATAAACCGGAAACAAGAAGGTGCTCTTCCAGAAAAGCAAGTTTCATTGACAATGTGAAGCGTGCTGTACTTGTAATTTCAATTTGATTTGAATCTGTAATTGTTGCATTAACTGCACATAGTACTTACTGTAAACGCAATAAATTGCAGGGTGAGATATTTATTAATAATCAATAACACGAATGTAAATACGGGTATCAAATTGGAGAGGAACGTATGTTTAAAAACTAGACTGCAGATTGCCGAACATTGAATAACGTTATATTTAGGATATATATTATATTAGGATATTATATATTGCGATTCGCATGCAGTGTCGCACAGATTATGTACATATATTTTTTTGCGGAAGTAGTAAAGTAATAAAGTACTCTAGAATTGCACAAGTAAGTTCAAAGAAACTTCAGCAGGACTAAATCGACAAAGATGTAAATCTCAGTCATATACTTTATTGAATCAATTTCTCGTCAAAATTACAGTACAATAAAACTGATAACCTGTTTTTATCAAATCAAGACAATATGATCAAAGTTATACAAGTATCATCTGGCGTAAAAAGCACATACAAATTATTAACGTTACCTGAGTGTTTGAGAGTTGAATGATCCGTTAAATGGTTTTGTTATGAAAAGTAAAAACAAACACCAGCAAAGAGAAGAGCTACATGGTTTATTTGAGTCAAACGTTCAAATGTCGTTGTCATAAAACCAAGTCGCACTTTTATGCTACGACACAAACGACCCGCTAAATAATTTAGAAAACAACGATATGAATTTGTTGCTGAACCCGACCCCTGAATACTTGTAAGTGCGCATTTTATATGCATGTTAAAATCTTCTTCTTTTTTTTTTAGGAGGAGGATGGTGGGGAGAGTAGAGGTAAGTTGTCGGCTAATGATCGTGTTTTATTATTATTTATGTGTATGTATAATTACTTAGTTTAGCAAAGATTTTAGCTGGAATATGACACTTTGAATATATTTTGGGGCTTGATAGACGTTTGAGTATGCTATAGATGTATAGATAAATTTGAACAAATCAAAAACATATATTGACACTTGAGCTGCAGAATATCAATTAATGATATACAAAATTAATAAAATTATACGCATTATAGCTGTAATCTCTTTTGAAACTCTGATTAAATGGCACGCATTGATTGATTTTAGTTATTCAATTTAAATTACTTGTCGCTTAATAAAATACTACGAAAACGACTAGACAAGTAGTCCATTATAGTTGGACAACTTACATAAGAAAGTCTGCAGCTGAAAACCGTTGATCAAAGAAAATCAGAAACCTCAAATAAAAAGAAACACATATTCAAAAGCCAAATATGCGTGTGTGTGTAAATATATGTTAATATATATAATTATTTAATGCATAAATGAATATTTTAGCCAAATTAATGGATCAACATTTCTCGCTGGGTCTGTAGGCAGTGAAATCCTATTGGCCTATTGCATTGTGAATTTCTCGAGTTGTCAAGCAGCTAAATTGAAGATTTTCGATTCAAACGCAAGTTAAGAAGTCGTCAGAACTTGAAGCTGGTTTAAAATTAGTTCTGTGCTGGGTCGGGCCAACTCGGCAGCTAATTGATGGGAACAGTGACAACAACCCTTTGCATACAGCCAAATAATCGAGTATTTGCTTGCACTTACTTAGATACTGCAGATACTAAAACTGCAATTGTTATTTGCTAATTGTTGCCACCGGTTGCAGCTGCAGGTAGGCAGGCTGCTTCGCCCGTACAGCTCAATCTCAACAAGTTTGTAGCTTTAATGGGCGCTTGTCATGACAGTGACCGAGCTGTAAAAGCTGCTGCTGCTGCTTCTGACTTGTCCAGCTGACTGCCTGTCTGCCTGGCCGGCCGGTGCCCTTCTCCACATGCGATCGGTGCAAATCGATTACAACGACGTCGTCCTCAGCACGCGTTATGTGTGTTAAGCTTTATACTACCATAACATATCGTATTTAACCAAGCCTCCATTTAGAGTTTTGCAATACTTCAGCACAGAACTTGTAACGTGTCGGAGGTGTTGCTGTCGCGCTCTCGTTCAGAAAGATTTGCAGTGCTGAATTTTAGTGGCTTCTAATTAATGACTGGTCACGAATTCTGAACGCATTTGTTTTGAAATTAAATCGGATTGCTTTACTTAATTAATTCGGGTTTTTTTTTCATAAAATATGCAATTGTTGTACAGCTTGTTGTGCTCATTATCGTTATTGCTGCTGCACTGGCCAGCTGCCAGTGAGTTTCGTGCTTTTTATGATATTTTGTGTTCTTAATTTTATTATCAGGTGTAATTTGTGTGTGTGTTTTTTGGCATTTTTGTTTTAGAAGTTACCGCTGGCCAACGTATGTTTGCATATGAGCAAGGCAAGTGCGAACATTCGAAATCCGAGGTTATCGAGGGTTTGCTGAAAACGGGTCTGAGCAGATTGGCTAACCTCAATCAGTCCGGCAAGCCCGTTAGCCAAGCCAGTCTCCTACAATATGATCTCTATACGCCATTCAATCCACAGCAGCGCCAGCTAATGCGACCAGGAGATGTGAGCATGCTAAAGAGTTCATATTTCAATAGCAAGTGGCCAGTTAGGTCAGTGAACCGGGGATATACGAGATACAGTGGTTGCTCCAATAATAGAACTTTCAGAAGTTCACAATGTGCAGAAATTGAATCGGCATTTTTAATGAATCAGAAACAGGATTAAACAAACGAAACAAATCTGTAACCGGTTGCTTAACCGATAAAAAACAATTCAATTTTGTAAACAACATAGTCTCGCATATGTGTATAGTGAGTGTAATGCTGAGTTGACCACTGTATTTAATCTATCTCATGCCATTAAATGTAAATGTACTCTAAATGTTACTTTGCAGAGTCTTAATACACGGCTGGACGGGCAAGAGCACCAACTGCTATAATGCCGCCATTAAGGATGCATATTTATCGCGCGGCAACATTAATGTGATCATCATCGACTGGAGTCGCCAGTCGTTGGATCTGAACTACGCTCGCGTGTCGAAGCAGCTGCCATCGATAGCCGCCAGTGTGGCGAAGTTTCTACGCTTTCTTCACGACAATACGGGCGTGCCCTATGAGCACATTTATCTGGTGGGTCACAGTGCCGGCAGTCATCTTGCCGGCTTGATCGGTAAACGATTTGGGGCGTCACGCCTTGGCGCCATCTTTGCACTGGATCCAGCGGGGCTAACACAGCTCGAGCTGGGACCGACCGACCGCCTGTCCCCAACTGATGCGCTCTATGTGGAGTCTATTCACACGGATCTCAAGCTGCTGGGCAATCCCCATGGCAATGCACTAAGTCAGGCAGCCATCTTTGTGAACTGGGGTCGCGGCCAGCCGCAGTGTCCAAATGCAACAGCCACCGAGTTAGACGTTGCCTGCGATCATTTCTCGTCCACCTTCTACTTTGCCCAATCAGTGCGACGACCCCAATTGTTTGGTGTACTTCGCTGCAGCTCACTGACGAGCGCATTGACTGCCACGTGTCGTTGCAGCAACAATGCGCTGACATGCGCCGCTGATGGCTATATGGGCGGTGAGCCGGCTGTGCCCAAAAGGGGTATCTACTACCTAAGCACACAACGGCAGCCGCCCTTTGGCACAGCCGATGGTCAGGTGCACATACGGCCACCAAGGCCGTCGACCATACTGGAGACAAGCGCGCTCCAAAGAAAGGGACTTTTCTGACAAGCAATCAATCAACGAGGCGGCGTATAACCAAAAACTATTGGCATAATCTTAGGCTAAGTTATAATATATATATATTTATGTGTATCTAGTACATTTAAAAAAAAACTGCATGGCTACGCTTAAGCATTTGCGGTTGGGCAATAATGTTTTTATTCGGTTGGCTAACTGTGTCAAGCAAAGTTCTTATGGGTTTAAATAAATTAAGCAACGGACAAGTAACTAACGGACTCTTTAAGTAAATAATTCGTTACATGTTCAGTGTAGATTTGCGAGAAGAGCAAGTACAATAAATAAATAAGAACGCAAAGGAAACGAAAAATGAAAATAGTTATAATGGCCTAAATTTCGGTTTAAGTAAATTGTCTTATTGTAAATTTTTCAAGCAAAGCTTATCAATATAATTGCAGCAAATAATAGCAATTAATTCAGCTCACCTGACTTGGTCCGATACGATAGCTGGCAATGTCGAGTTCATTAACAGCGAGGATTTGCTCAACGCTGATATCTTTGTTGTTAGCCAGCTCACCGGCTAGCAGGCCGAAGCGACGCACAAACTCCAGCAATGGCACAGATTCGGGAAAACCCAGACGATGTAGTCGAGCAGCCTCCAAGACTTGCGAGCCACGTAGCTGAAAGCAATTGATTGTAAGATATCAGACAATGCCATAAGATACAGTGTGATCTTGTTGACCTACCTGACTCCTTAATAGTGGCACATTAACCAGCTCCTCCTCGGTGGTCGCCTGACTCAGCGTCGAGCTGGGCGACCCATTCGCTGTATACTTGGCCTGTTTGCCCGCCTTGTGTTGCAGCAGATAGCAGTGTACGAAGTGGGTGCCCGTGCGGCGTAGCGTGTCAATGATGCCATCCACTGTGAACTTCACCTGCAACATTATCGAATTACGTTTTACGCCCGCTGTTGTGAAGGAGCGTCGTATGCTGGAAACGCGACGCAATGACTGTGTGCCCTCCAGACCCGCAAACGAGCCACAGAAGACCATGGCGCCGGAGCCACGCGTCAGTGAACCAATGTAGAGGCGATTGATCTCCTCGCGACTGCTGTCCTGCAGCAGCGACACTGCATTCCGTATGCCAGGATGCTCGCGACTGTGCCGCACCCAACCATCCACGGCATACAACACCGGATTGGTGCCCTGCAAATGATGCAGCACAAACTGGCGCTGGCCGGCGCACTTGCGCAGCAATGTGTGATGCTCCCGATCGCCATAGTGTGAGAATAAACGCTCCAGGAATGTATCGTCATTCGAGTTGGGATAAATGGCCTCCTCGTCCAAAAGCCTGCAGGATTCAAGTCCAAATTGCAAAAGATGAACAATAAAAGGTGTTGTAGATTAGTAAATATCATGTAATAATGCTAATAATAGTAAAATCACTCACCAGAGCAGCCCACGACGATCATGCTCGCGCAGATCCCGCTGGGACGAGCGCACCACATGATTTTGCGGCGCCTTGTCGATTAGTGAGATCAGCGGACCCGGATGACAGTCGGAAGCATGATCCATTTCGATCTCGACTAGCTCCTGGGCATATCGATCGCGTGGCGCCACCAACGTGGTATGATGGAAAAGCATTTGTAAGCGCTCCTGCAGATAATTGTGACGCAAATCGGCCAGCGTGGCACCCACTTGTTGGCCACAGCTGGCCGGATTCTGAAAGCCGGGTGTATCGATCAGCATGATCGACGCAATAGTGTGGGCCGATGTGCAGATCTGGCGATTAATCAGAGCCACCACTGCGGCCAGTGCCTCCGAGTAGAGGCCAATGACGAGCGCTTCCAGACATTCCCAGGCCCATTCCTGACCGCCGTCCGAGGTGGGCGATTTGGAGGGACTTAAACTGGCGCCCGTTGCATTGGGCTGGGTCAGACCAAATGCAGCTGCTGATAGATCCTCCAGATTAACACCCAACAGGCTGGCCGCCTTGCGCGCCGCCGTCGGATTGGCAAACTGTGTTCGAGCCGTCGATCCGGTGCCCATTCTCGTTATGCCCGCAATGCCCAGATGATAAATGGCTGCCAGTATGCTCCAAATACCACGCACGGCCTTTGCATCAATGTTGAGCGTCTCGAATGCCTGAACCGTGCGCATAAAATCATTTGCCGCTCGATGTCGATCCTCGAGTCGTTGCGACAACGATACAAACGGATGACTGTCCTCCGACGAGATGTTCTCCAAATGCAGCTCCTTCTGCAGCAAACCAGCAGCGCCCGCCAATAGTCGCGTCATTATATGAAAACTGTGCTCCTGTGCCAGCCGTCGGCCCGCTCGTTGTCGCTCCGGCAAAAGCACCTGAGTAGCAATAAGCATAAGCATAAGCAACGATATATAATCTAGGTATATGAATGAGGTGGGCAACGTTACCTGCAATGAAGCTGATGCTATTTGACCGGTCTGATCGAAATCCAGGCTGAGCAGCTGCGTCATGCGCGTCGCATTGGAATTGAGACATGTTCTCGTATTGCCAAAGGCCTCCAGAATTGTGCACAACGCATTTACTTTTTCCGCATTAATAAAATTATTGTATGCACCTGCAAAATAATGATCGATTTGATTCGTATTAAATAACAGACTTAAGTTAAGAAATAAAATACAAATATTTTGTACTCACTAACTAAATGCCCTAAAGACATTTTACACTTCAACACTTAGATTAAGATTCTCATTTAATATGTTTATATACATGAATATATATTTCATAAGTTATATCTTTATTTTATGTCTCAGTCTTTATATCTCTCTTTCTCTCCTTATCCTAACGTTTTTCACTTTCCTTATTACTAAGCTGCTTAAGCTTAACTTTTTTTTTGTATGATTCGTTTTTTCTGGGTCTCCATATATTTATTATCATTTTAATATCCCCTGATTTCTTTATTTATTCTTTCTCCCTTTTCATTTCGCTCTATTCATTTTCACAATTAAATTCATGACTTAAATCAAAAATTTTTATATTTCTAAATCTTTTTAATAACTGTGGACAGCTTTTAGTTTATTGACAGCAATGTTATTAAAAACTGCGTATAAGATTTAACAATTTATATATAACATTCGAGTACGTAATACATTTAATTATGATTGTTATAATTAGAATCCAATATAAAAATTGTCATTTACTTAATACCTTATGCAAATAGGCACAATCAAATAAACAAACTAACATAACTGTAGCCCACAACTATATCCAAGTAAAGATCAATTTGATAAAACATGGACTTTTATGGCATATAAACTGCGTCATTGCTAAAGTTAAATTGTAGCAATGAGAAATGGCTTGACAAATTGCAGCTGCGTTTTTAAGACAAAATGCAAATGAGCTAATCGAACACCAGATTGCATTTTGGTGTGGCACAAACGGGGCCAGCCCACGGCTGCAACAACCACTACAACAACAATAACAATAAGAACAACAACAACAATAACAACAACAATGTCTAGACATACCAGCAGCCAACGCCAAGTAGTTGAGCGCATGCTTAAAGCTTGTGGTCTTGCCAGAACCAGAACGCCCCATGAATATTAGACTTTGATCGCGACGCGTTTCAACCAAACTCCTGTAGGCGGTCTGGGCCAGAGAGTAGACGTGGGGCGGCATGTCCTCCGTTTTGCAGCCGCGAAACATGGATACAACCTACAAGTAGACAACAGATAAATAACCCGAAACAAATCAAATCAAATCAAACCAGAACAAAAACCAAAACCAGAATAGAACAGAGCAGAACAGAACAGAAACAATCCTGTTTTCGAGACCAGACTCACCTTCTCAGAGTAGAGCGACAGCGGTGCCATGGGATTGACCACGAGCAGCGTGGGCCCCGCCTTGGTGTGTATCAGATTGCTCGCATATCGCTGTCGGAGGCAGTGCAGCACCGACGCCTCGTTCAAATACTTCAACTCACAGATGTCCTCGGCCAGATCCAAGGCGGTGCTGTTCTGTTTCTCGATGTCATCCTCATCAACGCTCAATTGTTCGCCATTGTGCAGCAGTCGCACGCTCAGCTTATGCTCCTCGTGTGGCGTGCCGCTTGACGGCAGACGCAACGCAGCGGTGAAGCCACCGCGATGCACCAGCCACACATGTTCCGGCTGTGTGGCACCATCCACATCCACATCGCTGGCGCTTTTTCCAATGCCGCCTGTACCATTCTCATGCCGGCTCTGCAAAATATAACAAAAATTACAAATACAATGAATGCTCGCAATAACTTCCTTAATTTTGAATTGGAATTGAAAATTAATTTAAGTTGAGTGCAAAATAATTATTTCTTAATTAATTTCAAAATGTTTTTCGCTGGCTCCAGCTTAAATGATATTTTTTAAATTCTCCGATATATACCGAATACCGTTGTAGGAACATAATATAATAATCGTAACTTAATTTTGTTATCTTTTTTAAATCATTTGTCGCAAAATTCGTGTTTAAAAAATAAGTGTTCTTTTATGTAATTTTCAATTTGTTTTCTCAACATTTCGCCATCCACATTTAAAGCAAATTCGGAACATTTATATTTTTGAATTCGCAAAAGTTTTACGATTACGAAAATGGGAGCACATCTGATTGTAAACATCATTCACAATTTCTTTGATTATTTTCATACTGTACCGATTCGCGAGCATTTACTGTACATATATAAAATAAAAATCCAAAATTGGGGTCAACATATTGTTGGGCGCAAACTTCAAGTGATCTTTTTTCTGCATTTATTTTTGGGCGCACACATTTTCACGCATTTATTCCATTTATTATACAGACACAGTACTTTAGTACAGTTCAGTTCACCTCCACGCAGCGTCAGAGTAGATTTTCTTTTTGGTTTTATTTTGGTGCATTTCTAAATTTGATGATGTTTCTAAATCCTAATTAGTTGCGTAGACGCGACGACTACCAGCCCATAGAGAGAGATACAGAGGGAAAGACTCATTGCCAGTCCCAGTCCCAGACCCAGTCCCAATCCCATCTCCTTTCCCACTGCCCCATTCCCAATCCCAAGCACAATCCCACTCCCCATTCCAATACCCGTGCAAATGCTAGTGGGCTAGACGCGCTCTGTGTGGATGCTACAGTGGCTGCCTCTTTGTGGATGTGCGGCTGCGTTATGCAACGCGCCAACGTCGTCGTCACCGGCAACACGTTCAGTTCACATTTGTGGCTATAAATGGCATTTTACTCGCTGCTGCTGCGGCTGCCGATGCAGTATTCATTTGGTGGGCTCCTATCTATGCATCTGCCACAGCTCCTCAGCAGACACACACGCCCGTAGTGCCAGTCCCGTCCACCCGACACACCCCTCAAGCGTTGCCTGCCAGAAATACAACTTTGCATTAACTTGCAGCTACAAATGCTGTTTGCTGATGTTGTTGTTGTTTGTGGCGTAATTATGAAAATATTGTGCAAGGTTCAATAGCCCGTAATTAGAGTCATTTTCGGTTATGCACTGTTAATGGATCGGCAATGGATGCCGCCCCTAGAACTATAAAGCGACTAAACGCGTTCAAACAGGAAACAAACGTCGAGTTTCATTCACATCGAGAATTTAAACACTTTGGCCGAATTGTCTAGGCAAATGTGTTGCAATCAATAATTGCAATACAGATTGCTACAGTGTAATTAAAATGAAAGAAAATGGGATTACAAAATATTGGATTCAATTTGAATTAAATTCAGTGATGCTAGCGAAGACAGCGAGAATAAACATTGTTAGAGACCAGCAACTTTTAAATAACTCTTCCTTAAAGTATACATAAAGTGTAGTAAACCATTTAAATAGTTGCTTCAAAATTGTTCCACGGGTCCCAAGCGGGCAGTTTTTGAAATATTGAAATTGAATGAAATTCCTAAATGATTACATGCCAAGAATATAAATGGCCTAGGGCCAATATAGAATTAAAGCAACCTCTGCAAAATCGATCTACACCCATTTCCCATCCTAGTTGGTAAATTTAATAAAAAGAATACTTTAAATGTTTAGCTGTGATGAAATACTCTCCAGTATAATGGCTATATTGGTATAATTGACAGCCAATATAGGTTTAAAAATAGTGTTAGCTAATTCGGACATTCCCTCTCGGATTATAGACTACTGCAGCAGCATTCGAGTATTTCATAATCTCTTCAAAGCTCCATAAAAATAGTATTTTTTCTTTTCTTTTTTTCAACAAATCAAATACTACATTTGTATTTGTATACGTATCCATTTGTAGGCACGTACATACAAACACAGATACATTCATACGCATATGGATAGATTTCTAAACAAAGTGAACTGACAAGCGTCTGTCCACTGTCAATCAATAGCTGCAGTCGGCGATCGGTGCGGTGGCATTGTGGGTTAATGAACCCGCCACCGTTTAAGTTGATGAAATATACAAATTAGACAAAGAATGCGCAGACAGACCCAGCTAATTAACATGTGTAGGGCAACGAGAGATATGAGACAAAGAGAGAAGAGCGCGAAAAACGAGATAAGGCAGAGCAACAGAGGAGTAGGCCGCCAATTAAGTTCATGCTAAGGTTTACCAAATGCAATTCACTCTGTGTTAACATTTCATATCTAAAACAATTGTTTAGAGGCAGAGAACAAGAGAGACGGAGAGAGAGAGAGGAGAGAGAGAAATGCAAGAACAAGGCGGACAATGTAGTAAATGAATACTTCCGCTCGACAGGCCATCGCGGCGACGTCCAGCGTCGGCGTAGTGAGCCATAAAACCATAAATGCAGCGACAAGACGACCATGTCGTAAATTATGAGCAGCGCATTTGCCCACGCACCGCCGTCCCCATTCCATTCCCTGCCCCACCGTCCCCCATTCCAGTCGCTTTCATTGCCAGTCCCAGTCCCTACCCTGTTCCTTACCCAGTCGTAATCAATCCGAGCATAATAAAATAGCCAGCAACTAAATCGTACATTGGGTCACGGTTCGACGATCTATCGATCCATTCATCGATCGACTTATAAAGGGCTAGAAAGTTTTTCAACACTAGACGACAAACAACTCTCAATTAAGTAGAATCAGCTACATGAAATAGTTGTTACCGAAAAGCGAGCTTAAATATAGTGCACTTGGTAATGGAAAATGGATTAATCAACAGGAAAATATCTAAAAATAAATTTATTCAGGGGTCACACCCTTACCCTAAATAATAAATACGATACTTTCAGGCACATTTCATAAATATTCGCAAAACAAGGTATTGAAAATAGCTTTTTGTGTCACTATTTGTTAACATAATATGCAAAACAATAGATAAATATAATAGCTGATAATTATATCATAGATAGCTGGAAATATATACAAAAGTTAATTATTGAAAGCCAATGATTTCGAAGTTCTTTTGCTTCAGAAAGTTTTTGAATTGATCAATATATGCAGATAATTCAAACAATAAATTAAATTTAAGACCATACTTGACTAGGCTGTATTAAGGTTCACGGGTTTGTATAATGTATTAGACGACTAGATAATGAATGAATATTTTGAGCAATTACGAATGAATAATCGAATAGATGATTACAATTTAGTATTGCAACTGATCTAAATATATTTTCCAATTTGTATTTTTTTTTTAAATTATGAAAAGAGGCCACCAAGCAATAAACAATTGTAACTGATCTCTACAACATTTAATGCCAATTATAGATAGTTTTGAATGATTACTATTTACTACTGCAACAACTGATGCCTAAAATATAGATAGCTTCGAATTAATAATCAAAAAGACGTTCGATATTTCTAGTACATTAAAAAGCTTTGAGATGTATTTTTCACATTAGAGCTCAGAGCTTCTCTCTAAACCTCTAAATCCCATATTAGGCAGTGAATAAAGCCATTTGTCTGGATTTCAGTGTAATTTAACAGAAAATGCCCTGCAGTGTTTAGTTTTCGATTTCGTATTCGTATTCGTTTTCGGTTTTGTTGTGTATGTAATATGTAATGCGCACCTTTTGCCTCACGCTTGCATCATAGTTTTTGTAGTTGCAGGCGAGCGCATTGGCCCAGATGGCCGACCAGTGCTGGGCAGCGGCATTTTGTGCATCGCGTCGTCGCCGATACGAGCCGCGTATGTTGGCCACTGGCGACGGTGGGGCGACTGCCGCGAACTTGGATGCAGCCACCGCCGAGCTATTCCAGGGCGGTCGAATTGATGTCGTTGTTGTCGTTGCTGCTGCAGCTGTTGATGCTGCTGCTATTGCTGTAGCAGTTGCTGTTGTGTTAACCTTGCCGTTGTGGCGAAAGCTACGCGAACGCATGGAATTGCGCTCCAGACTGGAAGGGGTAAAGGGAGTTGATTCCTTGGGAGTCGCTTGCTTGCTTGTGGCAGCAAGACGCGGCGGCTTGGGTGGCGCCACAGCAGAAACCGTAGCAGCAGCCATAGCCTGCGTTGCTGATGGCCAGCTGCTGGAGTTCTCGGAGCCGCTTTCACTGATCGTCTCCGAGCTAATGCTATTCTTGCGCTGTGCCTTGGGCGTGGCCTTCGACTTGGCTGGCGTTGCCACCTTCTGTGACTTGTGGGTGCCGCAGGCATGCGCCTTGCCCGTGCAGCCACGATGAAACGACGGATTCAGACCAGAGCCCGGTGCGGCGGGCACGGCGGGCACAATTCCACCGCGCAGCGTTTGCTCAAAGCTCTTTGGCTTGAGAAACATGATAAACAGAAAAAAAAACAACACTTGTGTACGTGTGTAAAAGTGTGTGCTTGTTATGTGATCACCTGGCTAGTTAGATCTAAGCCAAAGGCAAACAATTGTCATGGCCAGCCAAAAGGCACTTGGAGCATGACCAGACCACAGAGAGAGACAGAGAGACGCACAATGCGAAACGGGAAGTTGAAGTGAGAAACTGGAGCGCGCCCAAAACCTTGGAAACGTTAGTCTCAACACACACTCTTATTGTATCTGTGTGTGTGTGTGTGTGTGTTTTTTTTTATGTTTGTGGTTGTGTCAGTTTAAGCACTTAACGCTTTGACATTAGAGACAATTGAATTGGCTGAAAATGGCCAATCATCGTGCGATCGCCGATTGATTGATTGACTGAAATGCAAGACTCGAGTCACGAACGCGAGTTATGAATTAACTATTAAAGCTCAGCTTGAATGACAAAAGAATTGTTCGGAGTCACTGTTGTTGTTGATCTTGTGGTTGCCTTAGTGGCTGCTGTAATCCCGCAAACGAAATTTCACAGTGGGTGTCTCGTGTCGCGTTTCAATTTCCGTACCGAACTTGGGCAAAGTTTGCAGCATACTGACGGCACCGCTCCAACGACAACGACTACGAAGCGAGTAACAACAACACAAAACTCGACAAAAACAAAAAGAAGAGAAGAGAAGAAGAAAAAGCACGCACACAAGCAGACGAGGCAGCGACGCTTACAGCGACTGCGACTGCAACTGAGACTACGACTGTGTTAGTGGCTATTTGTGTAGGCAGCAGCCGCAGTCTAAAGTGGGTGTAGAAAAATGCACACAGCTGCGGCTGCAACTGCAACTGCTGCTGCTGTTGACGTCGATGTCGCCGTCACTGCTTGTCTGCGACTGTTCGTGTCGCCGCTGGCAAATGGGGAGAGGGAAGTGGGTTGAGGTGACGGGATTTAGCTCTCTGCTGTATGCATGTTGTTGTAGATGATGTTTACTAAAATGCAGTTCGAGTTTTTCCACAGTGTTGCCAAATCAGTTTTATTTTCGTCTGCTGAATGAAGTGAGTAAGGCGCACAAATATGTCGACGCCTTTATGAACTTAGCCAGACAACAACAGCAACAACTACAACAACAACAACTGCATATTTCCAATGGGGAACTGACAACGTTTAGAGTTGGCAAGAAGGGCTGGGCCTGGAATTTGAACCGACTGATCACTCGCTCAGGTGCCGCTGACAATTTCACAACAGATTCGCAGAAGATAAACAGAGTGAAAAATGTCAAACACGTTTCTAGTTGGGGCTAAAGTCAACAAGTTAATCAACACTGCAATTTCAAGCGATCGACTGTGAGTTATCCTGTAGTCTGATGCTTCTCGGAGAAGTCGGTGTTTTAAGAACGATATTGATTTCTCAGATCGCAAACAAGTGTGACGTTATTTTGAATTAGAATTTATGTTCGATGCTTATACTATTAAATACCCTTACATATACGAATCGTGTGGATCTAAGTAAAAAAATATTTTCTAATGATCTTAGTTCTTATTGTAATATTAATTTGTATATAAGTGTACTATAGTTAATATTAATAACTAAATAAATAATAATGTTTATCTCCCTAAAATCACTTGATCTGGAGCCAGCGAAAAACATTTTTAAAACAAAATAATTTTTTCAATAATATTGATGTCGATGCCGTTATCAAATATTGCCAAGGCATCAGAAAAGAATAATTTCTGTAATTGTTTTGAGCATGACAGTAACCATATCTTCAACTATTTCTACAGGTTTCGATTTTGTATCATACAATGATGCAATATTTCAACAGATATTTTGTTGGCTCTATATTGTTATCGGATACTTTATCCCGTTTGTTCTATTGATTTTTTGACAAGATTAATAAATAAATCATAAATTAGTTTACAATTAGAGGTTCATCATACAAAAACTAACTCTTATTTAATTAGGTATATAACTCCGATCAGACCACAAACCCGTTTGCAAGTGTCTGTAATATCGTAATGTGCTTGAGTCTTAATTCATCACAATTTATGTTTTATTTCTATAAGTATGAGTTTAATTTGAGAATAATTATGTATAATAATTCAACAAAAATATTGGACTTATAGGATTTAAATATTCGTCAAAATAAAAATGCTTAACAAATTTGTAATCGAATTTTAAATGAATAAATTATTCATTAAATTGGTGTTGTCTATCAAAATAAAAATAATATCTAATAGGAATTCTTAATAGATGGGACTATAGTTAAAGTAGACACTCCAAATACAACTGGAATCCGTGTTCTCAAAATGCACGTCAATATACAATATGCTTGCATTTATTAATACATTTGGGATTTGAATTTAACTATAGTGATAATAGATTCTGAAATAGAATGGGGTATCCAATATTATAAAATACCGATATCCCAATTAGTTTTGGTTGCAAGCTTTGAAACAAACTGTTTCAACAATTTCTTAACAAGAAAAATATATGTTTAGTGATGATTAATTCTTGAATAAAATCGAATATAGTGATTAGAGTCTCTGGACTATACAAGATTTGCATCATTAGGGTGGCCAGCATTTTTCCATTTATCAAATATCGGAGCAGGAAAAATATATGAATAGATTATCATCCAAAACAAAGCTAAGCCAGTCTATCTTATGTAGAGGGTATATAAAAAGAAATAATAATGCATGCCAGGTAACAAGTTCTACTTGGAATAACTTTTAATTACAAACTACGAAAATTATGTGATTAATGAACAGTTACAAGCAATCCAGACATTGATGAAGATCAATCAGAATCAGCTGATGGAACTGTGATCTCACCTGACGTTTGAAGCGTTTGCTGGCGCTGCGGCGCAGAGTGTTGCAGTTGCCGTTGTTAATGGAATGATCGATCTCCTCGATGGTGGCTGTGCTGGGTGCCATGCACCGTTTGCTCAGCTCCACTAGCTCCGCCACGGGCTGAACCTGCCAGTGGGTACAAAAATGGTGTTAAATGTGTTCGTTACTTGGCATTTGATTGACTAAGTTCATTACGAACCTCAACTGTGACAGCGTCGCCACTATTTCGTATCATCTCGATGATGATCTCACGAGACAGGTCGCCGACGGGCGTGCCATTAACCTTAATTAAACGATCGCCCGGCAGCAGACCCGTTGCTCCGCCGCCAGCGCCCGGCTCCGCAAAGATAACGGGCCGGAAGATGGGCGACATCAGAGACTCGGTGCGATCCAAGCAAATCGCCTTGCGCAAACTGAAGCCAAAGTCCTGGCGCGGTGATTTCTGTCGCTTGATGACGAGCTGCCTTGGCGCTGGCAACTGGACCAGCTTGACTGGGGGCAACGGCAACAGCACATCCTCAAAAGCATGCACGCGTGCCCATTGATCGATGCCCTGCGATTCGCCGACGGGACTGAGTGAGAAAGGGGGCGTGGCAAACGAGGAGTTTGTGGTATCTGTGAGACTGTCCGCACTCGGCGACGGCGATGTCAGCACATGCAAATGGGCAGCCTGCGTGGCCGTCTGTGGTGCTCCATAGCGGGCATTCGCCGGCAGCGTCATCGCTCGTTGCTGGGGGGCATTCTCGCCATCGCTGCGCAGACTCTCCACGGATGTGAACGAGGTGCCGTGCTGGCTGGAATTGGAGCCACCGCTGCCGCCGCCGCCGCCACCGCCACGGTTGCCCTCAAACAGTTGCTCATTTTGCATGGTGTTGCGCATCAGCATTTCGGGTGTGCCGCCGCCGCTGCCGGTGAGGACAATCTCCTCGTGCACGTTGCTCATGTTGCTCCGCGAGCCCTTCAGTATGCCCCGCTTGGGCGGCTTTGGCGGCACGGGCGGCAGAAAGCGATTCTGTACAAAAATAAATACAAAATACATTTACTAATAATAAGCACAATTTGAGTTGAGCGACCGCCTCACCTTGAGACTGCCGGAGAGCAGCGAATGTGTAACCTCAGCATAGTTTAGACTGACGCCCATGACGCCGGCACCGTTGGCGGCTCCGCGACTCTCGATGTGTGTCATCACAGATGCTACAATTTCCTCATTGCCACGATCCTGCTCTGGCCCGGCATTCACATTCCCATTGCCATTGCCATTGCCATTCCCATTGCTGTTGCCGCTGGCTGAATCGGCATTGAGTGCGGCAAAGAAATCGGCGCTGTAGTCGGCCGTAATGCCGCTGGGCAGCTTTTCCTTCTCCTTGCGGCGACCGCGTATCTTCAGCGACCGACGCACCTCCTCCAAACGCAGCAGCTCGTCGCTGCTCATGCTGCCCGTAACTCCAGCTCTTCTGCCGCCCTTAGCCTCTTTGCGCAATTTCATTTCACGTTTGCGACGCTCCTTTACCTCATCGCCGGCGCTTTTCTATATATAGTTAAACATCATCTTATTACATGTGGGGGTAGGGAAGAAAGTCCTAAAAAAAAGATAACAGTAAATATACGACAAAAGGAATGGTAAGCGCAAGCCAAGTTTAAGTTTGATAACTGCTTTTGAAAAACACCACGTTCAGCTGTTCACAGCTGTGGCCATCTAAATAGAGGCACTCATTTTTTCCACACAAATTTACTTTTTTTTTGTACTAAAGTATTAATATAGTTATTAACTCTCAATCTACCAATGGACTTCGAGCGAAACTTTGCATTATATTTAGCTCGCTTTATTTCTCTCTCTTTCTTTCTATGCTAAATGCTAAATTATGTAATTTGAAGCGAGATCTTTGGTTTTCGAACTGTTGTTTAGATAATATAATAAACTCTCTGCCATCAGAGTTTCTCTAACTACCTCTCTCTCTCTCGACCTTCCTTAAAATATCATCAAATAGCTGATATTTAAGGCCGGTGATCCTTATTTGAAAACACGCACAGAGACATTATATTTAAGAGAGCGAATATTAAAAAGGAGAGAGCAAATTTTAGAAAGAGCACATAATAAAATCAATTGAGTAAAAAAAATGAACGGAGAATAAAATATTATTATATAGATTATTATTATATCAAATCAAAGTCATTCATCATTTTTAACATTTAAGCTCCTATCAGCCCCACCTTATATGATAAAAACAGAGACAAGATATACTTTGTACCCAGCTATGAATTGCCATCAACACATACAGATTTGCACCTATAACATACATATACATACATATATATACATATATGTATGTATCTAACACAAAACTTAAAACTTAGAACCATAAACATCTGTCTGATTACTTTGTGGGTTCGTAGATATGTGCTTCTGTACTTTTGTTTAATATCTAACTATGTATCTATGTGTATTCGTTTCACAATTTTATTATGTGCCATTTATTTATGTTATAAATTTTTTAAAACAAAATTATGCTGAACAGTTCTCATTAAACGGTGAACGAAACGCACTTCGGGTTTTTGAGCCGGTTCACTTCAACGTTAGGAAGAGCAGGAGAGGGGGCTTCAGGGGTTGGCACAAGTTCAAGGGCGTGCCCAATATTTTTGCAGTTTTTGTTTGTTGTCTGTAGCTAATTTGATTTGCAGTGTTCCTCCAGCTGCCCCTGTCATAACCCAACCAACCAAAGCCACCCACCCACCAGCTTTGCTCTCGTTTTGCAGTGCGGTTAGTTTTCACAGTTTTCTTGTATTTTCTTTTCCTTGCGTTCTCTGCAAAAGAAACCCTGAGACGAATGCACCCGCACACAACTAAACCACAATAGTTAACCGTTTCTGTTTTCATGTGTGTGTGTGAGTGTGTGTGTAATTAAAAGTCTCGTAAACAATGTGTGTGAGGCATGCAGAATTTCGTTTGTCTTGCATTTTGCTTTGGCTTTTGTCATTGAGACTCGCCCCCATTTGTTATTATTTATTCAATTATGCGCTTTCTTTTCCACATATTGTATACAATTTTTGTTTTGTTTTCACACATGCATAGACACACAGGCACGCACAAATATTATTGCAGTTGTATTTGCATTTGCAATTGCATTTGTGTTTGTATTTGTATTGATTGCCTCAAAATCGGATTGCATTTTACATTTGGGCTTTATGTTTCTTAACTTTATGCTTGCCTCAGTCTTGTTTTAATATGCAACAAAACTTATTTGCCAAACAACAAAACAGAAACAACAGAAAACCAATAGACAAAGAGGGTGGATATGGAATGTGCTGCAAGCGAGAAGCAAAGCAAAGCAAAAAAAAAGAAAGTTTCCAGCCACTCGCCAAGTCAATAACACCTTTGTTTTTGCCGTTTTCTACGTCTCTTTTGATAAGCCGAGCAGCTCACTGCAAGCAGGTCAATGTTTTGTCCTGCGTACACAGCACAGGCACGGTGACGTCACTTTTACCTATGGCACGTGAATTGTTGGCTTTACCTTTTTGCTACTTAAACAATGAGCACAATTACGTGATTAGCATAAACAAATGCTATCGGTTTGAATTCCAAAAATTACAAAATTTCACCGTACCGACGACGACCGACCGGCCAGTGTATACACAACTGCAGGCTAGAGATGTGCCCCTAAAAATAAATCTCTAACTACGGTAAGCAAAAATCTTCACAGCACAGTGTGTACACACTAGCAGAATATAAAATTATGCGATATGTTCATCTATTATTTATATATAAAATTTAAAAATATTTTCGTATATTTTTATACTGATACGTATAAATATACGTACATATATTATCTTAATATCCAGTCTATAAAAAGAGTCTACATAGGAGATCTTGAAGATAAGGCTAGCGAGGAATTTCCGGATCTCTTTGATGAGCGTCTTTGAGTTTAATCTTGTTTGTTTTGCTCCCTAAATTCGGTGCTGATTATTCTGTTGTGCTTTTGTGCGTATAATTTATATACTATTTAGTTAAGCCCTGATTATGAATATAATAGGATGTGTAGACTTTTGCAGGTTTACGTTGCGGATAATGCAATGTCATGCCACTACACTAGAATAGCCGAGAGATGCATTTATTGTATCGGCCGACCGCCATAATGTTTCGACGAACCACCACAATATATATGCCGTCTATCGTAAGACCAAAAAAAGTGAAGCGTAAAAACCAAACGGTACATCTACATGGAAAAATAAGTGTGAGTGCGTGTGTGTTTATGAAAAATATAATTGCCACAACATATTTATATTATGCGCACCGAACGAACAAAAAACACAAAACTTGCGAGCAGTTCAACAATTGTGTCAGTCGAATACGTATTCAATTGTATGTGGCCTGGGTGTCTCTTCAATACACACAGACAGCAGACACACACACAAACACACAGACAGCAACACACACATACACACAGAGACACAACACACAGACACACACACACACACAGACACAATACATAACATATAGAGTGAAGCTCTCATACAAACACTCACTGTTAACACACACACAAGAGAAACAAAAACAACATACGTGAGTTGTCGCTGCCGTCACCGTCACCATTCAGCAGCAGCGGCAGCAGCAGAGTCTGCCTTTTACATTTGCGAAAAAATAAAAAAAGAGTAAAAATCCAAAAAGCAAAAATTTATATTATATTTTGCTTGAATAGGTAGGTGAATAGTTGAATGCAAGTGTTTGTGTTTAGTTTAAACCAAATTCCAATAAATATTAAGAGCCTTGTGGCCTTTGTTATTGTTGCTCATTCGCTCGCTGCTCGCTTGCAGAGGAAGACAGACAAAAGTCTTCGTATTTTCGCCTTCTTCGTTTCGTCTTCTTTGACGTCCTCGTCGCCGTTCGATGGTAATCTATCTGTGTGTGTGTGTTTGCGTGCATGTAAGTGCACATGTGTGCGCGTGTGGGTATGTGCATTTGATAACTGTATTGGTGTCTAGACATGTTGCTGACAAGGCTGCAAACTAAAAAAAAAAATAAAAAATTTTGCCTGCGGTTCGGTTTGCCGGTTGTTGATTTTACGACAATATTAAAAGCCAAACATAAAGTAATAGAAAAACTTTTTTTGCGATTATATACATTTTAATGCATGCAAAGATATATATACATATATATGTATATAAACATATGTATATATATATATATATATATATATATTTATATATATATATATATATATATATATATATATTTATATATATTATATATATATATATTTATTTATTTATATATATATATATATATATATATATATGTATATGTCTGTATGTATAATGTGTAATATTTAAACGCAGTTGACTCAGAGCCGGAACGTGGAGTAAATCCGTTTTGAACCGGTGCGGAGCGTTTTCTTTTTGTTATGGCTGCTGATCACTTGATGCTTCTTCGTATGTATGTATGTACATGTCCAAATACATACACACACACATACAAGTTCTCTGTCTTTCTTCTCCCCCCAACCCATGCATCGCCCCCGCCCACACGCGGCTTCGCACTTTGCAATGCAGACAGGCAGACAATCACACATACATGCATGTGTGTGTGTGTGCGCTTGTATTTTGTCGATTTTATTTTATGTACATTTGTTTACAGTTTAAGATAGCGAAATTTGTACAGCCGGCAGGAGCAGCCACAACACAGCGTTGACATTTTCGCAAATTGCAAATGAATATGTTATTGTTATTGTTGTTGCTGTTGTTGTTTTACTTTTTTCAGCTGCGATCATTGGCGCACTCTCTGACACACGCACGCACTCATACATACACACACATACACATACTCGCACGACAGGCAGCAGACACAGACACATGCACACGTGCCCCTCGCACCTTTATCGCTCGCTGCGATCTCAACTAGCTGGCCACACAGAGGCAGCGAGCGAGATATGCATGCACATACATAACACATATGTATATGCATACATGAATACACGTACACATGCATATACATATGTTTGTGTGCGTGTAAGTTCATGAACATCCGCACTCCGCGTCGACTTGTTTTGATTTAATTTCGCGGTAAATGCAATCGCGGAAAATTTGCTCGTATCGCCGCCGTTCGCGCTTTGGCTGCGTAACATGGCGGGGAATTTTGTTTGTAGTTTGAAGCTCAAAAACAGCAACAATTGCGACAGCAGCGATGCCAATATGCTGGCGCCTCTACATGTGGGGCGCTCAGCGACTAAATGCAAGACAGAGAAAGAGGGACAGAAAGAAAGAGAAAGAGAGGGGCGGCGTGCATTGCTGCGGCAGGCCCTTCTGCGAACGGAAATGCCGTAAATGCTCGGCTCTTTTTTTTAAATTTATATATATATAGATATATTTTTTTTTACGATCGATCCTATTTTGAAAAGTTCTGCAGCTGCTGACGCAAGCGCCAACAACAATAAAAATAATAACATGAGTGACTATAAAAACAACAAAGGGCTGAGCAATTTGCCATAAACACGCCAAAAGACAATAATATAATATGCATATGCATATGTATGTATATATGTACATATTGGAGATCGCAACGTGCTGAAGCGAAATACATCAAACACTTGCTAGGACTAGTTCTGATTTTGAAATACTTGTAATTTTCGTCAGTTTACTTTTATATGTAAATAAATTGGCATTGTCATTCTCAAAGCATTATCAAAAAATATATATATTAAATTTTCATATTTAGAAGAAAAATTATTATCTTTTGAAGAGTGATATAACAAATTTAAACTTGGTAAATCTATTCTTTTAGAAATTCACAGAATTATTTGATTCCTGTCATACAAAAATGGACTTTACTTTAATTACAAGTGTTCGAAACACAATTTTCGAAACTGAAAAATTACTTGAATATTTGGAACTCACGCGACAATCTCTAGAATTTATATATGTACAGAAAATTAGCATTATGTATGCACTCGCTGAAATGTTAAGAAACCGTTTTGAAATAATTTTTTTATTTAATTTTTTATTTCTGTTTTTCCAACTAGTGCCCTAATTGTAGACTCAGACTGGGGTGTACGGAATTGGATTGTTTGGTGCACAGGGAAGTGGAAACAGCCTCAACACGAATTACCTACCATTTGCACCGCAGAGGAGATCGACTGTGGTTGCCACCGCCGCAACAAGATCTGCCTCAATTACGCCTACGCCAACGTTTACGCCCATTGGCAGTCGCTTGGGCTTTAATTTCAGCAACACCAACAACAGCAACAACTACAGCAACAACAACAGTAGCAGCAGCAGTAACAATATCAACAACAACAATTATTACAGCGCAAAGCCGCCGCAAGTAAGCGACGCACTGTTAGAGAACAACTTGTCCCGCACGCCGCCACCAATAGCGACGGCAACAGAAGCGATCATGTCCTTGTCGGCGGCTGGCACATCGCCCACAAGCACCATTGAGCCATTTGTGGCCTCTCGCGCACATATCGTCAAGGAGGGCTGGCTGCAGAAGCGTGGTGAGCATATCAAGACCTGGCGCCAACGTTACTTTGTGCTCTGTTCGGATGGTGCGCTGATGGGCTATAAAAGCCGGACGGCCGATGCACAGACGGAACAGCTGCTCAACAATTTCACTGTGCGCGGCTGCCAGATAATGGCCGTGGATCGGCCAAAGCCCTTCACATTCATCATACGCGGCCTGCAATGGACGACGGTGATTGAGCGCACATTCGCCGTCGATACGGAAGTGGAGCGCCAGGCCTGGACCGAGGCCATACGCAATGTGGCCAACAGGCTGTGCGAAATGGGCGAAACGGCTATGTCGCCATCGGCCCAAACCGACATGGGTGATGTCGATATGGCCGGCATTGCCGAGGTGGAACTATCCGAACAGTTCTCCGTGCAAGGCACCACACGGAATAGCAGCGGTGTCAAAAAAGTGGTATGTATACGATCTAAAGCTCTAAACAATATGCAAGTTACTTTTAACTGATTTTCTTGTTTGTTTTTCAATGCACAATACACAGACACTGGAGAACTTTGAGTTCCTCAAAGTGCTCGGCAAGGGCACCTTCGGCAAGGTGATCCTGTGCCGCGAGAAGGCCACAGCTAGATTGTACGCAATTAAAATTCTCAAAAAGGAGGTCATCATACAAAAGGATGAAGTCGCGCACACATTAACCGAAAGCCGTGTGCTCAAGTCAACAAGTCATCCGTTCCTTATTGTGAGTAAACATTTTATTTGTGGTTTTTTGTTGTCTAGTTTTTGTTATTGTTTTATTTCACACTTCAAATGTCTGACAAGCCACAGGCGTTATCGGGCGAAATCTAAAATATGTAATATAACACTTTAAAACGTTTTGACATCAAGAAACCACACACCGATTTATTGTTTTCAAACTGTTTATGACATCAGTCATCATTTCTGTTATCAAATTGTTAATTTTAAAAGCAACTGTGCCTGCATACAATTCCCTTAAACTTTTGTAGATAATACAATTTTATAGAATGGGTTTCATGTTTTATATATACACTCATATTTACATATCAGTGGGAAAAAACCATAAAATAATTATTGCAACACTAGGGAATGCCAACTATCCAAATCCTTCTGCAGAAATATGGCAAGAGAACAAGAGAACTATTTTTCTAATTATGTAAAATTTCTTTTTGATATTTAATTATTAATTTAATTATATCTCGAACCCATTGAAAATGCAGAAAATTGAGTAATGAAATTGTGCAAAAGAGGTAACAAACTAAAGATGCCATATCCAACATATCCGTCAGTATGAACAACTTGATCTTAGAGTCTACATTAGCTAGATTCTTTAAATTCTGAATAAAATTCTAGTATATAAAATGCATATCAAGACGATTAGAGTATTCCAACTGTTTATTGAATCAATTACTTATTATAGGATATACGAGTATACAACTTGCTATTATACTGATAAATCTGTTCTCGCTATCTTCTTCTGCAGTCACTAAAATATTCATTTCAAACCAATGACCGTTTGTGTTTTGTCATGCAATATGTGAATGGTGGGGAGCTGTTTTGGCATTTAAGTCATGAGCGCATCTTTACCGAGGAGCGTACACGATTTTATGGCGCCGAAATAATATCGGCACTGGGCTACCTGCACTCGCAGGGCATTATTTATCGTGACTTAAAGCTGGAGAATCTTTTGCTGGACAAAGATGGTCACATAAAGGTAGCCGATTTTGGGCTGTGTAAGGAGGACATCACCTATGGCCGTACAACAAAAACGTTTTGTGGCACACCAGAATATTTAGCGCCTGAAGTATTAGACGATAATGATTATGGACGCGCTGTGGACTGGTGGGGCACCGGTGTGGTTATGTATGAGATGGTGAGATGGTTTATATATAATCAATTGAATTATATACATTTGTTGCTATACTATACTAAATGTATGCGCATTTTAAAGATCTGCGGTCGCCTACCCTTCTATAATCGAGATCATGATGTGCTCTTCACGCTCATATTGGTAGAGGATGTGAAATTTCCACGCAATATACCCGATGAAGCAAAAAGTCTGTTATCCGGCCTGTTGGCCAAGGATCCGAGAAATCGCTTGGGCGGCGGACAGGATGATGTTAAGGAAATACAAGCGCACCCATTCTTTGCGAGTATTAACTGGACAGATCTGGTGCAAAAGAAGGTGACATACAAAGATATAAAAAATACGTTTAAAATGCTTTTAAATTAATGCAATTATATATTTTACTTTGCAGATAACGCCGCCGTTCAAGCCTCAGGTCACATCAGACACAGACACACGATATTTTGACGAAGAGTTTACTGGCGAGAGCGTCGAGCTGACGCCGCCAGATCCCACGGGACCATTAGGCTCCATAGCCGAAGAGCCGCTTTTCCCGCAGGTAAGTTGCACATCCTCAATGAATACGGAATCCTTAAAGATATCCCTTTTTGAATTCACAGTTCAGCTATCAAGGAGACATGGCCTCTACATTGGGCACCTCGTCGCACATAAGTACTTCCACAAGTCTCACATCGATGCAATAGAACAAGCTACAAGTTTTACAAGCACACTCACAAAAAACAAAAAAAAAAAAAAAAACAAAAAAAACTTACATACATACATACATACATAAATACCACACATCATGTTCTGCTTATTCACCTATACCCATATAATATGCCTAGTTATATATAAATGGGAAAAATTGCGAGCAAAACAAATAAATTTGTACCGCTAAGTTTCTACACCAATAATAACAAATTGAATGATAGTAACTTATTTTTCACAACTTCAGCAAGAGCAAACAACACCGCGCAGTTGAAAATCGTATGGAGCAGATAAGAGCATGTTGAACGAGCGATATATAAAGAAGAAAAAAAAAACAAAAAATAAATAAAATAGTTTACTACTTATGATAATACATATATACTTATATATACATTTAAATATAACATTTTAAACATAACGTTTAAAGTGATTAGTTAATTTTTAAATGCAAGTAAAACATTTATTAAGTGAATGAGTAAACAGCTACACACAAAAACACAAACACACATTCACAGATACACACACAAACACACACAGCACACTAATACACTTAAAAAATACACTTTTCTAGCATATAGGTACATGAAGTTTATTAAACTTGCACAGCAAGAAATCGAAATAAAAACACAATCACACCATACACATACACACACACACACACACACACACATAGATACACACAAACACACACGAACACAAAACATACAAAATACGCATTATTTATACTCCAAAGAAGCAAAAAACAAAAACAATTACGAGTTATATTTAATGGTAAAGTTGACTCTGATGTGCTGTGCTTTATGCAAGAACAGAACACAACAACAACAACAACTAATAGTAATAAATAAAATCAGTAAAACATAACTAATTCACCTGCATGAGCGCTCCAAAAGCGCAATTAAACAACTTTTTCATAGCGAAACGAAAATTTATATATGGCATATGCTTTTTTTACACAAATATTTGTACATATTTATATACAACAAAAAAATCGATCCAAAAAAAAGATAAAGAAATTTCCATTTTTTGAATTCGAAATCAAAAATTACAAAAAAAAATTGAAAATGAATGCCTAAAATGTTTGTCATTTAAGTTTCGGCTTTGCAGAGTTATTTTCAAGAGCAGTATGCTTGAAATGCTCTGAATGCCTACCAGATCCGGCAATTGAAACACCCAGAATGAATAATACCTAAAATAAAGAGTAACAAAACAAGAAAGATAAATAAAAAAAAAAACAAAATTTGATATTTTTATAAACGAAATAAATTATTAAAATAAAATGTAAATAAAAGATATAATAAAATTAAATCATTTTCGGGCATTTCAATATCTACAATAAAACATATAATCTCTTCTATATACAAAGAAACAAAAAAAAGAAAAGGAAAAAACTTATCAATTGAAATATAAAGAACAAAAACAAATAAAACATATTTTCTTAAACAAAAACGAAATTCAAAAATTGCTTGCAACTAAACTAAATATATAGTATGCCAAAGAACCGGCGAAGCGAATGAAACTCTTTAAGAACCGCCACAAGTTTTTCTCAAAGCTGGCCAGGTGAGTTACGAGTTTAGCTTAAATAATATGTATGATGATAATAAGTCCAGTAGTTGATTAGCAGAGTTGAGTCAAACTAACGTCGAGTGTAGATTAACTGCATACAATTAATGTTGCCTGTTTTGCGATCGGATCAGATCAGATCAAGGTATACGCCATTAACATATGTACTTGGAAGACTTTAGACACCACTACATACACATATATATTCATGGAGGAAGGGTGTTAAAATGCACATGGCTTTATCACATCTCACATTTCACTGCTTAACGCGGCAAATTGTGTTGATTGACGAAAACAGTTGGCAATTGAATCATCCGCACATCCACACAGAATCTATATTCGATATGGAAACATCAGAAATCTAGCTAGCCAATATTGGGATAGAGATCCATGTCTGCATCCCTCAATTTCAGATCGATCATGCAGCTCAGAGAGAATCTTTCGTAAGCAAAGCTTATTAGAGCCACCACACAACGATTTCTACTATGCAAATTTGTAGTTACAATACTTATTTTGAGTTAAAAATTTCGTTTATAGAAAATTTTATTTGACTTATGCAAAAATGAAAAACAAAACTGAAAATGCAAAATAATTAGCTGACCAAACAATCAACCGACATCTGCCAATGCCAAACGGCGAGCTTTTATAATAATTATTATAACAATAAGAAATGAAAAAAGAAAATAACACACACATATAATTCATAATGTACCAAAATAAAAATTGAGATATCGTAATTATATAGCTGCAGCCAAGACAAATAGGTAAAGTGCATTACCAGCAATACCTATTCAGAAGCAAAATAATTTTATGTTGTGTTTAAGAGATCTCCCAATGGGGACACTTGAACATGTAATAATATACCACTTACGGTGCCCACTATCAAAGCATTTCCCCTCGCCACCACCACAAAAACTAACAAGATAACAGCAAATGTTTATTGTTTTCAATGAGTTGTTATATAACAAATTTTGAATTGGGACTTTTATACCATGTACTGCAAACTACGATGTGTTCTAAAAATGGTTTGAAACTTGACTATTTTTTGTCAAATCGAAGATCAAGTCGGACAAGCTAACTTGTTTTTGTATTGTAAAAACAAAAAAAATTATAATATAAAAAAATCAAGAAGCATAACAATTGATTAGATGTAATTTTTGATAAGCGAAACATGGCAATTTTCGCACAGTTTTAATAATTACCCTAAGCTGATGAATAAAGTAATTAAATGAAAAAGTAAAATACTAAATATATACATTTGTAAAACAAGAGCAACAACTGAACAGACATATGTAGATAATAAATGATCTACATAGTGTATGAAATGATTCATTTATACGCGCTTACGCATACTAACATGCATACATAAACATAAATATATATATATATATATATATATTTATACACAATATACATATATATCATATACATGTGTATGTACATATGTAACCATGTGAAACACAATTATAATTAAAATAAATAAATAAAATTTACATATAACAGATATTTGATACAAAAAACATGGAAGCAAAACAACGACCAAGATGGACGATTCATTTTTTGGGGGTTTTGAGTCGAGAATAATAAAAACGAAGCTACACAAAAGTTTAATAAAATTGACCGAAAACTAGAATGTTATATTCCTATAGTCTCTGATAAAACTCTATCGATTTTAGCATTACTAAACAATATGCCCAACGGAATATTTACTTAAATCTTTATATAATATTCAGATGAATAACAACAAAGTCTAAAATGTATATAAAAGCATTGTAATTTGTTTAATATATTATTATATTAGGAGTAAACATTTTGATTAACGATCATGTTATACAGCGTGTCAAACCGGAATTGGACTGAGAATCGGAAGCTAAACTCCAAATTTCTTTAAAACCCGAATACCAGAACAGATATTATTTGTCTCGAAAAGTGCATTTCTTAAATAAAACATCAAATGTATGTGTAGTCTATTTCAAGTCTTATAATCTCTGAGATCCGTCAGCAGTTATTTTTGCAATCTTTTGTATTGTATCATTAGGTACCATAAAACCTAACGTACCATAACCGAATACCATAAAATTTCATGGAATCTTCAGCGAAATTTTGACAATACCATACTATACAAGAAGCGGAATCGGAACCTTAATTTGATTCGGTTTGACACTCTTTTATGATATATTCAAATGAAGAGAGAATGCTTGCTATAAAATTAAATGTTGTGCTGTATCAGAGACACACCCATAACGAATTTGAAACCCGTGAGTGTGCACATCCAGCCTGTTTGAATTTTTATTGCAAATTGAGTCATGACAAAAGTTAACTTTGTTGCATGCTCACAAAAAAAAATAAAAATTGCTTGAGAGAATAGCGGACATGACCGACTTAAATATTCGGGAGCAGCCGGTAGGTGGGCATGGAGTACGGAGCAGGCTGCAACGCGGAGAGTGCGTGACGGGCGCGCTTTGAAGGTGTCCATGGAGTGCGCTATGTGAGCGCCCGCGAACAATGCGTTTTGTCTGATGATTAATTGCAACACAATCTTGGAGGCCACAGCCGCTTTCCCCAAACGAGCAAACAGCAAAATGTGTAAAGACGCACACATACATCTCTGTATGTATGTAAAAATGTGCATAGGAATATTTGTATGTGTACATGTTCAAGTACATACATACATGTATTTAAACGTTGCAAATGTGTGTATATATACAGAGAGATAGATGGAGAGAGACAAAGAGAGAGAGCGAGAGAGAGAGAGAGAGAGAGAGAGAGAGAGAGAGACAGAATATGTGTCGAGCCGCCAAGCGGATATATTATCTGTGACATGAAGCTATTAATTTTTAGCACTTGCCTTAAACAAAAAAAAAAAAAAAACATAAAATTATAAATTGAACGCGACCAGAGCTATGGCCATGACGAAAGCGAAAGTAATGCAAGCTACAAACGTAAATTGGACTTGGGCTGGGTCCCCAAACAAAATCCGGGCGCTGTACATCCTTAAGTTGATTGCCAAGCCCATTTTGAGGGCAGGCCCTTGAAAGACGCGCTAGGAGAAGTGCGATTAGTGCTTTCCCTTTTAAAATCATCTCCGACGACGGTTTATGACTGATGTCAAAAAATGAAATGGCAAACACTAAGCTATCAGCTATCAGTCGAACTAGTGATACTCTTATTGAACAAAATTAAATAATCAAAAATATCAACTCAAAATTAAATGCCGTTTAATTTTTCCTATGTATCTAGGTTTTTCTCATCATCTACTGGAACAGTAAAAATTATCATTATTTGCTTATTTGATTTATAATTTTCAGATAGTTTCTATAATATAAGATCTATTCGAATTTGTGCTACAATTATTAGTGTTATAAATTGTCTTTGAATATTATATATTATTATTTATTTGTATACTTGATTCAGTCGGCTTATTTTCTCTTTCTTTAATTTGATTCTTTTATTATTATATATAAATGTGTTTAGAGAGTTTTTAATATGTGATAGTTATTGAGTTATCAGCTCAATTTGATTGTATAGTCTAACCATATCAAAAATATATTATGCTGCCCTTAGAATATTGAGGAGCTTTCTTGTCGGATTAATGCAGGCCAAACCTGAAAATAGCTTGAAAGATAGTTAAGCAAAAGTTGTTGTACCCTTTGTCGAGTGTAGCTGCTTCTCGTTTTCTTTGTTTGCTACGCGCTTTTCATTTGCGAAACGATTTTTCTATTTTCACCTTTTGGTTGGCGCGCACTGTTCAAAGCTGTTTGCTTTATAGCAATGTGAAAATGTGTCTAAAAACTAGAAAATGGTC